GAGTCAGCGAAAATTTTTCATAACACTTGAGAAACATCTCTTAAATGGAATTTTTCAGTCAGACAAAAATTGCGATTTCGACATTGAATATGATAATGGGATGCTGATTCCCCTTTTAAACAGCTCTGCTGCAACCTGGTGTCAGAGTTCAGAGAGACTATAAATTTGGTGGAAAATCTATAAATAAGTAACAACGCATGATCAGCAGGAATAACAAGGGTAATTTAGGTTTTTTTTTGCACAAAATACTCATTAAAATCTTGGTAATTGCTGCACCACAACAAATGACCGAAATTTTTGGATAAACATTCGTCATTACAACGGGAACAAATTGTGAAATATGAATGCAATTACCTCAAACTGACTCAGTAGTTTATATGAATATGTCGGTAAATAATTCATTTTAAGTGCTTCTATTTCAAATATAAACCATATGTTTTACTTTCCTAAATAACCCATGTTATTGCGAATATTGTTACAGCTCACATAAATTTGCACATCTTCCTCTTGCCAAATTAAGTGAGTTGCGATGATGTTGGGAATATGTAAAATTCATGTGACCGCATTTAAAAAAAAAATCGAGAGGCAAAACTTTTCGATTTTTGAATACACGATAATTCGCTAACTTTCTACTCCGAGCATTTGTGTATTTAACCATAGAATCACTCAACTGCAATCTCTGCTGGTGTTGAGTGGAATATTTATGCCACATCCAGAATTCTGCAGAACGTGCATAACCTAAATGCATCACGCCCAGTTTCAAGGTTTACTAAATAGGGATGAAATTAAAATAACATGTTTTTGAATTATCCATACTCCAGCTTGACCGCAAAATAATCGCTATTAAAGTGTAATTTGAACTTCTCCCAGCAGTGTTAACTTTTAAAGTGGCTAAAATAGAAATGAGCGTTGTAAATTAGCTGGGCGTATCTTTCACTGTACTCATTCATGACATGTGTTAAATGTGCATTCGAGAAAATAAGTGAGGCGGAGCGGGTGGCGGAGTGAGCTATGTATGTTTTGGATAATTGATGAGGAAGGCTTTCATGTTGAGCGAACGAATATTGTGGGTATTGATGTATCAGTTGGTGCAATCTAACCTCGGAATTCTCCCTCCACCCCAACTATCACGAGAATTTTCATTAGGAGACTTCTCAGATTTGTGGCGGGGATAAATTAAAATTCTTTCTTTCCATTGAGGCCATTATTTGGGTGAAATTGTTCGGGCATCAACTGATTTTTCAATTAAAAGAGGGGACATGTGAGTTTGTGTGTTATTCGAAACTGATAAGCGCCTTAGCTCAAAGAAGGAAAAACCCAGACGATATAAGCCAAAATGGACTTTCCGCACTGTGATTCTCAGAGAGACCTTTCGTGCAATTTCATCAGCGTCAAAATTAGTTTTCAAAACTTTATAAGGAATAAAGTGGAATAGTGTACAAGACTACCGATGTTGTGCGAAGGAAAAGTTTATTTTTCCTCGGTTTATTAACTTAAAGTGCCAATTTTTCGAATAAATAGACGCATTTTCCTCCTATTGATGGCAAAAACTGTGAATTTCCACCCAAGAATCATAGCTAGAAGGGTCGTTTCCTACGTTAGTATGATTGTGTAGGTCACCGATATTGGATTTGAGAAGTTTCAGGAGAGAAATTCTCGAATATGAGAATAATATTAGACTTGGGTACTATTGACTTGAGGCAATTGAAACCAAACCCTATCAATTTCACATAAAGGAGAGTCTTATTGTTAATATACTCCGGCGATAATATGGACTGAAAGTTTATAAATTTTTTACAGATTTCCTTCCACCCTCGCCATAATCTTTCGGGCACCTCCACTAGCGGTGGTTTGCTTTAATATCTTTCCTTCCATGTGGAAAATTTAAAATGCGCAATTCTTATTCAATTCAGTATAGTATTTGCATTTGGGACAATACAATTGTGTCCTCTAATGTGAATATCATTTGAGGTATCAGCATAAATATCTCCCCCTAAAAGCTAATTTCTACATATCAATAAATATGAAGATGTGCGTTCTTTCTCCCTCATTCAAAATAGAATGAGGATTTTTCTTTTCTGATGAGGGTTAACTTGATTATCCTAAGTGAATTTTAAAAAGGTGTGTCCCAAAGAAGCCATTTTGCTAGAGAAAAATGCCATGGTAGAAAGTTCTTGGGCAAGAATAAAGACAACAAAAGGAATTAGGCCCCCTTGGACACTCCTTTTCAGGTCCTCTCCACCAAATTTAGCATTAAACAAGAAAAGTGGAGAGAAAAAATTTCGTCCAAAAGTGAAATCCAATAAAAGGAGCACCGGAGAGTGGAGAAAAAAGCACAGGAAGAAACTAAAGTTGGAAGTATGTTAAAGAGTTTGGCATCAATTTCCTGCTTTTGGATAATGTAGTCAGTGAGTGACAAGGCCATATAAAAGGGTGGAGGCACAAATGGTATTGTAAGTCTATAAACTTACATATCCTTTAAAAGGAGTTGATATCCCACAAAAGAGCGCTTGAAATTCATAAAGTATTTTCACGCCGAGAAAAAAAGGCAATTCAATTGGAATTCAATCGTATTTCTTTGACTTTTGAGTGGGAAATATTCTATTGCCTCCCTTTGAGAGGTCTTTTTCCCGTGAACTCTGCCTGAAAAGTCAGAATTATCATATTGCCTTTAGGAGGATCACGATAGCAAAAATTTTCAATGTTTCCACGAGAATTTATTATTGAAATGGGCATCGTCTTCAGTGTTTCAGTATTACAATATTTTAATAATTATTCTGGTGATATTGAGAACCAACCGAAAATCAATGATTGCAAAATTGTTGCGAATATGCAAAATTGATCACAAAATTGCAGTCAAAGTTCTCTCGTACTTCGCTTTCGAAGTTAACTAATAAAAATTCACAGACTGGATGGGAAGAATGGAATATTTTATGAGTTGAGATATTTCATCCATGAAGATTTAATTCAATCTCGATAAGATAGATTATAGAATATACGTGATTGAGAGACTTTTTTCGCCACTCGTTTAATTAAATGTTGCTTTGAGATTCCACCCAAACCCCCAAAATTGGTGTATATCTTTGGATGTCGGTGTGTTCTCACTTTCCGATTAAAATCAGGCATTCTCAAATGAATTTTCCCACATATATAACCATATTTGCGGCAGGGTATCTATCTCAAATGACTTGTTATATATGTACATGTACATGTGTGCCAAAGAAGCCGGTGCTGAGGGATATTGATTTTCTAAGGGCGAGTCGTGAGCAGAATAATTTAAACAATGAAAAGGAAAGTGTGATAAATTGTCGCTGAAATCATTCAAGTCGTATCACGTTGCCGAAATTATAGTAAATAATTCATGCTCGTTTTTGAAGTTAAATGTATAATTTCTGGCAGGATTTCCACGGAACGTCCCATCGCCTTCGTGGTGGTCCTGCTAATTCATCAAATGAGGAGATGACAAAAACGTACATGTGATGTATGTGATGATTTTTATTGGGGTTCCAGGAAACCCACTCTTCCGCTGAGGAACCCATAAAGCTCCCCAGTTTCTGGCATGAACCGAGCGAATTTATGCCCTTCGCCTGCCTCGTCCCCTGCATTTCAGCACTCTCTCAGAAGTGTTTTCGAATTCTTTGAAAATCACCCACTTTGCCGTGAATTGCTATTCATAAATCCGGGAAGAGTATATTCTTAGTGTGAGAGCGTATTTTCACAAAGAGCGTGGAGCACCTGATGCGGTGAAGGCTCAGGCAGGAAAAGACGTTCAAGACTATGCATTGTTTTGAATAATTTTCTGGGACGAAGCAATACTGAACAAGACTAATTTGCGATAGAACATCGAGCATATTTAAGAGTAGTCAAACACTTTACTCCGCCATGTGAAGTGATTTTGGAGAAATACTCATAAAATTCCACTACTTAAGTAAGTTCTTATGCGGAAAATCTGCGCTATCTCACTTACTAAATTGTCAATATTTGAATATATGAGCATTGGAAGCTCCACCTAAGACGACTCAATGGTTTCATCCCGAAGAGAACCCTTATGTTAAACCGTGAGCATAAAAAGGAAGCTAAAACATTTCTCTGTCGAACATGGTTTCCATGCGAGAGTCTTGCATAAAAATGGGATTATTATCATAAGGTATTAAGTTTGTGATTTTGAACTGGTTCAAAAAGGTCATAGACCCACCCCCATCGTCCCTTTTGGAAACTATTGTGTGTCATCCCACATCTACCCCAGAAATTGCCAACTGAATATTCCAGGTTCTCTGGTGAGCATTTTGCTGGGGGCCGCGTCCTTAACTTCCAACGGTGGCAGAGGAATGAATTTCCATCCGAAGAAGTAGAGCCTTTGGCGAGTAAATACTTGGCATTCACCAGCAATCTTCATCCAATGTTATGCCCATATACCTCGTCTTAGATCTATTTTGCGGTTTCCACCTTAGCTGTTTTAGACATGAATCTTGGCAAAATTGGTGCATTTTTTGCGGCTTTCCTCGCAAATGGAATTTCAATGAATCTGAATCAGTCTGTGCACAAATTGTTCCGGTATTTTCTATTTATTTGATAAATAAATTATAAGATAAATAATTTAACAACTCTGTAGCAATATTTAATTTATTACCGAATATAATTTTATTGGTCAACATTGAATAATACACGAATGCTAGCCGGAAGATGGCGATAGTGTATTACGCGCCGAAAGTGTATAACAGAAAAGTAAGGTGACGATTATTTCAAACTTTCATTGAAATATTTCGTGAAAGTTTCACGCAAAACTTTGGAAGAATTCTATATTATTCCTGGGGTGAAATGATAGAGAGTAGATAAATTCCCATAATTAATCTATAATATAATTTCAATGCGTAGTAAATAAAATAAATTTCAACAATTTAAGAAAATATGAATCCTTATTTATAACACATTTTACCAGGGTCGAAATGCAGGCATTTCTCATTTATTCTTCACCATATGTGAGGCAACAATCCAGTTCGCTCCTGCAGTGTTTATAAAGTCTGTTGTCAAAATCATTTGGTTCGGTGTTTTGCAACAAAAACTGGGAATTATGGACTCATTGCTCATTCCATAGAGGATTCTATGCGTTACAGGTAATCCTTCACTCACCTAATTACGATTATCACAATAAATACAGTGAATCATTGTATTTTTTTTGCAGTAAATGTTCCTGTGTCTGATTTAAACATTTTCCCAATTTTCTCGGAATATTTTGGAGCAAAGCCGAAGCGTGTGCGAAAAGGCAAAAAGGGAGAAGGATGATGGAAATAGAGCGGTGTCCGGGACTCTACTGTGGGCGAGTATTCTTTGAGGAGAACAGCACATGGAGCGATTGTGGTGCATGTCCTCGGGGCTATCGAGTAAATGAGAGTTTCGCTTGTGCCCTTTGTAATGAGGAGCTCTCGATGTACAATTATCTGTACTTGGGATTCATGGCTGTTCTGCCACTCGTGATGCATTGGTTTTTTATTGATGTGGCAGCAAAGGAGAGGGGCTTTAGCCGGGGACAACTCATTCTCCACTTCAGCGCGTTCGTCGAAGTGGTCTCTTCAGCTGTGGTAACCCTCCTCGCCATGGAGCCCACGTGGGAGCTGAAGATTCAATCGTGCCGCATCAGTCGCCTCTCCGATTGGTACACGCTCTTCCACAATCCGGCTCCTCAGTACGGAAAGAAGCTGCACTGCACGCAAGAGGCAGTTTACCCACTGTAAATTCTCCTAAACATTTCAACATTTCATGTATTAACCGCCTCATCTTTCAGACAAACCATGGTTTTGCTGTTCTATTTCCTCTGCTTGCTGAACATGATGCTCCTGAGGCCGCTGCTGAACAGAAAGTTCCTCAAAGCCGGAAAGTCAGCCGTCTATTGTGCTCTCTACTTCCTTCCCATACTCACAGTCTTACATGCCGTTGCAGGAGGACTCATTTGTGAGTTTCTTCGGGAAACTTTAAGGATTCCTACTCACATTCCCTCTTTTCAGACTACGCCTTCCCTTACCTCAGCATCGTCATCTCGATGATCTCCAATGCAACGCATTTCTCCATTAAACTAGATCAATCAATGAAGTCCCTGATGAAAACGTCTCTCACGGAAATTAAGAATATCGTAATTATACGTAAGTACAACGAAATTGGGTGTTTTCCTTGATGATTCATCACAGCATTATCTGTTTCCAGTGGGTCACTGGATGCTGATGGCCTACGGCATTCTCTCACTCCGTCAGCACTACGCATTTTTGGCATTTGTCCCCTTTCCAGCGATTTTCTACATTTTAACGGTCAAATTCACCGACCCGGCAGAATTTCGTGATAAAGATCGATCAGAGAGGAATAGTTAGAGTACCGTTGCTTGTAATAGGCGGAAATGACTTCACTCATCTCTAACTGTATTAAATGTGATTAAATAAATCTGTAAGTTATTTAAAGGAATCACTTTTTCATTTAAGGCAAAATCCTAGCAGCTACACGATCTCATTGCTAAGTCAATCTAATTCGCTACGGAGCGTTAAATTTATAATTCCAGGAAGTACATTTGCGAGGATCGTAATGTATTTTCAATAGATTTATCCATGACTGTCGCAATGACAATAAAACTCCCCGACAATGTATAATTTATCTGGGAAAATTATCGGCCATTAAATCTAATTTCGAGAGCTTTGTTCTCGCCATGAATTAAAAATGCTTCTGCGTTCCTTGGATGTCCCCAACTTTAGCTGGAAAATCGATACAGACGAGATGTCTTTTGACCTTCACAGCGCCACCAGAGTGATTAAATATTCCGACACGACAAAGGATGCTGTACCATGCGAATATCCGGCCAAAACTTGAGCGACATTGAGCTGAGAATTTGCAATTTCATTTTCACATTCGACACTAGAAGCCAGCGAAAGCGCGTTCCCCAGAGAGCACGGGGAATTGAAATATTAAATTCACGTAGAGAAATAATTTGGCATCAAGTGCGATGCTCTTGCGCCACGCACCGGACCGTGCTTCCGATTAAAGGGTAGATGGGTTCAAATGGATCAAATTAGCTATAGATTGCTAGACACAGCGCGTCGCATGTTGGATTTATAGCACATACCTACAATTGTCCGCCAGCCTGTTATTTTTACAAGTTTTTGCACATGTGAAAGATTCATTTCAGGGGCAACAATTTAGAAAAATGAAGAACACACTTTCAGTATTCAGAATCTCGCGGTTCTGATTGTTATCCGTGAATTCCATCTTATAACGACGCCGAGGAAAATTCATATCTACATTGACTATTTGCTGCGATCAGGGAAAATATTCATAATCATTGCATTCATGCTGATGAAAATTCAAATGACTGACCCCTGGATTTTTACGCCTTTCCACCTTTGTTAGATGTTTTATAATATTATTTTCCCTTTTCGCCCGCAATGATAATACACCACACAGTTGTACTCGCAGCAGTTTTTGTCCAGCGAAAGTTATTTTCCATTCGATGACCATCGCATTTTTTCTGGAAAACAGGCTGTAAAAGCCTCCCAGCACATGAGCCGAAGCATAATTGTAGCTATGATAAAGTATAAAGTCGCGCATAATTGCATTCTCTGTCGCATACAGACTGTATGCAAATTGAGCAGCGAGTATTTCCCATCGGGGCGCAAAAATAATGTGTGAATAATTGGAATTTTCACTAAATAATGGACCACAGCGCAGAGAAAATGGAATGTATTGATACTTGTCATGTGTGTGATGACCCAAAAACTATCACAGAAGAGATTAGTCAATGCTAAAAGTTAGTTTCACCACCAATCATTTCCTGTTCATCACACAAGTCTATTCACAAGAGTTAATTGGAAATTGAACGAATTTCCGAATGGGAAAACCACACATTTTTCTCCCACAACGTGTCATGGTGAGATTCTTATTTGAAAATATTTCACACAGAATTTCCATATAAAAATCATCGACCCATGATTATTTGAACACGTTTTTTGCTCTCCAGCGGCGACAATCTCTCAATACAGCTTATTTAAATTTCCGGACATTGCGTACAAAAGAGTTTCCGTTTTTAACAAAATCCACAGCAAAGTGCCATCGCGCAGAGATAACTCCCCAAAGCATTCACCACGGTAATTCCGAGTGTAGGAGAGTGTGATGGTCACTCAATCGCGTATTCTATGGCTCTCACACGCAATGGTCCTGCGACTTCATTGTACACTCTTGCAGACTTATTGCATAGATACTGTAAATGATGATGTTGGTGATTGTTAATTATTTTAAGCGCACTTGGAGGGAACATTACCATTTCAAATGACGACAATTTCGAAAATCAGTCCCTGTTGAAATTTCACCGCGACCGGTCGCAAATCCAACGCGCTCCGCAGCAGCATCAGAACTTTTAGAATTTAGAAAGTGATTTGTGAACTTTTACCATAAAGTGAAGTGTGATCTCTGGCAAATTACTTGCGGAGGACAAACTTGACTTTTTCTCTGGATTACTCTCTTCAGGAGGTGATTTCTTCTTTTCTTCAATTGTGTATTTTTCAGTCTAAAAGAATTTTCCACAAGTTTGGCTAATTTTGCAGTGAAAAGTGCTCTTCTATTGGATATATTTTCGACAACTTTTCAATGTCTTACACACTTATATGCACATTGAAATTAAATATATTTTAACTGAAATAATAAGGGAAAATTTTTTTTATCAATTTCAATTTTTTCAAAAATTTCTTATCTTACTTCTCTAATAAAGTTTCTTAACTGAAATCTTTATGGTCTAAAATTAAATTAAATTATTACAATTCAAAATTGATTTTAAAGGTTTTTTTCTAATAACTATGTAAGGACTCAAATGAGTCTTTTAAAAAATATTCGGCTTTTTATGGATATAAAATACTTTTCTTTGGCTAAGTATTAGCAAAGTCGTTTGAACATCTTTCAATAAAACTTTTCCCCTTTTATGCAAATTCGGAAGTCATAAATTTAAACTTTCTGAATAGATTTTCTAAAACTTCCACAACCAAAACTTTCTTACACAACTCTGGCTGGATTTAATGAAAAATCTAATAAAATATTCCAAAATCTGCCACTAAAAGAATACCCTAAATTAGTGGACACAATTAGAATATGAAAGCTTTGTATTTCATGCAGTAAAAAGTGTTCTTTTATTATCTGGCATAACGAAATTGCAGTAAGCAAAACTATTCATTGTGGATTTAAATGCGCTGTCGAAAACGAAATTGAGTCCACAAAAGGTCATTTTCAAATTTCACAATTATTTTGCGCGCATAATTTCAGAAATATTTTAATTCTGTCTCTCAACTACAATAAACAGGAAGTGGTTTCCGTTTTGAGTCACTATAGAAGTTTTCACGAAAGTGGACAAAAACATATTTCATCAATTTCTGTAATAGCGCGAATTGACGCTTTTCATTTGATAATTCGTGACCATTCGACCAATTGAAATAGTGGACGATCATATTTTTTATTAGATATTCACTATTCAGGTCAAATAGTTGAATACAGATTGTAATTTTCTGACAATGTGCAGATATGTGTGTAATTATTTGATGAATGATTTAACAGTGATTTTGCACTTTAGAGGATGATGACACTGAGTATCCACAAAGGCAATCTAGTTCATGCAAAGTGACCAATGACATTAAGTGAAAAGTGCGGACAGTTATTTCAATTAGAGAAGTAATTTTGCAAAATGCGAAAACGACAGAAATTCTGGTTCATCGTATTGGAATTAGTCCTAACGATTTTTGTGTCAAAAATCACAATTACATTCGGTAAGTTTGAGCAAATTCTCTCGCTTTACATTGCTGAATTAACTTCTTGCGGTTAAAGGTCAAACAACGTGTAACAATGGCTTAGGACGGGTTCTATATGAGCGCCTACCTAATCAACAACTTCAGGGATTTGACGATGATGTGGTTCGAGACACGGCGCCTCCCTTTCGAGTTCTTGAGAAATGCCAGGATCTGTGTCTTCGAGATCGCGCGGCAACCAATAATCTCGTGAGGGCCTGCACCAGCTTTGACTTTCAGCCCGGCAGTCGAATTGCCTCGTTCGGTGGAAATCCCGAATACGAGGAATCAACTTGCTACCTAACACGCGAACAAGCTGCACCCGAAGGAATCGGAAATCTAATGCTCGTCCCGAATAGTGTTCACTTTACCGAAGTGTGCCTTACTTGTAAGTGTCAGACACCCAAGTTGCAGAAAATCCTAACCCACAATTATCCTTTGCTATTTTTCATTGTGAATCCATAGCCAGTCGTCCTGAGAGAGAGTGTCCCAGCCGCCGCTATGTCTTTGAGCGACACCCTAGGAAAAAGCTTAAACTGCCAGTGTCTGACATCAAGGAGATGACCGCGGCCAACAGATCCGATTGCGAGGACAAGTGCCTCAATGAGTTCTCCTTCGTATGTCGCTCAGCGAATTTCGATTCTGCAATGCGAAGTTGCTCTCTCAGCCGCTTCACGAGACGAACTCATCCTGAACTCATGGAGGACGATCCGAATTCGGACTATTTGGAGAACACTTGTCTCAACGCCGAGAGGCGCTGCGATGGATTGGCGATCTTTGTGAAGGAGGAAAATAAGAAACTGGGCGGACCTTTCGAAGTTGATATCTACAACAATATGACACTCGAGGAATGCCAGATGATGTGCTTAAGAGCGGAAAAGTATTTCTGCCGATCGGTTGAGTTTGATGATCAAACGAAGCAATGTATCCTGTCGGAAGAGGATTCCGTCTCCCAGAAAGACGACATAAGCATAAGTTCGAGTCCAACGCATCATTTCTACGACTTGGTCTGCTTGGACAACCGTGAGTTTAGATTTAGACATTAAACTACATATAATAATGAGATATGTTTTCATGCCTTAAATGTCCCTGCAGAAAGAGGATCTGAATATCCAGATAACTCAGTGACGTCACATCTGTTCTCTGGCGGAAGACGACCGGATACAGCTTTTCAGAGATACAGAAATTCAAGGCTGGGCGGCGAGTTTCACTCTGAAATAACCGGAAGGTCTCTCAGTGAATGCTTGGATGAGTGCTTACGTCAGACGAGCTTCCAATGCAGATCTGCAGTCTACAGCGATAGATTCCGAACTTGTCGTCTCAGTCGGTACAACCAGAAAGACGGTATGCGCATAATCTACGACGCCGATTACGATTACTATGAGAACCTAATGCGTAAGTAGCCAGAATTTGAATGTACAAACCCAAGGAACAATTACTTATCACCCAAATTAATATTCAGTCGGTGGGGATGGTATGGATGATCGCGATCGTCCAGCTATGAGACCAGATATGGCAAATGATTGGCGAAATCCATATCCAGGTAGCAACAATATAATTTCACTTAATACTCGTTAATACACGAATAACTAAAATTTTCAGGTGACAAAGATCGGTATCCAGATGACAGATATCCGAGCAATAGACCCTACGATCGAAACCCACAGTGGCGACCAGAAATGGGTATAATACACATTTTAATAGTCGATGATTTTAATTTGCGACACTCGTGTTCTGTTTTTTGTTAATAATGACTTTAATTCAACGAACAGCACAGTGCAACAGTGCTGATGAATGTTTTGTCACTAATGCATGCTTAATTTCCCGCAGGCGACCGTTATCCATCAGATCGATATCCTCCGAGTGGATACCCCGATGACGGACGCTATCCACCGGGAGATGATCGATATCGTCCCGGCATGGGCGATAGGTACTATCCTCCATCAGGAATGGGCGATCGCTATCCTCCGCCCATGGGCGGCGATCGCTATCCTCCATCCATGGGTGGCGATCGCTATCCTCCGTCGGGTATGGGCGATCGATACCCACCATCCGGAATGAGTGATCGCTATCCACCACTTATGGATCGCTATCCTCCGGTGTACGATAATAGATTGCCCGGCGATATGTATCCCAATGATGGCCGATACCCAATGGACAATCGATATCCTCCGCCACGCTATCCGCCCGCAGACAATCGCTATCCTATGATGGACAATAGGTATCCGCCACCGCCGCCGATGAAGGGACGGTACCCAGAAGCTCCTGAGTACTGGCCACCCAGAGGCCGCCCTGGAATGCAGAGCGGTTACCCAAATGGTCCCAGTGGCCCTAGTATGTCGCAATACCCAGACAAAAATATACCTCTTGCTGGCCGATATCCAGAATCTGACATGAGATACCCTGGACAATACCCAAGTGGCCCTAGTGGCTTTTCGGACTCTCGCTATCCTGCGTCCGGAAGTAGATACCCTCCCGTGTCAGACAATCGCTTCCCAGTAGGTAATGATCGATACCCCATTTACATATACAAATATGGCAACAGAGAAAAATTTCCAAGTGGCACAGGTACAATAGTTGCACCTTGCAAATTATTTACTTATTGTCAAGCTACGTGAATCCTCACTATCTCTCTTTAACGCATTCTAATTAAATGTGTACTTAATCTTAATAATATCACTCATCGAGTTACTGAGGATTTACAACTCATTTCAAGGGATAATACAGCGACAATAATTTTTTTTTATTCTTCTTCTAGGCTACGATCGTTTCCCGGGATACCCTGATCACGATCAAGGCTACGACCGTGGCTACCCGAGTGGGGGTGGATACTACTACGGCTACAGAGACACTGGGTACGGCGGATATGACAGGGATCGTGGCTATAATCGTCCTGTTCCTCTCAGTCCAGGATATCCACCGTACGAAGCTCCACTGCCCGTTAGGCCTCTAGGCGGATCTGGCTATGACAACAACATCAACTCCCTGACTGGAGACGGTTTCGGGGGATATGGCCCAGTCAGGCCCTTTGGCTCTCGCTGCGATGAGGATAACTACAAACAGATTGCTTCTCGACATAGAATGCGACGTCCTTACATAAGGCGTGCTATGTCCGTGCCGACGCTCACGCACTGCCAACGTGAATGCACCGATTCGCGAGACTTTTCCTGCCGAAGCTTCAACTACCGCGAGGGAGCCTATTCTGTTGATCAAGATGCTCCCAATTGCGAGCTCAGTGACCGCGATACCAGAGATATGGACCTACAGGATCCCATGATGTTCGACATTGGCGCTTATGATTACTACGAAAGGAGTTCAGGTCGCAATGGAGTTGACGGAGATTGCTTGGATGGTAAATAAGAGACTTTAGTGAGCTCTTAAATGTCGAATAATAACTTTTTTTTATGTTATTCAGTTTCACAAACTTGCAACGAAGACGGGATGGAATTCACTCTAAGAACACCGGAAGGATTCATTGGCAGAATTTACACTTATGGATTTTATGATCGCTGCTTCTTCCGCGGAAATGGCGGGACAGTTAATGTTCTGAGGATTAGCGGACCGCAAGGATATCCTGAGTGTGGATCTCAAAGAGTAAGTTTAAGAGTGAAATCAAAAATAAGAACAACTACACAAATCTGTCTTCTTCTATTGTTCAGTACGGAGACACCATGACCAATATAGTGGTTGTCCAATTCTCGGACAATGTTCAGACTGGCCGAGATAAGAGATTCAACTTGACTTGCCTATTTCGAGGCCCAGGTGAAGCAGTCGTTACATCCGGATACATAGGAGCAGGGTATACTTTTACTTCTTAATACTATTTCAAAAGTCCTTAGATTGTAGATTAGACCAAATTTGAAAGAGGGTCGTAAAATAGATGGTAGGATCTTAGATATTTCTTGCGAACGCATAGAGCGTAACACACTAATTAAGTAGCTACTAACATTAACAGTCTCTTCTGAAGGGACCTTACTTACTTTTCTTAAGTAGTTTCAATGATATTGACAGGTCCGGGAGTCCCATTCCGATTGAATATTTACCAGCTGAGAATACAATGAACAACAAGATTCGTCTCTTGATCCTCTATCAAGGACGACCAACGACGACAATTGCAGTCGGCGATCCCTTAACATTCAGGCTCGAGTCACAGGATGGATACAAGCAAGCAGGAGACATCTTTGCCACCAACGTCATTGCTAGAGATCCCTACTCAGGACGGAGTGTTCAACTGATCGATAGACACGGATGCCCAGTGAATCCCTATGTCTTCCCAGAATTGGATAAACTTCGCGATGGAGACACTTTGGAAGCCAGATTCAATGCGTTTAAGATTCCTGAATCAAACTTCCTAGTTTTTGAGGCCACAGTCAGATCCTGTCGCGATGGATGCCAACCGGCATACTGTCCTGGACCTTCTGGACGATCTGAACCGTCGTTCGGGAGGAAGAAGAGGGAAATCAACGGAACACTTATCGCACAATCCACCATTCAATTGAATGACACAGATTTCAATGAAACTCAAGGAGACACTATTGAAGTCCTATCCACATCGGACGACACCACAGTTTACAGCACGGAAGACGAAGATACTGCCAGTGACTTTCCTGAGCAAGTCAGAGAAATGATTGAGGTTTTTGAGTCGAGGGAGGAAATGGAGCACGAATCGTTCGCCAGGAAGATTGTCGCCCCACAAGAAACAATTTGCATCACACCATCGGAATATCATGGATTGATCAGTGCAGTTATATTGCTAATGATTCTGCTCCTCAGTATTTCACTGATAGCGGGACTGGCTTACAGGTATGTTACTTGAGAGAGTCACTGTATGGAGTGAGTGAGGAAATTCTTCAATTATTTCAGAAGATATTGGCACGTTCTCACGAAGAATCGACTGGCCGACAGAAGCTCACCGGTGACATCCTTCAGTCCCTCGGCAATCCATCAGAACCTTAACATATCCAGCGCGAATAGTCAATTTGACGCATCTGGACGCAACCATTCTCACCGGTCAGGAAGCACAGGACGACCCGGACTTTCGCTATTCAGTGGAAGTCTGCAGAAGACCTTCGCCACGGGGTAAAGAATAATTCCTGCCATACAAAAACTGCATAATTATACAGTAATTTAATTACTTTCTTCCATAGAAACTTATCGCGAATGTGTCAGATTCCGGTGATGAATCCAATACGGAATAATGGTGGGAATCCATTAGAATTTGAAGATCCCAGCGAACCAATTTACACAGATCCATCGCTCTTCGAACGGTCAAGGTATATATAGAAAGTTTCCATTTGATCCGCAAAATCATCCATTTCGGAATATCACGCAGTTTGAGTCCCATTTTCATCATTCATACTGAAAATCACCTTTTTGACAATAAAATAAATAATTTAGATATATATATCTCTTACAGAATTGATTGATTTTCAGATCACTACGAAGTATTGCTGTGCGTCAAAGTAATGAAACATGAACTTTTTCTACTTAATATTAATGCAAACATCTCCAATTTCTATTCTTCTATAATTGTACCGAAATTAAAATTAACTAATGTTAAACACAAAAGATGGCACCTAAAATAAAGATGAAATGGCATTTTAAACACCTCCGAGCTCGAAGCTAATTTCTCTGTGATTTCTTGTGAGAATTCAACTGGTGTTTATGAAATCCGCACTTCGTAAATTTATGACCGACTTCTTGATCATCAATCAATATTTATTTGATTTTGCATTACTTTTCTATTATATGTATTTTGTAATGTATTTTACTGCTGTACTTTCTAAAAAGAATAATTTGTAGATCTAACAATAGTTTAACAATAAAAATTATTTGCAAGTCTACAAATGTGACTTTTCTGTGATGATGTCGAATTCTTAGAACTGTTTGGAATAAAAAGTCTGCGGGTAAGTGGAAAATGATGGAAATTTATTCAAATTAGTTATTTTAGAATCTTTTGTTACTTGGATGAATCATATAGGATTCTTAGTAAGACCGATAGAACCAGTAAAAGATTTAATATTCTTATTGGAACTGTTATATTTCAAACATGAAGAAGTTCTTCTAACTTCACTGTGCTAAAGTAAGGAAAAATGAATTCCACTTCGCATAGTGCTCACTTAACAAGTTTTATAAATAAAACAATGAGTTTTCTATAATATTTATGTACATAATTAGTTTGAATTACCTGCATTTGCTCAGTTATTAAATATGTATTTGTTATTTCGGAGTTAAATGATCGTAAATCACAACATTTTCCATCTATAAATTGATATATTGCTCCTCCAATAAGAAGTGACTTGGAGCAAAGCATAAACAAATCCACATTTTGTCGGCGATGGACAACAAACTGAAAATGTGAGTAAAATACGCTACTTTTAGAGTTAATTTATTGATAATTGCTCTTCACAGATTAATATCTGGCGACGTGGGAGGAAGATTTAACAAATTATTCGATCGAGTCAATGCAATCGCCAAAAAGTCCGGCCAATTTGATTTCTTGTTTTGCGTTGGTGATTTCTTCGGCGACAACAATGAGGAGCTGGAGGACTACAAAAGTGGTGCCAAGAAAGGTGAATAGCTAAGCTGGATGCTGAATATTTCAGTGTTGTGATGGAGATTTTGTGTGTTTTGCAGTTCCTCTGGCGACATACATCTTGGGATCGACACAAGAGAGACATCTTCCCTTGTTTGAAGATGCGGTGAATGGCGAGATCTGCCCGAATATTACTTATTTGGGCAAATCGGGGATATATGTGACATCCTCTGGGATGAAAGTCGCCTACGTGAGTGGCAAGGAAGCCGAGAAGTCCTCGAGTGTCGCCTTCGCCGCGAACGACACGAAATCCGTGAAGATGTCCTGTCTGGCGAGTAAGTCTTCCGGAGATTACAGAGGAATAGACATCCTGCTCACGTCTCAGTGGTCACACGGGATAGATGGCAGCGAAGAGTCCTCCAAACTCCTGTCACTCTTGACAATGGACATCCGGCCGCGGTATCACTTCTGTGCCCTTAAAGACATTCACTGCGAGAAGCCTCCTTTCCGGAATCCCGCCGACTCAAACTCTCAACTGGATTTGGCCACGAGATTCATCTCCCTGGCCTCAGTGGGCAACACCCAGAAGCTGAAGTACATCTACGCCCTCAGTCTGACTCCCGTAGACAAGATGAGACTCACTGACCTTCTACAGAGAACAGTGGATGAGATTGAGTGCCCATACTTGGCAGTTCCGGGAATGCTTGGCATCACCACTTCGCAGGTGGAAGAGAAGTCCGCGCAGTACTTTTACGACATGGACACGGAGCGTCACCAGGGCAAGAGATTCTCCCAAGACGGCTCTGGGCGACCGAAGAAGAGACCCCGACAGGAGTTCAGCCAGGAGAAGTGCTGGTTCTGCCTCTCGTCGGCGAATGTCGAGAAGCACTTGATAGTCGCCATTGGAGAGTCATTCTACATAGCCTTGGCCAAGGGTCCCCTCAACGAGCAGCACGTCCTCATCATCTCCATCTCGCACGTCCAGAGCGTCTCATTGCTGCCAGAGGAAGACTTCGCTGAGTTGCAGCGCTTCAGAGACGCTCTGGTGGCCTTCTTCAAGTCCCAAGACAAGGCGGTGTGCTTCTTCGAGAGGAACTACAAGAGCAGCCACTTGCAAGTGAATGCCGTGCCCATTGACGCTTCCAGCGCTTGGCAACTCAATGACGCCTTCGAGTACAGCGCAGAGATGTACAAACTCGATTTCGAGAAGCTTCCCAAACTCTCCAGCGCCTCTCAACTGCCCTCCGGGCCGTACTTCGTGGCAGAACTGCCAGACGAGATGACCCTGCTGACGCGGCAGATGAAGAACTTTCCCATCCACTTCGGCCGGGAAGTGCTTTGCAGTGAAAATCTGCTGAACTGCGACGATAAGATCGACTGGAAGGAGTGCCAGCTGGATGTGGAGAGTGAGAAAGAAATTGTACAGCGATTCAAGGAGGAATTCAAACCCTTCGACTTTACAGTATAAACGTTTATTGAGTGTACAAAAGGTAAATCCTTATGAAATTAAATTTTTTCTCTTCTCTTTCCCCTTGTTTCTCTTAGATAAATGCCACTTTTAGTCCCACAATTGTAACCCCAATTTGTGTTTATCCAAATTCACCTTAAAGGCCTTTGATGTCATGACGAATGTTTAACACTTTTGAATAAGAAATGCTATCATATCTTACATTTTTAGTGAATTAAAAAGTTAGTGGCAAATTTAGAGCAACATTTCTCAACACAGCTATTCTTATCTCAAAACCCCTTTACTTTTTCTTGCCCTAAGTGCAATTTAATCTTTCATATCCTTATAAAAACATCAACAAAAATCCTAGACCGATCTGTTTTGTCCCAGAATCAAGGGGATGGTAATCCTTAACGCTATCTCAGCATAAAATCTCTGACTCTAAGACTCTCGCCTGTATAGTTTATCCATGATCTTGAGGAAAACTTCGACGGGAATTCCGCGAGATGTCTGCTGAATGTGCGTCTTGATCATGTTGTAAGAGTCCTCCTCGTAGATTGCATAAGTATTCGGCAGCGAGAGTTCCTCGTACAGCTGCTTCACTCTCCTGATGGACTCCTCATCAGGCTTGCCATAGCACTCCTGCATGATAGCCTTCTGCTCTGGCTTTGCGCGCTGCAAACACACCACGGCCAGCCAGGTGCACTTGCTGTCCTGAATGTCCGTGCCGATCTTGCCCGTGACTTCGGGATCACCAAAGCAATCGAGAAAGTCGTCCTGGATCTGGAAGAAGTAGCCCATTTCGAGCAAAATCGTCTTCGCCTGCCGGAAGGCCTCCGGATCTGTGTAGCCCGCCAGATGCATTGCCGCCGCGATGGGCAGATAGAAGGTGTAGTAGGACGTCTTGTTGGCCACAATGGACTTGTACTTTTCCATATTGAAGCTCATGATGTCCTCATGCGCGGACTTTGTGTCCAGCAGCTGTCCCAGAGTCGTGATGAATGTGCAATCGTGGAACAACTCGAGGAGCTTCACGTAGCAGTCCAAGTGGCTAAAGTGCTCCTTCAGAATCTGGTAAATGCCCGCCTCAAGCAGCAGTCCGTCATTTATGGCAGCCAGCTTTATATCCTCCAATCTGTACCAGCATGGCTGTCCTCTTCGCGTAATGCTGCCATCCATAATGTCATCCATGATGAGGAACATGGATTGCAACTGAAAGATTTATCGTGAAAATTGACACGAAACTCAACCGTGATCCACACCAGACCCACTCACCATCTCAATACACCATCCCAGATACACGGCCAACTTCATATTCGCCTCCGTCAGAGCGGACTTCTTCGCAATCAACTCATAAGCCTGCACCGTGGCGATGCCTCTGTACTTCTTGCCACCCGGAACGTTGTATTGCAGCGTCTGCAAATCAAAGATCCCGAAATGATAATAATCCACTGAACTTCCACAAAAAAAAATCATCAACTTACGCGAGCAAAATGTTTCCCAGCTCCACAAGAGTCATACTTATTCGCCTTGTCTTTCAACTCTCGCACAATATCTGAGAAGTGAATAGGAAACTTATTAGAATATCTATAATAAGAAACAACACGCAGATTGCAAATCAACTTCGAACCAATTGTAATTGCTTGGGAGAAAAAAAAGTGAGAAAACAAGACTCTTACCTGGAAAGTACGACATAAACTCTCTGCTTTTATCTTTCGGGACAGCATTGGAGCTCGACATGGAGTACTGAATTGTCGACAGCGTCCTGAAATCACGCCAAAATAATAATAATTAGGTAAACGTAAGTAAAACGCTTTTCCAAAGAAACTCTCATTCGAGCTTGCGTCGGCAAATACAATAATAACTTTTATCGTTTGCTTTTTTTCTTCACACGTACTTCATAATAATCATTTTTAATTGCCGTTAGTTTGTCCAAAATATTTCTTAGTCACAGTTTCAGATGCAAAGAAAGAGTGTCCATGAATGTGACATGTCATAACAATAATCTTCAGTTAATGTCCCGAATTTTGACCCATTTATCAAGCATTCTATAAAAATTCATAGAGCTATAAAATACTTTTCTTCGGGTATAATTGAGATTGCATCGATTGTTGCTAGCGAAATTTTTAATGATATGAAGATAAGGATAAAGAGATAAAGATTCTGCGTGTTTTTGAAATAAGAATGTTTTCCTAAATCGAAATTACTATAAAATCTGTGAATTATAATTTAGTATTGCGCGAAATTTTATTACACTCTCGTTGACGTTATTGATACTCATAAAAATATACTTTGAGAAAAACATTTTATTCTGTTTTCCCACTGTAATTAAATCTATGACTTGTATTGTATCTTCTCTGATTAGGTCGTTTGAGATCTGTTATGTAAAGATAAATTCCCATTTAAATTCAATACACCACAAAAGCATTAGGAAACAACGTGTTTTTGTGGGATTGTCGCATGTTTGCGCTGGAATTCTTACGGCTTTCTCCTAACTAAACAAAGAGTCATTCTATTGGGAGAACACTAAGAAGAAGAACGAAACACTTTCGTCATGAGAGAGCATAAGAATGCTCGCAAGAATGAAATCTATTTATAGCGCAAGATTGCTTCCACGATTTTCCATACTTTTGTACCGTATGAAAAGCCATGCAAATTGTTTATTTAACAATCGCCGCTCGTAAATATTTACTCGACACGGCAAAAAGCTCTCTCAGACGCATTTGAACTTGTCGAAAGTGTCTGATGTTGTCTTCCAACCAGCAACAATCACTGATACGAATCAGCCGACTCGATAGAAGTTCTGCCATGCGTTACGTTCGTGGTCTGCGGAGGCGCAAGAGAGGCGAGGGACGTGAACTTGGTCGACCTTGTCGGAAGACTTCTCTGCACAGCACTTCATATTTCCATGCTCACATTCTTGCGCGATCTCTCAATGGATCAGAGCAGCGCGAGAGAGACAATGGGAGAGAGATTGATCGCCGAGATGATGTTAATTATAGATTGCGTGTGTATTCTGTCACAATTCTCGCTTTCGGCCTGCAATTGAGCCTGATAAGGGAGTGTGTGACCTTTAGCAAATGGCGCTAAGCCGAACTGATCCACGCATGTGGCGTCTGCTAATCCACGATCTCGAAGGGCGACCAAGAGACACAATTCGATTCTGTGCACGAAAATGACACCGAACCTCGCGAATTACCCTCATTTTTGGGCAAATGACACCTTATCTGTGATTGATTGGAAAGGCTCGCGAACGAGACAGAGCAAAACAACGTCGTTCAATCATCCCAAGAGTCGAAATGATGCTCAAAATAGAGAAACATTCAAGTGAATTACCTTGTTGTCTTCTTGGATTTGCCCTCCGGTGACTTCTCCGATGGCTCATTCTTCTTCAAATAATCAGAATTGTTGACTTCGCTGCTCTTGGAGATACACCTCAGCTGTGCCAGATTATCTCCACGTAGTCTGCTCCTCAACACATTCTGAACAAACGAGTTTCTCAGAACTGAGATCATCTTTATCGAACGCCTCTCCCGAAATATCAACAACACACAAAGTCACTTTCTGCTCCTCTCCTGCGAAGCGCCACTGCGACAGTGCGATTAGAGCTCCAGTAAAGGTTTCCCGTATCGCCTGATTTCACTCCACTTTCCGACCGCTCTTGCTGCTGGCCCACGAATATCTCAAATGCTGAAAAATCCAAAAGAAAACGCGGACGTGCCACTTATCAGCGATTCACAGCGGACTCGCCCCACCACTGCCCACCTCTTGCCGAGATGTTTTCCCTTCAACAGTCAATTGTCTCACACTAGCACGGCTTTTCCTCACCACATTGCCACCAATATAGTGTCTACTAGTCGGAAAATTCGTTAAGACTCCGCGATATGCCGTATTTTCACTGGAAAATACACTTTTCGTGCCTTTTGCGCGAGAAGTTTTCAAATTGGAAGACGTCACAACAACCACTGATACCAACTGCAGCGCACAACAACTGTTATACTCCGCTGAAAATGTGCCGTTATGACATGAATTTGCACGTTTTTATCAAAATTGTTTCATGCGTAGAGAAAAAATCCAGCGCAGAAATGGATTGACGGCATTCACAAAATTGGAAACAGCAAAAATCCATAAATTACGTGTTCTATATTCATGACGCTAGAGAACAGGAATAAAACCAGTTGCAATTTCAATAGTGATTTTTTGAGGACTCCAATATATGAATGTTTACACAACTGAATAGAGATAAATTATTAATATTAAAACAGAAACATAGAGTCATTTTTCATACTTATAGTGGCTGGATTAACATTAAAAGCTCCTCCTTTATGTAATTTCCAGGCGGTGCAGAATCGGGATCGTCGTACGAGAAGATCAGCAAGATGTTGGGAACGAGGCGCAAGTCGTACAGCGATTTGTCCAAGTCCTCCTCCTCGAATTTGTGACCAGTGGGACCGACCAGATGAAATTCCACGGTTTCGTGCTTCATGCACGATTGCACGAATTCATGAACTTGCAGTAATTTCTCATACACATTAAAGGTTCCCTGCAAAGACACGCAATCTTCGCTATATTCTTCTTCATCCACAGAGGAACAGCATTTGGACTCACCTGCAAATAGACACCGTCGGGAAAGCGGACGCGAATCAGAGTGTACTTGTAGCGATTAATTATTCTCAACTCCTCTCGATCTCGCATGGCTTTGGTCTTGAGAACGAGAGAACTCTCCATTGCCTCGGTCTTCAGTTGCTGCTCTCGCTTCAACTCCTCCAGACTAATGCGGAAAAAGTCCTGCGGCAGTTCATTCTTCTTCGCCTGCGACGGCAACAGCACTTGAATATTCCTGTCGATCTCCAAGTTGATCTTCTCAGCATGCGTGAGAGCATCTAGTAGCATCTGCAGCTGATCAGTGCCGTCCTCCTCGGGCTTCGAGAAGAGCACCATGAACGTGTCTCCGTCGATGGTTTGCTCCTCGAAGCCAGCGGCGTGCAGAAACTCAATGGCACCCTCCACGTGACGGACTTTGTCCGAGAAAATGCGATTGGACATGCGAATCTTCCTGTACTTTTCCTCCTCAGGAAAGTTTATGATGTTCTCCAGATACTTTGTGAGAGTCTCCACGCACGGGTCAGCCTGGTGAAGATGAATCAAGTGGAAGAGATAAGAATAAATGAAAGTTGTTGTGAAGAAAATCGTCTCACCTTCTCCTTCGTGTTGCAATTTTGGATAATAAGACAAGCGGATAAGCCACTCTCCTCATTGTTCAGTTGGTCATACAGAAATTCCTTGATTTTGGTCCGCCACTCGCTTTTGGGCAGAATCTCCTCGCTCACAAGTGGACACCTGAAGTAAACGCCCTTGACGGCGAGATTCTTCCTGGCATCCTGACTCGCATCCACCTGAGGCGTCTTCGTGCTCTCCTCTTTGGCCTTCCTCTCCGCTTCCAACTCCCTCCGCACCTGCGCCTGGATAGCCGCCAGAGATGTGTTGAACTCCTTCGTGTCCTTCTTCGTGCACCTCGCCATGGCCGCTGCGGCGGCGTTCCGCGCCTCAAGGCCCAGCTCCTTCCGCGAGGGCTTCACGTAAGCCTCCTTGCTGGGCTTCTTCTGTGACGTCGTCGGCTGCGGATCGGCATTCAACTTCCTTCCCGGACCGGCAAGCTTGAACTTTGCCTCTTCCTTCTTCCTCGCAAAGAATTGGGCCAGTTTCTTTGGCATTTCGCTGACTTAGAGTCGCGGCGTGTGTTCTTTAGGCAGTTTCAGACGCGCCACTGATAACTTCAACTCCTCAATCTCCTTCACAGTGCCTGAAAGGGTGGAAGAGACAGAAAAGATAGCAATTAGATTAGCGAACAATGCTAATTATCTCACATGCTTACTCGGTTTGATGAATCGCTCAGAGATCACAGCGCCGTATTTCAGCCAGTAGAAGATCACCAGACTCGAGATTATGAGGAAAATCGTGAGGAAGGACTTGAGAAGGACGAGCTGAAATTCCGTGAAGGGAATGAACTCGACGGTGAAATTTTCCTTGCTGTACGAGAGAAGGAATTTTCCAACTCCTCTCGTAAAGTTAATCGAGGAATCCAGGTATTCAGACAACAAGGTGACGTTCAGAAGTGTCTCTAGAGACATTTGGGAATGCAACAAGGCGGAAAATGTACATTAAATTCACAGAAAATATTGCAATCACACGCAATAACTTTTGTCTTCTGTTTTCGCTGTCTGACAATGACAAAAACTACAGGTGAAGCCTCACAAGCTTGTTGCCACGTTGAGATTCTTAGAGCAAAACAATGAAGATCAACAGTAATTAAAAGCACGAGAGTATCCTTACTTCCTACGCAGAGATAAGACGTTGATAAATAACAGAGGATGCGATAGATATCTTGTCTTGCAGAATAGTATTTCTTTACCTTATTGGGCCAACCAATTCTGCACACTTTCAATAACTGCGACTTTGAGGAACTGGACGAGCGAACAGCTGTCCACCAGCGCCAACGGGAATTTGGGTGAAGTTGTTCTACGTCCGTTCGGCCGGCGATCGGTTCCTCGACGCCGTATGACAGTTTGAGTTGTCAGTCACATAACCTCAAAAGCCGTACAGTGCATTTGTTTTTCTGCAGGGTCTTCTAGATAGATGATAAATCGCCCTGTTTTGCACTCAATACCCACCTAAGCGGTCTCCAGAGGTGACCAGCCCGCGCCCTCTACACACATTATTGCTTCAGCGAGGACTGGTGCGCAGGAAAAGGCTTCCGCGAGGTGTCTGGATGCTCACAAGAATGAGCAGTGACTCTCATCTGTTTCACGAATATGCCAACGAAACCGAGCTAATAGGCGAATTTAGGAAATGCATGCTGGACGAGGACAATGTGGAGAAGGTCAGCAACTACCTGTACAACTCCCTGATCGAGGACGCTATCCTGGGTGTGGTTCTGGAGGTGCACTGCGATGTGCGAACGGGAGTCTCGGCGGCCCTCGAGGGACAGCCGGAGGACACGAAACCCTATGCTTTAATTGACTTACCGGATATTGATGTGTTTGGCGCGGCGAATGCCAAGAAAGCGATTGATTGTACATGCCCCAACTGTGATAGATCTGTGGCCGCCTCCAGGTTCGCACCGCATCTCGAGAAGTGCATGGGTGAGTTGGTCTCGGAACACTGTGACCGTGCAAATGCTTTACGGAGTCCGTTTTGCACTTTGCAGGAATGGGTAGGAACTCGTCGAGGATCGCCAGCCGGCGGATAGCCAGCACAAGAGGAACGAGTGAACTGTTCGGCACTGGAATCAGTGATGATGAGGACGATGCCGATTGGTCAGGCGAGAAGCGAAAGAAGAAGTTCCAGCCCGTCCGAACAAATGGCACTAAGAAAAATGGGAAGACCTCTTGAAAATAGGGGAAGGCTTCATCCTCCAAATTGTCCTAGGAGGATTTTATTTAGCATAATTCTTTCTCAGGTATGACACATTATTTAAAGAGCGACAGAGCCATTCACATTCGAGAGGTTTCCGTCTGGACGAATTGGACTGAGTCTCTTCTCTTCCTTCTTTGGGAAGATGATGAATTTTCATGCCAAGATTTCCTTCTTATATCAGCCCCACATTCAAATCCGTCTTATCACTTTCCTGTTCGACTTTTTATATTATTATTATTATTCAAAATACCCAATATTGTACATAGAACTATATTTTGATAGCTTTATTTTACTCTTATCACACACTCTTCACTATCGCGTGAGACAAATTTTTTTTTGTATATTTTACACCTTCCAGATAGATTACAATGTGAATATAATGGTTTAATATTTTTAATGCAAACGATATCCAGAAAAAAACGCTTCTTTTGAAAACTCTGCTGACCATTCTTTTCCCCTAACACTTGTCTTCATTCGTGGATATCACAAAGAAGCACACAATAGAATGACTAATTTCTTCAGCAATGATTTAGGCGCACTCGCAAAAATATGCTTTATCTTTCTCGCCGTCTCTCTTCTCTGTGTCTTTGTCCAAGAAATTCGTCATTCTATTTTATTTACATCTCACTAGAAATATTTACAGGATTTACTATTATAAATACATAATATCAGTATGTACAGAGATTGTAATTTCTGTAGTTCTATTGCTATAGAAAAGGAAAACAGTGTTTATTATAAAAAAAAGTATACAACATTAAATACAGATGAATCTTTCAATGAATCCCACAAGAGATTGTGTAAATATTCTGCTTCTCAGAAGTACAGTGAAAAAAAATCAATGCATATGTTATTATGCAGAATAATTGACTTAAAAAGATAATTATATTCCTATCAGGAAGGAAACACTGCAACTATGAACTCAGTGACATTCAATGTGTAATCATAATCGCGTACACAAAAAAATATATATATATAAATTCAATGGCAAATGGTGTCTAATAAAATTACAGCAATTCAATAAGTAAAAAATAATCCGTAAAAAATATCTTAAAACTGAAAAAAGAGAGTCTGAATGGATGAATGATTAGGAAGCCAAAAAAGTATCTAGATAGACATTCTGATGATGTGAAGATAAAAGAATACTGATCGGAATTGTAAATTTCTGCAGTTGGAATTTGTGTAGAGAAATTAAATTACATGCATCGTGAAGCGTTTCCAGGTGTTTTCGATCATCCTGAGAACATATTACGTGTCCCGCGGTGTAAATGTGATCTTATATATTGTAATTTAATTCTTTTTGGGAGATGCTGGAGTTGAATTTGTACTTGATTTTAATTAGTTTAACGTTTAACCAGGATAATAAATGTGAGATAAATATCAGGATATCTGTGTATCCTTCTCTTTGATTTAATCGTCGGTCTTTATGGCGCAGAGGTCGCATTTGACGTCTGGCGCGTGCTGGAGAGGACTGCTGTCCTGGATGGGATGCATGTGGACTTCGACGTGCTGAAAGTCCTTGCCAGAGATGCACCTGAAGATCAGGAAGATCACAGTGACGATCCAGAGACTGATTGTGATGTAGGACGCGATTGTGAAGATCTGGTAGAGCGTGAAGGTGGTCAATCCGTACTGATCCCCATCCAAGAGGTTCATGATGTCCTGACAGGAGGACTGCTGAGCGTCCGCAAAGTACCGAATGGAGGCAATTGAGAGCTGCTCGCACAGCTGCCTCATCTCCAGTGTCAAGTAAACACTGTGGATCATCGAGGCGATCGTCATGACGATCGAGAAGATGATGGACGGTGTCAAGATTCTCCACGGCTTCGGCAGTAATCTGTGACGAGTGAGGATTTCGGTCAACTAAAAATACAAGCGATCAATAAAGGCGGGTGGCGCTCACGTGCCGCTGCTCTTCGAGCCGTAGCCGCAGATGAGGAAGAAGGTGGCCCAGATGATGCTGAACAGGCCCATCACGACTGGCGGAAATGCCACATAGTCGCAGTACGTGCGCTGGTTGAAGTACATGGACTGCGGCTGCATCCGAAGTACCGTGGAATTGTCCAATGTGCGCATCGAGACAGCGGCGATCCGGATTTTCGTTCGCAACGGACACTGATCGCCCTGGAAGCGCTTCGTGAAGGCGTTGAACGTGAATGCCAGGGTGAAAGACAGCATCACTATCAGCACCAGCAATCCTATGACTTTGTCTGAAAATCAGAAAAATCTCTCTCACTTCCAGTTTCGCCTGAGAAACTCCACGAGAATCACCCACAAGTCCAGGGTTTGAAGCTCTTCCAGAGGAACATGCTTGTCGTGCTGCTGATTTTCTCGTATCTGTACTTATAGTGAACACTCATGCTCGCTCAGACAATTCCCATCCAAACCAACTCCACGGGGAGTGTTCAATATTGCACGGGAAGCACGCACAAAAGTTTCAGGGACTATTTTTCAGAGGAATTGCGCGCGCATTTGGCACAACAAAAGTTTCCATAGTGCGAGCATTAACGAATTCATATGATTTAAAATTCCACAGGAAGAGAGGTTTTGGGTATAAAAAACGTCCATCGGCATTTCTCAATCTCCTCATTTTCCTTCTTACATCTTCCATAAATAATTTAATTGTAAACCACCAAGGGGCTATTAATAAATGGTAAACGCTGTACAAACTTTGAATTCACCATGAGAATTTTTACTTGACTCGCTTCACTAAAATAACTCGTAAAGCTTCCAATTGCATCGATCTAAATTTCAGCAGAACTGGCAAATAGTTCAATTGGCGAATTTGCGAACTTTTATTTGTATTCTGACTATGAATTCATGCCGCGCTTATCTAACGTTTGTGGTTTGGTTCTCTGTCGAGAGAAATAAATATATGAAAGAACCGAAATACTTATAACCACTTATTTCATTTTGATCAACGCGTTTAGCTCCGCCAAAGAGGAGTGGAAGTATAAATTTAATCTCGCAACAGGTTCTGTGGCGAATTGGAACGCAATCAGCTGAGATACGGCTTATGATAGACATGGTTTGCATTTATTTTGCGAATGATGACTCCATCGTGACGAACATCACAAGAGAGGAGTGTTTATAAACAAATGATCAGATGAAAACAAAGGGGAAAGGCGAAACACACCACTTCCTCAATAGATTATGAATACACGCAGTGACGATTGCCCCTTCGTGAATACTCACAATTTTCCCTCTGCATGGCCTTTGATTTGTTGGGCACATCATCTTTCAGAATCAACGATCTGTTCTTTATGATCTCATACATTGTTCTCTCCCCGTATTTGCTCGCTGACGTCATTTCTAATGGTCTCTCGCGCGCTCCCGTATTTTGTGTGCACTTGTCCACCCACTTGGCTCACTCTTGCTCCATCCAGAGGCCGCGTTTGCCTGTATTTGCAAAGAACTTACTGCGAACCACCGCGAGAGCGTCTAGCTTTCCTCGACGTTTCCCGCCGACAGTGTAGACCCAACTAAATTTAATACACTCTATCATACTTCTTTTAAATTTATGCGTTCTCATGTGTGTTGTATAGACATTTCCAACAGACAGTAAACATTTTCAAACATTTAGTTAGTGCGCGAAGAGACACGTTTTCACATCCAATATGTAATATTGGCGGTGAAAAAAGGCGTTGATAAAATAAACAGAATCGCCACCAAAAGGAGTGCTCAGGGCGTGTGGGTGGCGGAGAAATGCCGCCGGCCCATCTGTAAAATTGGCATAAAAATACTTTTGCACATTTCATTGATACAGAGACGCGCTCGTGACCGAGTCGCTTAATTACATTCTCTCGTCCGTCGGGAGGCATTTTCACACGACAGACAATTCGAGAAATCCCACGAGAATCCATCAATAAATTGCCAAGGGAAGAGCAGGCACGCGATGTAAAGATTTTTCTTGGCACCAGGAAAATAGTGACTAAAGAACTCAGCATTTTTTCCTCAACAATTCTCTTACACATTTTTTTTTTGTGTGTGAATGTTGTAAATTTATTGGCGTGAAGAAACCTATCTCAAAATGTGGGATTAGCATACCTCTTCACTTCCACTGATGCTCCTTGGTTATTTCTCATCCTGTGCCAGAAAGAAGCAATAAATGAACTCCACTGTGAAATACTTCATCAGTTTAATAGAGATTTTATTTAAGCTGTAACATTTATCTGTTTGCTTCGATATAGAAACTGTATCTCGACAAACTTAAATACTGGACGAAAGAACTAAGTTTTAAATTACATGTAATACTCTGTGTCCATTAATTGGGAGAGAACGGATAATTTTTCTTCATTCAATGAATTAGTACAGATGTGAGTGAAATAAAATAAAACATGCAGTAAAGCTTCCATTAAAAATAAATAAAATATAAACGAATAAATCTTATGAGAAATACAATATTTTTAAACAAGTCCATGTGTGATTCTTACAATTTATTAATAACTTTCATTTGGAATATTTAATTGATCGTTTAGATTTTCCCTCACTTTGCATCGGAGTCTGCGCGTGTGTGTGTGTATTGTGTGTATAAGAAATGCCACCTTTTCGCACTACATCATATCTCAGTAGATAACAAGAAATAGAATTGTTTTAATTTCCAATATAGACACCTAGATTGACCATTACGCCTAGAGAAGTGTAAATCCCCATGCATTGTTACCATTAGTTAAGTCTTTACTTGGGAGAGAACGAGTGTTGAGAAAGAATACGTTAATTCATTTGTGATTATAGCTCTTACTGTTTTTTTTACTTAAACTTTCTACCCGGCAGCGTCGGACTGTCCGGCGGCGTGCTCTGCTGATGGTGATGCTGGATCGACGCCTTCTTCATGCCACCCTTGAAGGGATGCGGAATCTTCCGGAGAGGCCGCGGTGAGGGATTCTCCGCTGATCCACTGCTCATTGCACTCTGTTGACTATTCGACTCTCGGGCGCCAATGTCCAAGTGTTGCATCCAAGCTGAAAGACAACACAATCATTCTCATCACAGTTCCCAAACAAGTGACTGAGAAACTCACTTTTTGACCCTGTCTTCTGGTGATCAATCAAGGCCGCGGCCAGAGGAGCACTTCCCGTATTCCCGGATGATGTTGTTGAGGGATAGGTCGCAGATTGAATAGGCAAAAAGACGCGACTGGCGAATTCCTCAAAAGTCGTATTCTCCTTATGTCTCGACGACACTGTTTCCAAAGATCGATGTCTCTCCTCGTAGCTGAAAAGCAAATCGAAAGACTCTCAATCAAAAAACCATAAATATCGCGCACTAATAGAAACTCACAATTGCTGGTAGAAATTGAGCGAAGTCCTCTTGGCTCGACTGGCGTTGATTGCCGTCGCGCGCACGAGAGTGGCCAAGCAAGCTCCGCCGACCACTGCCTCATCCCAAATGGGCCCAAACCAGGGCACATCAGCCTTGCGATTCACCGTCACGCGGAACAGTCCACTCCTCAGCGGATACACCACGATGAGGACATCGCAGAACTCTGTCGGCAGAATGTCCCTTCGGTAGTCGCGCGAGTGTTCGCTCCACACGATGTGCACCTCATCGTTGCCCAAGTGGCGAGTCTTGTTGAGAATGGCCTCAGGCGTGTCCGAAGGCATTCTCGTGGCCACGTGGTAGATCGCCTCGAGGAAGGGCGTGGCGTAATACGGCGCCGTGGAGCCGCATCCAGTTCTGGGCAAGCCGCCGAGAAATCCGTTGTGAGACTCCAGCTCAATTTCCCACCCGAGCGCCGACACGAACATCTCATAAGTGCTGCTGCCGCAAGTGTTCCTCAAGATACTATTCTTGTCCTCCTGACCAGATCCCACGTAGATCACGGCCATTTTGTGCGTTTCGCGACACTTTTGCGTATCAAGATTCCTGAGCTCTCGCAACAGTTTGTCCGTGCGAGTAAGTAGATTCGTCCTCTGCCTCTTCTCCCAACTGGCCAGGCCCAGTTGACTGAAGAGCAGACGGCAATAGTGGAAGGCGGGATCACCTCTACCCGCGGAGCTCACGCTCTCCTCCAGGGTGTCATCAGTGAAGCTATCGAACTGGCTTATTTGGGAGATATTGCACGCATTGAGAGCCGAACTGAAGCTACTGTGTCTCGCCACATAGTCCTGCTCCATGTTCTTCTGATTCAGAATTATCGAGATTGCCTGGGTCTCCACGTTGTTGCCCAGCGGAGTGGGACCGGCAGTGTTGAGAGGTGTTCTCCCAACATCGAGACACTCGGGACTCGTGTGTCCAATGTACTGCAGCAAGTCATCCAGCTGATCCAGATCAGGCTCCAAATCACCCGCCACCGGCAGCTGACCCGGCGGACGATGTCTCAAAGTGTGCCTCACAGGCGGCAGAGGCATTCCCACAATTGATGTCATAGGATCCAGGGACACCATGAAGTTCTTCCCGATGCTGAATGCTCTGGTGTGCAGAGACGCTCCAGAAGTCGTACTCACTTGATCTGATAACTTCAAAGTCGAGCCATGCATCAATCTCGGCTCCCTGTACAGAACCGAAGCGTCCCAGCACGCTTTGCCATTTATGTCGCGCAACAGCAGACGCACCTGGCGATCAGCCGTCACCAAGCCCGCTGTGATCCCACCTCCGGGAAGCTTAAGAGTGGGCAACTCCACGAAACTGGCAACCAGATTCTTGTTGAGCATGAACAACTGCAAATTAGGCGCACTCAGCACTTGAGGAGTTCCCAGGTCGACAGAATCTCTTGCATGAACACTATTTGTGGCCGTCTGAATAGCCATCAGGTTGAGATCATCCTGCTCATCCACCATCGAACTCAAGCGCGAAGCTCCGATCCCAATAGGAAAGTGTCCCAAGTTGGTGACTAAATGCATCGCCACCGTCTTGGCACACAGTCTGATGGTGAACAAGCAGTTCTGCGTGGTCTCCGTGGTTTGGTAGTTTGGCTCATTGGTCAGTTGCTCCCTTGCGTCGTCCACATTGATTGTCATATCAAAGTCCTCATCGGCCGTGAAGAGTTTCACACGATCGAACTTCGTTCCCGTCGCTATATGATGCAGCACTCTAAGTACATTCAAGATCAACGTGTTTCCTGACTCCGAATTCGATGCTTCTTGTAGGATTTTCACCGGAGTCTGCATGCAAAACTCCCCTATGCACAGCAGCAGAGAGTTTATCACGACCTTGTCACTTTCCTTGGGATGACTGGTGTTCTGAATCTCGAGAGCGATGCACAAAGCATTGATAATCATCTGTGGGAGTCTTTCAATCTTGGCCAGATATCTGCCCTTCTCGGCACACAATCTCAATGTTTCCGATGCAATTCTCGCGATTGTTCGATTCTTAAATTGGAGCGCTTGCAGAATAATCTGCACAGCTTCCGTAATCCTGGGATTCACCACCGTTTGCTTATCACTTCGTTGCGAATGTTGGGATGGAATTTGCTGTGTGAATCCAGTGCCGGTGTAGAAAGCCGAGTAGTTGGATAGATTCTGCACAATCCATTGCCCAAGCGATGCTATTGCAATGCAGCGAGCCTTGGAAGTGGGCTCACGGCGAGCGCATCGCATCACAACATTGAGCACGTGCTCCTGGAGATCGGGACACTCCATCAAGTCCACATGAGGCCCTGAAGGGTTGAGCACTGGTTTCGGGAGGGAAGTTCGCGGGAAACACAACAGCGATCCCAAAAGTCCAGCTACTTCAGACCGAGGAGCATGACTTCCACAGTTCGATGAAGTTATCAACACTGTGGAGGCGTGAACCAAATCCAGCAGGAGGAGAGTGTGACCCGGCAGCAGGAGACTGAGGAATCGTGATCCACCTAGGAAACGAAGAGCAGTGTAGGCCAGATCGCGATCAACACCCGTGAGGGCCTGATGGAGAGCACTGTAGAATAGAGGCAACTGGTCCATTCCGTTCAACTGGGAGTTTTTGGCCATTATGCAGAGAAGTTGCAGGGCGCAAATTTTCCCCTCGCGATACTGCGAATCCAGGGCTAGAGCTCCGAAACACCATGGCGCAATGAGACCAATAGGAGGAACTAGAGTGGGTGGTATCGGTGTAGTTTGATTGTCATTCGAGATGCCCTGATTGAGGCGAATCTTGATCAGACTCGATGTCATCTCCACCAAGTGCCTGAAGATCTGCGCATGCAGCTTGGGGCTCTGAATCTGATTCACATTCCCAAGAGCGCCCAACATGCGCTTCCACATGATTGCCGCCACATCTGGGAGCCATCCTCTCGCTGATCCCCCAGCCAGAATAGATCTCCTGTCGATGGAGACATTCCCGTCCTCCTGGGTGTCAATGCTGCTCGAATCGCCTGTCATCATGTCAATCTGCAGCGGTGAATCCTTAATGGAACCACCCTCTATTCCGCTGGACGCTGTCGGAGAAGGACTGCGAGAATCGTGACGACTGTCATCACCTCTCGCGACCTCACCAGTTGGTCGAATGGAGTCCAGCGACAGAGCGCGTCTCAGGGTGTTGGATTCACCGCCACTTTGACTGGATCGGGATGTGTTGAGAGCTTCTGAGCTAATACTTAGATTGGTTGGAGTGTTGGAAAGCATGCGATTCAGAGAGTGCTCCACATTCACGGGCAGGGCCGGCACTTTGTGATGCTTTAAGCGTTTCCGGCTCCGAAGGCGCTTCGTAGGCGCCAAACTTCCTTCGCTGTAGCTCCGATTGAGAGCTGGCGTGCCTGGGATGCTTCTCGCCTGACTTCCCACGTCTCTTGCCGCCTGTCCATTAGTCACTTCTTGGTCCTGCTTCGATGAACTGGGCGTTATCTGCCCCTCAGACACTATATGATGATCCGTTTGCTGCCAAATGGACACTCCGCGCCTCCTCTTGCCCTTGTTCTCCGCCAAACGGTCCAGAGGCAAATCCTGCAGATTGAGATTGTACACTTGGCGTGCTAAAACCCTAGTTAAGGTCTGCATAGTCTTGTCCCATTCAATTATGAGTTCCTCTCTGTGCGTGAGAGAAGAGAGCACAGACAGAAACTTCTCCCAAAGAGCCGTGTTAACATGGACATTCGTGTGTGCCCTGATCCAAGTGACAATTAGGGTTTGGAAGATGGGTTGAGCCAGTCTTCCGCCGAGGGTGTTCTTCTTGGAACTGGACACATTATCGCTCAGAATAACCGACGTAATCTGCAGTAGGACCAGCAACAGTTGCTCCCAACTTCTCCCATCCATTCTCGTGTTCATCACCATTGTCCGGTAGATGTTGAGGACTCTCTTGCAAATGTCCGTCTGCTCATCGAGGGCGGTTGTTGTGATATCCCGCGATTTTGACTGGAAGATGATATTGAGCTGCTCCGTGTGGATCATGAAGACATTGGATGCATGCGTGACAAACACCTGCAAGACATTCTGGAGTCCCGCCCGAATGATCAGGTTCTCCTTGTAGATAGCACCTATGTAGGAGTCCGTGCGAAGTCTCTGGTTTCTGTGACTCTTCTCCACACCATGACATCCATCCTCCGACGGTTCGAGCAGGAAAGGCGGCGGCGTATTGCTCATCCAATCTCTATAGACAGCTATAGCGATTTTGATTGCCTCAATCTGAGCTTTGGACGAGTAACCCAGCAGAAATGCCTGTCTGTACACCTCGTGGACAAAATTCACCGTCTCACGTGTCGAATACAACACATCTCTCACTAATTGTGCCTGGGAGAAACCCATTTGGCGCAAATTCCACAGCAAACTCGCATTCTCCCCGACATCTTCCTCCATTGTGAATTGGTCCATCCTATTGTGTGCACCTTTCTCATGTGTGAACCGTGACATCCAGTTGATCAACACCACAACACACGAGCTCATCACCTCTTCGCGTCGACTCACTGTTCGCATGGTGGGCAAGTCCAATTTGGGCTCGTAAATCGATGTTGTGTGATCGAAACTGGGACAGAAGACAGGCAGATAAACTTCCTGAAATCTGCTCAGCAGGAAATGGAAGCTCCTCATGTGTCTCTGCGGTGTGTTATCGCGCCACTTTATACACCCTGTGGCTTGCACCATGCAGTCTAGGAGCACTTCCAGGCCGTCCTTAGGATCAGGAGCCGCCGTGCGCTCATTGGATCCGGGCGGCAAAAGTGGTGAGATCTCAGGACTTCTCACTGGATGGATTCCAGTGTCGTGAAACACAGATGTTCCCATTTCCAATTTCATGTTAGGATGATTGAGAATATCCGTGCCGGCATATTCGGTGTCCAGATTCAGACCGGCGCCCTTCTGGGGAATACTCAATCCCGGCACCAAATCCGCAAACATCGTGTGAACCAAAGGCGGTGCATTTTCACCCATTGCCTGGTACCACAGCAAGAAATACCTGCGAGAAATCGTATGTTTATAGAGCTTCTCCTAATCCCTTCGGCAATACGAACCTCACTCCCTCCCGCCTCAGCTTTGCGCTGTTTCCGGGATGCAGCAATTTGTTCATAATCCTCCCCAGCGAGTGGCATTGCCATCGCTTCGCTATGAGCTCCGGCAGCAGACATAGGATTTTCCCGAGAAGCCATAGAGAACCGTCCAACTCTTCTCGGTGCGCCTTGTGAACTGCCAGGAAGAAACACGGAAAATGTAATAAAGTATGCATATTTAGAACGACACACTAATGTATTTGCCATCATTTACCAATATGAAATGAGAGCTCTGCGGGGGCAGCATTGAAAGTGAATTCATTACTTGTCTTGTAAAAAAACCAACACAACACGTTCCAATGCAAATCTCAAAACTCACCTCTTTGTTTCAAATTCGACTCAGCCTGGATGAAGGTATCGTATAGCACATAATACACGTGACTGTAATTGGATTCAAACAGGGATTTTGCCTCCTCCAAGTCCACATGATCTGAAAAAAGCCAAACAACAAAAAATTAGTCAATCAAACAAATTTACATACACTGATTCATTCATATTAGGTTCCACTGAGCAATTTTTATGGACTTCATCAACATTTCCACCCAACTTTCTACACACAAAATAAAACAGCCTCTCAATTTTGCATTTTATCTATTTCTAACAGAGCATGTAATATGAAGTTACATAAATCTTCCTTTCTGCATATTTTTGCAAATTTATCCAATTGCTGATGAATCACATTGCTTTCATTGCCTATGATTCACATTCGCCTGCGGAGAGAGCGTTTAAGAATGAGAAGGAAAATTAAATAACGCTTAGTGACATCATATTCAACCACATAGGTCAGAAATTTACAGTTTTAATTGGGGTCTTTTAAAGGAAAAATATGAAAATTTTCAAGATCAGCAAATTTCATGGACAACGGTATTCTATCTTGGTAATTATGTGAAGAGTGGCGTCAGGTTTAAACTAGTTTGACATTCTTTTCAATCAACATTACGAAATTACGTGATTTATTACAACTGCCTTTATCTTTATGTGATTATGTTCACCATGTGATTAGGCAAGGTCGCAAAACTCTAACAAATATTGACACAATAACAATGTTCTGTGATTTTGCGTGAGGAAAGCACCGCCCACTCGTAAACCCCTCCCATTTATTATTAAGAGACATTGAAAAACACACTAAATTATCATATTCATTTCCGTAGACAATAATAAATAAATGAAGTTCCTTTTACACCAGCAAAATACGATTTTTTTAAGATATTCGTTCAGTGTTTCTGTACCTAATCACTTTATCAATCAACAATCATTGTTAAAGGCCTTGAATTCTCTTCCCAGCTGATTCATTGGAATAGGTCACGCTTCAATACAGTCTGTTGTAATCAGATGATTCGTAATTGTGTTGGACTCTCCAGCGATTTCATGCCACTTGAGAGCACCTGTAAGATTCCCATTAAATTTAGGGGAAAGTGTGTGAAGTGGGTTAAGTGGCACTCATCATCCCTCATGCGCCCCTCCTTCGCTGCCACCCGGAAGTGCTTTCGACGCTGCTCTCGAGCCGAAGCATCAGGAGCGGGCGACTTTGCTGTGGGTTGGCAGCGAAATTGCGAGGTGTGCGGCGTGTAAAATCATCAAACTGGACATTGAGGTGTTTGCTCGCCGCAATACAGCAAGAATAACAATAAAATTCACACAATTCTGCATGTGTGTTGGTCCGATTGAACACGTATTCAGAAAAAAGGTGAGAGAGAAAAATGCAAGAAGCTTCCACCTACAAATGGTGCCGCGGCACTTTGGGGCCGCGTCGTGGGGCCCCAGCTACTCACCCAGAATGGTCTTGAGGTGGCGGAGTCGCGTCTGGGAGTCCTTCTTGCAGTCCTGAATCTTCAGGGTGGACTTCTTCACGTCGGCATGGGACTTCTTCGTGAACATACTGTTGGACGTTCCGAGCCACAAAGCAGGTGCAAAGACACTCTCTCCCGCTCTAAAACACTCCGGACATACTCCCAGCTACTGAGCACCGCGGCAATCTTGTGCACTCGCGTGAGTCTTCATGAAAATTCCCAGCTATTTTCCACTTTTCAAACAAAAGGCGATTGATTGGGATTGTAAAACAAACAGCAGGTACACATATTTCTTATCGCCCCTTCAGGACCTCGTCTCCGCCACTCCCCACCACAATCCCCATCTATCCAGCCTATTTGTAAATTTGCCTATGAAAATACGGGGTTTTTTGCACACTTTGAGCATCACCAAACATTAGAAAACTCTTTTTTCAACACTTTTCTCTCCATTTGGAGCACAACGCACACATATGTATACCACTTTTCGTGTAAACTGTCAAATTACACTGCCACGGCAGCCAACACTGCACTATCGATAGTTATCCAAGAAGTTTATCCAAAAGGGGCAGCCCAGTTGAAAACCGGATTTCTTGTCCATCATCGAATTGTTTATTTAGCAATTTCGGGTATATACCTTCCAATGCGAGTCTGATAATTTGCATACCTATTAATATCACTACCTCTTCTTCGTTCTTCTCGACGGCACGTGCCAGAAACACAGAAAAAATGGCAAAAGAGGCGAAAAAGGGGCAGATTCCAACGGATGCAATCTCAAAATTTAAATTCATCACAGGTCAACGACTAAAAAAATATGTATATCATTTTGGAATTCCCATGAATTTTTGCCATTCTGCTTCACATGTACGTACGTATCATTTTTACATTCACTCCATCGCCTCCATATGCGTCTCCGTGAGATTTCAAGTCAGTCGTGTCGGAGCTCTTGAGCTGTGCTTGATTGTTTGTCACTCGTTGGACTGTTTTCCTATTTACCAGTTTCCTATTTCCGTAAATTAACATGTATTTGAAGTTCTTAAGTGCTCTTGTGATCCTCTCAGCGGCTATCGTGGCCACAATCGGCCAGGATTTCGGATATCCTGGCGATATTGACGAAGACAAAGCAATGAAGAATGCACAGGTCAGACAATGTTTCCTCTTTCATATGGTCATGAGATCACTGATTATGTTCGGGTTATCGCAGAGAAATCACTTAAATGTTGATATTCTGTGAGCACACAGTGCCTATAAAAATTCTACTGACGCCGCAAAATGCGTAATTGTGTGCTAATTATTGACACCTGCTAGTTTTTGTGTTAGCTGACAAAAACACTAATTCGCGGTCAAGGATGCGGACGGAATTAAATTATACCTGGCAAATCAAAGCCTGTCATTTTCACTAAATGTATGCAAATGTATGAGTGGTTAGTCATAAAAACTGCACAGTATTTTACTGTGAATTCCAAGTATGTTTTCTCTAAACTGTCGAGTAAACTGTCCCTGAAAATTTACGTCTCTCTCTCTCTCTCTCTGTCTCTCTCTCGGGCCGATTATGTGGATGATTAATGGGCAATTTTGTAAGTTTGCTTCCAATATTATTCACAGTTTTCCCCATAAACACTTCTGAGAAAACTGTGATAACGATCCATCTCGATGAATAAAGCATCACAGGCTTTTGCTTTGCGGTTTAAGGAAAAATCTCAATTTACGGCGTCAATGCAAATGAGCATGAATTCGAAAGATGCTTCGCAAGAGATTGCAAATAACATATTGACTGAAATTCCAATTCTGACACACTTACAGAACAGAAAGCCGCTGTTTGTGCCGGGAAGGTGCAGCGACAATGAGTACCTCTACCCAGGAGATCACGCCGATGAGTGGGTGTGCGACTGCAAGCCAGGTGAGCCGTCACCGTCTAAACTGTGATTAGTGTTCCTGTCCTCACAGAACCTCTCCCTCCCCCAAGGCTTCATCTATCACCCGGACACGAGCAAGTGCTATCTGGTGTACAGACAAGGGCCCTGCCAACCCCGGCAGATGCTCGTGCTGCCCAAGGGCAAGGCGATTCCCGAGTGCGTGGAGAATCCCTGTCGCGAGGACGGAAAGGTGCGCTTCCACAACGCCTGCTACGACCTGCACAAAGCCGGTCCCTGCATTCTGCCCGAGTTGACCAATGTGGTCGACGTGAATGTGACAACACTGGAACTCCAATGCCAGAAGCTCTCCGTGGATCTGTCGAATCGCTTCAGCGACGACGAGATTAAGCAATATGAAGTTCAAGGTGAGGTGCCGGCATGCCCAAAAGGCAGCAAGCGCCAAATAAACGGCAAGTGCCAATAAGTTAGGGGATAATACGATAATTGCCCTTGCGGAATCTCTTATACTCACATAAATTGCCACACTTTTGTGTTATTTATAAAGACTCTCAATACGCTAAAGGCGACTTGCGTTATCACTTCCCCCATCTTCTGCTTGGCTCTTCTCGAATGTCTCCGCCTCGTCGGCATTGCCATCCTGAGCGATGAACATCTTCAGCAAATTGTTCTCCACGAGAGACAAGAATGGGCTCTGCTTGTACTCCGGCCAATTGCGAAACTGGTAAAACAGTGATAACATCTCAGCTGGCGTCAGGTCTCCAAACTGTGTAAAAATGTTCATGTCTCTGTGGTGATCGGTCCTCGAGATGTGCCGACAAGGCTGCACCAGCGGTGGAAGTTCCGCACTCGCGGGTTTTTCCTGCTCTCGGCATTCCATCGAACCCCCCATATGCGATATGAGGCGCAGTCCGCAGTACGGAACGTACTTCTCCATAGACGGAATAATGCGATTTGTCCGACTGATCATGTTCTGCTTCACGAAGAACCACAGAGCTTGCATGTCCTCCAAGGGACACAGTTCATACGCCTCCCTCCGTGGCACAATTCTCACCAAGTAGAGGTAATCGCTGTCGACGGAGTTAACTTTTAACAGCTTTTTGTACTTCGCGGGATTGTAATCGTTCTGCCAGGGTAGGAAAGATTTTCTAGGCACTTTCTGGATGAACTCATACTCGAAGAAGATCTGGAACAGCACCGTCAAGTATCGGTACACCAAGTATCCGGCGTCTCGTGCGCAAGTCAAGCTCTGGAATTATAACATGCCTTCATAAACCAACTGTTCAACACGTTCAGCAGTAGTATTTGCTTTGCTTACGATGTAAACAGGAGGAGGAACTACTAGGAACATTTCACATCGTCCATAGGTCAGGAGACCATTTTGATAAATTATGGAATTAACTAAACCCTTGAAGAAAGTCTTTCCGCCAATTGTTCCAACGATCCTCACATTTGGTTCTGAAAATCAAGAATAACATTCAGTATTTTCCAGAGTTCCAGTAAAAGTTCTCACCTTCTGTCCATTCCTTTGTTGGCAACTTCTCCCTCAGGAGCGTCTGGACGCGATTCCCATTGTCCAGCTTATCCTGAAAAGCAAGCTTGTCCAAACGCGTGAGATCATAGTATTTCAAAGTCATTTCTTCGTTACCCTCGACGATGTCCTGCAAGTAGTGCTTGAAGGCTTCATCCGCTTCAAACAGATGAATCTTCCGGTTACCGAGTTTCAGCAACTCCTTGGTGACAATTCCACAGCCAGGATTCATTTCCACGATCGGACAATTTGACAATGAGGCTTCACTCACGCGTTTCGCAATGACTTCCGCCACAGATTCATCGACGCAGTAAAAGTGATTCGGCGAGACAGTTTTCTTCTGATAGTACTTTTCAGGAAATCTGTTTAGGATAGATTTCTGCTTATCTGTTTGGAAGAATGTGTGAAACTCCTTCTGAGCTGTGACATTGTCCGGTTTTCTTATTTTGCGCTTCCTCTTTGGCTTTTCCGGGACTTCTTCCGGGTTTTCCCCCTTGGCGGCAACAGTGGTGCATAACCTCACCACGGGAGAATCCCATTTCTCTGCTCCACACAGCTGGATCAAAGGAGTCCTTCTGCAGAAGCGCATGGAAAACAGAGTTGCAACTCCCCTGGATATGGGAATCATCAGTAATCACGTATTTTAGGGCACAATTGGAAGAAACCGAGGATGCACAGAAGAAAACAAAACAAACTCCAAATCAGATGTCAAGAATTTCCACTCGCCATGGTTGGCTACCGTGGAAAATCATATATTTGTCTCTTTCTTGCATTATCCAACTTTGCTGCATAACGGGCACTTTGAAAAAGACTTCCAGACGCGTTCAACTGCGATTTTTCTTTGCTTAATTTCGCCTGTAATTACACCTTAAATCCCAAGTGAATCCATTCCAAAAGCAATAAGAGAGGTCTAATATGTCGGACAACTCCAAGGATTGTGTAAAAGTTGCGGTGAGAGTGCGCCCTTTAGTGGAAAGCGAGCTTGCGAAAGGTTGCCAGAAGGTGATTGTGAAAGAGCCCAATGAGCCCCAAATCTCAGTGTCCGGGGATCGTTTCTACACATTCAATCACGTGTTCATGCCGGAGGATGACCAGCCCACAATATACAACGAGGCTGTGAGGGATATGATCGACAAAATCTTTGAAGGTTTGCACTCCTTGGCTTTGATCACGAAGAGTTCTCCGGATGCAGTGTTTTCTCATTTCAGGCTACAATGTGACAATTCTGGCTTACGGACAAACGAGTTCCGGGAAAACCTACACGATGGGGACGACCTACAGTGGGGAGGACGACAGCAGCTGCGGAATAATCCCGAGGGCCATGTCGGATATCTTTCAGCAGATTGAGGAGCTCAAGAAGCGGGGCTACACTTTTACGGTGGCATGCACCTTCCTGGAGCTGTACCAGGAGGACCTCTACGATCTGCTGTCCGACAAGCCCCGAGAGGGCAACACGTTGGACATTAGAGAGCACAATAACAACATCGTGATTCCCGGTGTGACTGAAGTGGCCGTTAGCTCGGCTCGTGAAACGACAGACTGCCTCATTCGGGGCTCCTCTGGCAGAGCGGTTGGGGCGACTGCTATGAACGCTCAATCTAGTCGATCGCACGCTATCTTCTCGGTGAACATTGACATCTGCAGCAGCGCGGAGACAGTGTCCGCCAAATTCCAGCTAGTTGATCTCGCTGGTTCGGAGAGGGCGAGCAAGACGAAAGCCACGGGAGAGCGATTCAAGGAGGGCGTGAAGATCAATCAAGGACTCCTGTGCCTGGGCAACGTGATCTCCGCCTTGGGAAGCGGGAATCAGCAGGGGAATTTCGTCTCCTACAGAGACTCTAAGCTGACTCGATTGCTTCAAGGCTCTCTTGGAGGGAATTCCGTCACGCTGATGATTGCTTGCGTGAGTCCGGCGGATTACAATCTTGAGGAGACAGTGAGCACTCTGAGATACGCAAATCGGGCGAAGAAGATCAAGAATAAGCCCGTGGTCAATCGTGATCCCAACCTTGCTGAACTTATGGAGCTGAGGAAGACTGTTCAGCAACTGCAATTGAAACTGTTGGCCAACAATGGGCCTCAAGGCAGTGTTGTAACTGTGACTGCGGAGGATTCCAATCTTAGGCGAGAGTTGATTTTTGCCAATGAGAGAAACATAAAATTGCAGCGAGAATTTCAGGCAACGCTGAATGATCTGGCAGACTTCCAGATGAAGTGTGTGATGGCAGAGAATATCAATGAGGAAGTGCTGAAGTTGGTGGAGGAGCTGCGAAAAGGGACCGATGAATATTCCACGACATACCTTCAGGCCGATGCGGAAGCGTCGCTGGAGCAACAGGTGTGTGCTTTTGAGAAGATCAAGGGCATTGTGGGCAGCATCAGTCAATGCATGATGCAGCACAAGGAGGAAGTGGATCGCATGAATGAGACCGCCAAGAGTTTCTCACTGGATCTCATCGCGAGGGACTCTGTGGACACTGTGGAGATGCAGCAAAAGCTGGAGGCGTGCACAACGAAGCAGGTGAGCTTCAGCAATGAGCTGAGGAATCTCAATCTGCAGCTGGCGCAGAAGGAGGAGCTGCACAAGAAGTGCGTGGAGAATCTTATGCGCGAGGAAGTGCGAGATTATGAGTCAAAGATCAATGCGTTGGAACATGAGCGCGAGGAGTTGCTTTCGATGCTGGAGAATGTGAAGAAGACCACGGCTTCTGCCAAGCTGGCTGAGGTGCGCCGGAAGCGACTGCAGACGCTGGAGCAGGAGATGGCGGACACTAAGAAGAAGATGCTCCAGCAGGCGAAGTTGCTGAAGGTGCGCGAGAGAGATTCTCAGAAGGTGGTTACACTCACGCAGGAGATCCAGCAGATGCGTCAGGCTAAAGTGAAGCTGATCCGAGCGATGAGGGCGGAGAATGAGAATTTCAGGAACTGGAAGCAGGCTCGGGAGAAGGAGATGTGCCAGCTGAAGGAGAAAGATCGCAAGCGTGAGAATGAGATGAAGAGAATGGCGGCGATTCACAACAAGCAGAGCAACGTGCTGAAGCGGAAGTTCGAGGAGGCTGTGGCCAAGGCGAAGCGTCTCGAGGAGACTCTGGATCGACAGAGAACTGTCCAGGCGATGCGCAAGGGCAACATCAGCAAGATCGGAGTGGACAACATTACCACTTGGCTGGACCATGAGATTGAGCTGATGATGAACACAGTGGATGCAAAAGTGTCACTGGATCATCTGATGGAGGATCGCGGCATGGTGACGATGCGTCTCAATGAGACTCGTGCTTTGCCAGATCCCAATCTCGATGAAGTGGCAGAGCTCGAGGAGGATCTGCAGCTGAGGAACGCCCAGATCACTGATCTCCAGCAAAAGACAATGAACTTCAATGTGACCACGAAGGCAAAGACCATCTCTGATGGCATTGTGAGTCTCCAGGACGCTCGCGTTGGTATAAAACACATCTTTGGCATTCTGGCGGATCTTCGTCGTGATAATGCGCAGAAGGACACCGTGTGTGATTCCTACAAGACCGAAGTTGAGGAGCTGAGAGAGAAAGTAGAGAAGATGGAGAACGAACTCAAGGAGAGCAAGCGCACTCATGCAATTGAGCTGAATGAGGCGGACAAGAATTATCAGGAGAAGATCTCTATTGTCTTGAGGAACATCCAGGATGGTGGATTAAATACTTCTGGGCGAGTTAAGGAAATTGATACAGCTCTTTTGGACAATTATGATGAATTGCGACAGAAATACGACACTTTAAAGACCGTTGAACAGGAATTGAGAGCCGAAGTTGAGAGCTTGAAGCAACCGAAACGCAAGAAGAGCTATCAACCTCCTGTTCAGGTGAATATCATTGATTTGTTAATAATTTATTTCCTGGATTTCTTATCACAATAACATTGTTTCTGCAGATGAATCGCACAATGGACATATTTACGGAATCCGAGTCCGAGTCTGAGGAAGAACAAGACAACTCCAGTGATGTTGAGTGGAGATTGACTCCATTTATGAAGAAGACGGTATGTTTCTCTTTCATTCATTGTAATTGTCTTTCCTCACTCTAAACTCGATGTTTCTTCGCAGAGACACATCACTTCGGAGAGGAGCTCCAATGAGGGACAAAACAAAAGGAAGAGAAAGTCTGACAACTCGACATCTACAATGTGCAGTTGCAAGACGGACTGCTCAAAGAATATATGTGGCTGTCGCCGTGGGAGCAAAGATTGCTCAGACAAGTGTCGTTGCTCGTCAACTTGTGTTAATAAATCAGCGAACAAGAGCGAAGTGTCCAGCACGAATGAAGACTTGCCTGAAGCAGGAGATGAAGATGATAAGGAGAACACGCCAGTGAAGAAATCAAAGTAAATTAATTGAAAATAGTCAATTGCGAGAGATCTAATGCATTGTTTCCTTACAGGAGCGATCCAGAATTCAAGGAACCAGATCACCTAACTCCGTATCCTTATAAGAACAAAAAGCGCACATTTTATGAGTGAACGCAGATGCCAGTCTTGAGTGGTCGTCGATGTTTGGTTTCAATTTATATGTAGTATTTTATTGACTTTTTATAATGTTAAGATCATTCCAATTATATTTTCATTTTGTATTTATTCTATTCTGCACATGTTTTAAATTTTTCAAATTGCTAAAATAGAGAAAGCTTATGTATTTAATGTTGCACACATGAATACAAAAATTGATTATTGCTTGAAAATTCTATTCAATTTTTTTATTCCCACATTAAAGTAAAATCTGCATCATACAATTTCACACCAGTTTTACAAAGGTAACAGTTGCAATGCCATTATCAGTCAGGTCCAATACTGGGATTAAGATAAAATTGACTCCCACTTTCTGAACAAAAGCCAGCAGGACGGGCACTAGAAGTTCCTCCTGTGACGCTTTGTAGAATATTCGACAGTGTAATCCTTTGTTGGGTGTCTCAAAGTTGAACTTTCTCCTTATCCTCTCGAGCAAATCCTCAATACTTTGTGAACTAAATTGCACAGCAGTGTCACACTGGAGGGAAATTGTACCGGAAACTATCTCAAAGCTATCACTTGCATTCGAGAGCTTTTGCAGATGAAGAGTGAGTGATTCGACTTGATGAGTGAATTCCTCGAGCACGAGCGGCGTCTCGGGGGAGTGCAGGAGAATCTGCCACTCAATTTGTGCATTCCTGGGCAGAGCAGACACGACCACGTAGTTGACGATGGCCTTAGCGTTGAGGGAGCTCCACTGTGCTCTGGCTCTGGGAATTGATTGAGACTCTTGCAGGTAGCAAATCGCCAGGGAGGCGTTTCTGAGGCCACGCGGAGAATCTATGGCGTGAACTACGCAGTCTGCATTCCTCAGGGACAATGCGCATTCAGTTGGGAAATCCCCATCCGGTGGCAGTGTCATCTTCCCTGGGATGAGACCTATTTGTCCGGATATTGTGACTGTTGTGCCACATCTCTTGCCCTGACTGTACGGCCCGATATTGGACGGAGCCCAGTGAGAAATTCCCTGGACGTGAACACAGTCAATTGAATTATGTTCATCGGGACGCACTGCTAGTGCCTCCAACATAAGCCACACATTTCCTGGCAGACTTGTTTCCACACATGCTCGACTGGGAGGATTTGGGAAGTTGAAGATGGATGAGTAGATTAGATTAATCTTAGCAAAGTCCTTCATGCTCCTCACAAAGATATTAATAAATACGATATCCTTTAGAGAGATCATTTGATTTTCTGTGGCATTTTTAAGTTGTTCCATAGCGTCTTTTGCGCCTTCTTCGCTATCCTGTCCTTTTCCTAGGATTGCTGGCAGCCAGATCCAACTTGTAGGGGTTTTTGGGTAGTCTTTGGCTTTAGGTAGATACTCAAAATCCCCCTGATGTTTCTCTATGATATCAACTACTGAAAGACTTTCTCCATTGTTAGTATCTCTCGATAGTCTCGAGAGTAATTTCTGTTGTCCTTCTTGGCCCTTCTTTTCCAACGAAAGCTTTTCGAACACAATGTACCCTACGTCTCCCGATGTGGTCACAATTCTCTTGTCCGCCAAGACAATTTTGTACTTAAACAGAGGACAATCCAGCGTGAATGTCTCATATTCTCCGCCCTCGCCACACACATTCACGCCATAGAATTCATTTAGGCGCATCACATCCTTCTGAATCTCCTTGAGAGACTTTCCCAGGTGCTTTTCCGGAGTCAGTCCCAGAGCCGCCACCTTAATCACAATCGCCTCGACACCGCCATCGATCATTTCCTGCAGCAATTTCGTCTGATTCCTTCGCCAGAGATACGACAGTGATGTCAATTGCAGCCTTTCGCACACATTCTCAACACGGCAGCGCTGGTAATCCGATAGAATAGCCCCCGAAGCAACAGCTTCCGCATTCTCAACGGTTTTCACTTCGTGGAGCAGATGATAGAGATCCTCGACTTCATCCGTGGGGTCATCAGCAGTGTACACTTGGCCGTCTTTCCGACACACGCCGCTCGTCTTTCGGCGATATAGAGGCAAATCCAGAGCCGTGGCAATCATCTCTATTCCAGTATGACCCACAGTCTGGTACATGTAGCTGTCCATCTCCTCCCTGGAGTCGCTGGGGTACAAATTGGCCAGAGCCACGAGCTCATGTCCCTCAGCTTTGCATTGCATCAAGTTGAAGATGCTGTCTTTTCCGCCACTAATCAATCCCACAACTCTCATGATGCTTGCTGGAAAAATGAGTTGGAAATCGTATTGAATAATTCACAAAAAACCGCAGAAAAGTGCCGGAAAATCACCTCTCTTGTGCAACACGTGCGAACAGCTGAAAAATATGTAAACAGAATGGATAGAATGACCATCTGGCGGGAATTCCAGGAAGCAGTTATACGCCTTTGAATTTGAAGTTCACAAAATGCTGTTTTTGCCGTTTTTGCGATTGGAATGAAACAATTTGTGAGAATCTTATTTGATCGCCAGACAAGAATCAAATTGAAAGAAATTCAATCACATTACGAGATTTTATTCCATCTAGCTTTCTTTTATGTTACAAACACAATTTGTCATACATAAAACTTATATTCGGCACTTAAATGTAAATTTTTTTCTTTTCTTTCAAAAATCATCATTCTCAGTAAATTTAAATATTTTCACTCAGCCGCAATTATCATGAAAGTTCATTTCCTGTTGTATTGAAAACAGAATTACACGCTGAGGATGCAACAGTTTAATTTGTACGATAAATTCACCTCAAATGTCCCGAACACAGAACAAGACACTACAAATGTTAGTTTGTATCATTCCCATGAGGGCAGGAAATGGGTTCGAAGGGGAAGTTCTATGTGGGCAGCTATTGATGAGGTAATGGACGCTTTTGGTGAGCTCATGAAATGGTCTACAGTGAGTTTAGTTATATACTCGAGAGTCTCGTGAATGCAATAAAGTATCCCATTGCAGTTTTCAGCGGCACTTCGGACAAATTTTCCTTTTCCTGCACCCGAAATTGCTCTCGAACACATGGAAAATGGGGTTTCCTGATTCTGTTGTAAGTACATGATCGAGATTTTCATCCCTTTCTCTACATATTGCCTCACTTTGCAGAGTGTATTCATTTGATTTATCAGGTTTATCGCTCTTTTATCTGACATAAAGATTTGTTGTGTGCTAAACGGCGCGTTAATATTCAATCTCTGTTAATTGAAAGGGGGAAATAATCAGATTTCCTCATTTATTATGCACCTATTGGGACAGAATTAACGAACTGTATGCACGACAAATAATTCCTGAATTAATTATATTAGAAATATTCAGTTCAGAATTTTTGCTGTATTTTTCGAAATGATTTGTTGCGCTGCTGTAGGAAATTAAATTGCGAAAATTTCACTCTGACACGACACGAGCATGATGACGATAATGTAATTTCACAAAATCAATACACCATTATAACTTATTTCCCCTGACATCAACGTAGCACATTCCCTTTAAAATCGTTTCAATAACTCTCACTATATTCCATCCCTCTATTTGATTCGTACATCATTATAGTTTAGACGTTACAGAGAACAGTGGTGAGGCACTAAAGCAGCTTTAATATTAGGGTTTCTATACGGATTTATAGTCACTAGTTCATTTACGAATGTCATTTGTGTGAACAATATGAACAATACTTTCATGTTTGGTGAAATATTCTATATAATTCTCTCCTACGCTATGAGATGGTTTAAGCCAATTCAAATCACATTACTCTAAATTCTTTTTCCTTCTCATCTCTATATTATTATGAACAACATGATTTTTATTATATCCGTACAGTCTATATTAAAAATAGATACATACATCTGCATTTTATATCATTTTTATTAGATCATAACTAAAACTAGACTCTTATAAAAGCATACATTTTTCAAATGAGACACAATATAAAAGATCAAGAGATAGTATAATATTCTAAAAGTTTCTCTTCTCAACTCTGTTATAATATCTAAATGCATCTCTTTCTCATACTCCTCTATCGATCATACTCTAAAATATCTCTTCCATAAAGATTTTACTTATTATACTTTACTCCTCGTCAATATAGTACTAATTTCCCAGCATGTTTTCTCTTCTTTTGTTAATATTATGTAAGAACATGTATTTTACCCGCTTATGAAATGTGCAAATACATTCTTGACCTAAATTGTCAAATTATGGGGTTTTTTTTTAAATAAAATTTGGTTTGTATTATATACATAATATCATCTCCAAAACTCAAATTGGCAAAATAATACACTCCCTATGTTATATGAGACTAGTTTTGATTGATAATTTGTTGGGCTGAGCGCTACCGAAAACAATATAATCATAGCATTCTTTTGATAATCCTCTTTTTGCAGTGAGTAAAAATTCTATGCCAATTTGAATTTGAAAGACGCCTTTTCACATTTCAACTCGAAATTGAGCAAAGTTGAGAGCGAAATCAAAAGCAAAAGTCATTCAAAAAGTTTCTTCTTAACCAACTTCTTAACAATGTGCAAGCGGAATGTTTTACGTAGAATTACAATATATAAAATGTATAGTGATGCTTGGAAAATACTACAATACTGATGATTAAATGAGATTTCAAACACACAAAGCCACCAAACTCAATTATGAGAGATTTCTAGATATCTATTGCAATATTTTGCTCAATCTCGAGTTCTTCTTACACTTCTATAAACTCAATTATGCAGCATAGTTGCAGGGATGCATAGACACGAGTGTCATCTCGGATTTTAAAGTTCCTCCTACGATTCATGATAGTTTCTATGATGCGGAAGTTCTACTTCAAAAGACAATAGCGTTCTCCAAAGTGTTGGCTCTAGTCTAGAGAGACACATATAATAATTGTCACAATGCAAGATTTGTGGCTGTAAATTAAATATCGGTCTGTCGCCAGAGCCACAAAACACGATGTTTTCTCGACATGATGAGGAAAATGTTGACACAAATGCCATTTCAGCGTCTATTGGCTTAGCACTTTCGCACACTCTTCATCAGGAAATCATGTCAGACGGCGGAAGAGCGGGGACTTTAGGGTGATGAGTGTGTCTTACTTTTCTCGCACAACTAGACCACAATGTGTCGATTGTGCGGTACACGCAGGATCCCTAATCCGAGATGATTTTCCTGATAGAATGTCACATCATAATCTCTGTAGACATCGAGTAGAGTGTTTTTGGCATTGAAGCACACATTCAAAGGAATATTCACACGACGATGATGATTATGTATGAGAAAATCTGTCGATACGCTCTATATAATGTAATCCCGAGATATTTCGTGATAAGAGGGACTCAGCATATCCACTCAGCTGTGCCTCTCCTCCAAATGCTTACATCCCTGGGTTTGCTCTCGTTAGTCTTTCGTAATTATATTCTCCTAATATCAATTGGCATTGTCGCGGCGTCGCGCTTAAATTAGGAGCCTCGTGAGGAGAATGGCGCCGAGCAGATGAGCCAGCGAGGCGAGATTTGGATATTTCGCTGGTGCCCCACTAATTATGGAATCTGTGTCATCCAGGAGGGGAAAGTCGATGACGTGAATAATGCCGTTTGTACACTCAACGTCTGGCCGGTACACCTGAATCCAGCGATTGTTGTACAGAATGGAGTATCCTGCAAAGAGATTCGTATTTTCGCGTAAGCATGGTTAATCGATAGTCAAAACTGTGGCACCATATTCATCATAATTATTGTGGTGATTTGTGCATTTATCCATGCATTTCTGGTGCAATATACAATTTTCAAGCAAGTTTGATTATGCCAAATGAGTCTCATGAATTGCAAAGAGCAACGAAGAATTTGCATTCACCACCAACTTATTCGTATTATTAATTAGTGATGACATATGTATTTAATCATCCATATAGTTCATGTACAATAAATTATGCAAACACATGAATTGCTGTCAAGTGAACCAATGCTTTACTTACACGCTGTGCATTGCTATTCTTCCTAAACATGTTAATTCAATTTTCGCACAACATTATTTAAACACTTAATGAAATATTCAAGAGCGGAAAGTTTACAGTGCTGTTGACCATAAGGATGCAACACTTTATATTGTATAATATTTCCTACCACACAGTGTAATATTTTATCTAGTGGAAAACTTTTGTGCCACACACCATATAATATTGATTGCCAGGCAACATTTACACGATTTGAGAAGTTTTGAGAAACAGAGAGAGAGAGAGAGAGGAGAAGAGTAATATCAATCATCTTGATTAACGACCATCTGCGAAAAGGCTCCTTCAATTTTTCTCAAGCACAAAAGTGGCTGTCCAAAAATTTCTGCCCTGGAAACGCCAAATAACGAACAATAGTCAAAAATTGTCAATTTAAATTTTTATGAGAAAAATGTCATTTCTAGCCATTTAACTGATTTTCATCAAATTTGCCTCAATATATGTAAGTTATGCTTTTATATTCCCCAGAAGTTGATGCATATGACATGGAGAAACGTACACAAAGGCGTCGCTTTCAGTTCCAGAGTTTGAATTATGCCTTGAAATCAATAAACAGACTAAACTCCTCCGAGATTTGATCACTCGATGCCAAGTATTCAGCAATAACCATACATTTCATCGCCGATTTGCTGCCCATAATATAGACATGCATTTGTATACAAAGCAATGGAAATCCCAAGCCAAACATACATATGTATCACGCATAATTTACTCCAAACAAGAAATTTAATCACATATCTAAAGACGTTAACCACAAATTTGCAGAGAGACCACAATTTAAGCTACAAATTCTGTTGCATTCACTATTTAATAACGTCTTTTGTATTGGTTCAGAGAACAAATAGGAAGACGTTGTGGGAACTTTTGACTTCTGAGCTTCAATTTAGAAGTATTTACCGTCAAGAACTTTGTCTGTTTAAGAAAACAGACTTCAGCATTGATGATGCAAAATTCTCTCTGTAAAAACATTTCTGGCATATAAGCTTTCCGCATAAAATACTTTTTGCCAGAGAAAGAAGCATCAGTATATTATAGTATGCTCTTTCTCTTTTAAATACTCTCTTTTGTGGTACGTTTAACTACAAACTTTTGACTGCATTTAAGAGGCAAGAACGCTGTGTATGTACATAAATTAGGTAAGCCACACGCTTATACTGGAATGTTTTCACTGCTCCTGTATGATATTCAATGTAAGCTGTGAAAGTATGTAGTCCTCTTGCATAACATAACACAATCTACTGTGCTAAACTCTCTGAGTTCCACAGATTTTCCAAATTATTTGATACTTTAGTGCGAAAATGTGCATCAAATTCATGTGAGAGTTTCAAGTGATTTCTATTAGTTGTGAATAGGGGCATTTTGAAATCCTTGGACACCTCGTGAAGCACACGGCATAATGGCTATAGAGGTCATTAATCAAGAATATTGTTGGTTGGGTGATTTGAAGAACGAACACAATTACCAGTTAGCAATTACGTGGTAAGAAAGTGTACACTGAGAGAAGCCTAATTTGGGAAACAAAGTAAATTTCGGGAGGCATTATAGGATTCTACTGTTCTCAAACTTTAGGGTGTGTACGCTCTAGTTTCGTGTCTCCCTCTGAAACAGGTCCAAAACTCACCAAAACTATGTGGTTGCAAAAAGTACTCCTCCGCTAGTTTCATAATTAAATATGTTATATCATGAAATTCAACTAGATAACAGCATGTCTCTGTCTAGTGAGTTTACCAAAAAACTTGTCAAATATATAATATTAAAAAAAGAGAAGTCAAAAACTGAAAAGTCACCAATTAGTTTTCTCATTTCTTCATATTTCGTATATTTGTGTGTAAAACACAGTTTGTAGAATAAAAATTTTGATGGCAAAAAAAATTAAAACACGTAAGAAAAATCACAAATTCACTGAATCACATAACAAAGAGAGAAAAATGTATCGTGAAACCACCATGCAAGAATATCAAACTCAAGTATGTTAATTGTACAGTGTAATGTGGTCGAAATTAAAAAATTGTTCTCATGTAAATTAAATTCAACATTCTTCAAGTTGTTTCCAAATGAAAAAAAGGAAGCTCGAGTGGAAAGTTTATCCTTGATATGGAAATTAATGGTATGAGAAATTTCTTTCTGCACAAGGTAAAATTGTTATTGTAAGAAGCATTAAATTTTTCTTTCACAAACACATCGACTTTTGGGGCGTAAAGTGATGGGAACACATTTGTAAACCATTTCATCTGCCCACAATGTGCCACCTTTCTCGACCAAAAGCGACGTGTTAATGCCTAAGAAGAACGGCGGAAGAAAAACAATTTGCGAGAATGTTGAATTGGAATGCGAATGGATATTAATTTAGGCAATTTCGCTGATGGACTTACGTCGATCTTCCTCCTTCACGCGGATCCTCAGCATTCCTCGCACTGTGGGCAATTCAACGGTTTGATTGGCAAATTGTCGCAGCTCCCCCATCGTGAATGCTCTGTCGCCCACAATGAGATGACGCCCCAAGATTTCAGACGCCTGGAGCACGAGAGAGACATAAGAAGCCATGTTAGAGGGATAAAAATTTCATAGTGACATGGAAGGATGAGCGACACATTACTTGTTGTGCATATTCTGGGAGGAAAAGCTTTCGCAGAGCATTAGGGTAGACAGCTTCAGAATTTTTCCAAGCTCTATCTCTCGGTACAAAATATGTAAATCGCTTGGTCTTCTCCGCCAGCTGCTGGTTGAACCTCCCATGGCTTCCGATGTTGAATGTGTGCCTGCAAGTGCGGGGTGGGAAGAAAAGGAATCAAACAAGATTAATTTGGCGAAATTGAAGTGGAGGCAAAAAAGGGTATAGCCAATTCTCGTGGTATATCCTCTCTCAAAACTCACTTTAGCATGGGATCCGTTCGCAATTTATCCAAAACTGTGGAATACGGTACACCTAAGACTTTATCAATGATGTGAACGAAGCCATTTGTAGCCGCAATATCCGCCTGAATTATTGTGGCATTCACACCGCCACCCTCAACTGTTATCGTCTGATTTCGGTCACGATTTGTGAAAATATTGAAGTAGAGAAATCGGCGATCCACCAGCGTCGGGACTTGATTAATCTGCCAATATTAGAGATTGTATTATTGCCGAGAGCGAAAGGATGTGTTCAAGGTTGTGCACCCAAAATAATGTGACCAAACGTCTTCGTTTCTAATGGGGGCGCATATGTCTCAATTTCAATTTCTCTCTTTCTACCTTGCCCTCATGGCCCAAGGGGATGTCACACGCTTACCATTCAGATTACAAGAACAACAGAAGAAGACGTTGCGACGTGAAATATGATTCCACAGATAGAATCTTTAAAACTTTTTACAGCAAAAATATACTTTTTGAGCACCGATAAAAAGTATAGGAGAATAAGGGGAGAACGTTTCTTTCCCCTTTGTTTATCTATAAAATTTAATTTGCCACACTTCCTCTATGATAAACTTTTACACCCACCGTTATTGAGTTTAAATGGCTCCCACCTAGAAGAGGATTCACAAATGGTGTTTGCGTTATGGTGCAGAAACCGTAGAAACAGTGTTAAAATTTATCTAAAATATCCTTTTAGAAACAGGCTTTTCAACACCGTAAAGAATTTACCTGCCATTATTATTTACTGGTCTCCACGCATAGGATTCTGTTGATTTTATTTTAAAGATGTCACATTTTCGCCAAAGAGTTAGACTTTTGGGTGCCATCAAATATTAAAGGAGTGAAACGTGCTTTCTCAGGACGTAAAATCGGCATGAAGGATATGAATATTACAGAGAATATACAGTGTATCATTTCAGATTCCTTTAAAGGCACAATATTTCGAGCTTTTACGACAATCTTTATAGGTAATATGTATTAAAGCTCGGGGCCACATGCGGCCCGGGTGACGTACTCCTTGAGCCACAGGACGCACTCGCTGTGTCGGCTTTAAACTGGCCCACTGACCTGATTGAGATTATTCGTTTTAATCTTGTCCGTGTTGAGTCTGTCCTTAACGATGTGAAGATTGAGAATCTCCCTCATCCGCTCCCTGTTGCGGATGATGTTGTTCAAATTGGTGTCACTCCAAGCCTCATTGCTGGGCGCGAAGAGGGTAACGTCCTTCATTCGCCGGATCTGCTGCACGAACTCCGCACCGAAGTCCTGAATGACTTCGAAGAATTTCGACAGCGGCCCGTCCTCTTTCTCCTGAGAGCAGAGTAGACAATTAATTACCAAGAGTGAAGGATGGAATCTCAGCACACTGAGAGAGAGATAAAGAAATTTTTCAGCAACTCCACAGAAACACTTGTGTATTCATTTAACGGATGAATGGCCATCTTCAGTCATTTATTCTCATCGCAAGAGACTGATATAAAAAATGATCTCAAACATATGGATGTACACATCCATACGGAATGTAGCGATTTTGAGTCATATCTCATGTTCTATGCGCTTAGGAAGAGTCCATAAAAACACAAATAAGAAATCTGTGAAGCATGCAAGCACTCGGAAATAAATAATATGACATATTAAGCCACTTCTCATGACAAGTTTTGCAATAATTTCGTGCCTATAAACTGTACGAGAAAGAATGAATGATAGAAGCAAACCAATAAATCAATTCTTAGAGTAATAGTTCGAATTTCAAAGAACACAAAGTGAAAAGCTCACAAAATAAGTGGAAAAAATACACAAAAGTAAACGCAAAAAGACTTAGTTGTAAATGTTGAACGCGTGCAGAAAATTACCTTGAAGGACTATATTTTCAGTGAATATCCCATTATTACATAGAAAGCATTGTAAGTATAAGTAGATAATGTAAAGAGTTTATGAGTGTTCTTGTGTTAGGTCATATTATATCCTTCTTTTCTTCCAATTGTGGTTGATTCGTGAGGCATAAGCAATTGTATTTAACAATTAAAACAAGATGAGACGGAAAGAAATGATTGAGTAAACCGAAGCAAGTGCAGATAATTTTATACTTGGTCTAGTATTCATGTATTCGCAGTGCTGTTCTAAGAGAAATCAAAGTCAAAACTACAGTTTCTGAAAGATAGAAGTTCAATCAAAGTTAGATATGAATTTCGACAGAAATATTCTTCGTATTTCAACAAGCGAAATTCTGTCCATGATTTATTTCCATATCCTTCAATATTATGATTTGTGGGCGAGAAATCTCAATAGTGATAATGTAGATATTTCTATTTGGTATATATTTGGTGATGAAAATTCACAAAAGATCCCATATTTCATGAGATTTTGTATTATCGATTTTGAAATCACGAAGCGCGTTGGTTGTGTGCAATGTTCGTGAGCCTGTCAGCAAAACCGCATAACTGCTACAGAATTACCATGAAATCTTGGCCGGAAACCATATGAAAACGATTTGCCATGGAGACCATCCCGTTCCTAATATTCTATCATAGAACTTAAGCACAACCATTCAGGACATCATCAATTCCATACATCCGCTATTGTTACTCCTAACGAGGAGTTCTAAATCAATTTCCAACACGCGATAACTCAGAAAACCTTTTCCATACTGAAAAACATTCAATCTCAATGAAATTTCGCACTTTAAATTACTTTAATAACAAGGAATAGTAAAAGATTGATCCATTTTCTCGTTATCAAGCATCCGAATTTTCTAATCTTCTTTGAGAGGTGAAAAAGAGGGAAAGAACATGAGGTTCATCAGTAAATTGCATTAGGTCACAAATGAAAGTGTCAGTGAGTACGAAATTAGCTCGCGCACCTAATTAAATTTCCAGAGGGGTGTTTGCTTCAGACCATGAACTTTTCAAACCATCCTCTCACATAATAGTGTTCATGACGCTCTCACACTGCAATTATTTCATCTGTGACGCAATTTCGGAATTCATTGACAGAAATATTAAATTAAAATCCATTCTAGCGTAAATTCATGAGGTCAAGATCGATCTAATATTATTGCAAATTTCAATAAACACCTTAATGGGATTTACCACACGATAAATAGTGGATTAAATTTGATAGCCATAGAAAACACACTCAATCAGCATAATAGTCTTTTCGCGAGAGTTCTCTTTCATCTCATCTCGAATGGAATATTGATTTTCCGCTTGTGGTCTCCGATGGCTCATCTCACAATTCGATTTCCTCTGTTGAGAGCGAAAATGATTCATACCTCTAGAAACTGAATCACATTGGTGTCCACAATGACTAATGGTCTCTGGATCAAGTGCACCACCCCATTTTCCACGGGGATGTTGGCTCTCACAATTTCCGAAAGTACCACTCCAGGAGCATGCACAGAATCACCAATGAGGGTCTGTGACTTCACGTATGCTGCAAAAAAGAGAATCACAAGTTGCTGATTAAGTTCCCGAGACAAGCATCTGGGGTGGGAGACACGCACTTTTTATATTCTTGCCATCTGCCTGGGAAAAGAATGTGATCAACACTTTCAGATTGTCCTCGAAGGCAGCTGTTGGCAGGGGATCGTCCAGCGGAGCCGCTGCCGTGAACACCGTGCGATTCGGTATAATATGCCCATCGATGACCTTTCGATCGATCATCTCGGGTCTGTGAGGCGACTTGAATCCCTCCTCGACGGGAATCAAGAAAGTGTGTGCTCCTGGAGTTTGGTACAAGTACTCCTTCTTGTGCAAGATCACCTTCTGTCTGTACGATCGCACCCGATGGTTGCCAATGTCCAGACTCTCTGAGAAGGTAAGGAATTGGAAGGCATCGGGATTGTGCACGTCCACTGTGGAGGACGAAATTGTCGTCAGTGGCTGCAAGACGTCGTCAATCACGTGTAAAATCTGAAATTCGATACAGTTTTTCATTATAAAAACTCTGTCACGACAACAAAACACTGTAACCAATGCAATAAAAGCGATAAAAAACTATAAGCGATTTTAAGTGCGGGCGAAAATGTAATAAAACCCGCTTCCAAGTCATTTCCGATATATTTATTGGTCGATAAAACACTACTACGATTGGGCTTCTGAGATAATGAGTTTTAGAACTGTAATAATCTCTACTTTAAAATATCTACTGAGTGAGTTTATAGACTTCGTGACAACACCGAAATGAATCACAGTGATTTCCCCAGAACGAGATTTCTGAATCACACCACATGCTATACTACTGCAATTTTCTTTTACAAACTCCTGCATTGTGCGATGCAGTGAAACTTCCTTACAATGAGCTCAAGATAGCATCTCATGGGAGAACGGAGATGTAAAGTGAGGAAATAAAAACATGACACGTGTAAGGAACTTTGGCTACACTCCATTTACCCCTTGCATCTTCATATGCGCCACAGAAATTCCCCCAACAAATTAACATTTTGTTGGTATAATTAATTTTCTGAAAAGACCGCAAGCAGAGAGTAACTTCTGCATCCTAATGAATACTTACTTGCTTCTTCCCTTCCTTGTTAATGAGCTGAACATTCGATCTTGACTTTATAATTAGTGCATTATTGACAAATATCTGATCTATATTCTGATGTCGCCTCCTCGTTATGTAGAGTGGAGGATTTCCTTCCATATCTGAAGTCACAGATGGCTTCAATTGCTCCAGAGTACTTGCCACAGTTACTATAAATACATCAAGAGAGCGAAGAAAAGAGTCACAAACAGCGTCTTACAAATTGTATCAATCTTCTTTCTTCGCAATGGTGTTTTCATTATCTCCCCAAATGGCAAACTTACACATGTGGTAGAGGACGTAAGTCTTATTCCCGAAATAGCGCTGGAATGCCTTGTTGGTGGGCGCAAAGAGAGTCAACGACCGGAAGTTGAGTGCCGTGCTTGCAATTTGATTCCTTTCCAATAATGAATAAAACTGAAAGTGAAAGAGAGAAAATAGAGGTTAGCGCGATGATGCCGACGCAAAACAAAGTGCGAATAGAATATTGTAACTTGTATGGGTTTATCCGTGGCGACATGGGTGAAATATTGGGAGATTGATCACTAAGGAATGTAATTCAATATAGCCCTTTTCGCCATAATAAAAGAGACGCGTCTTGTCTCTTCCGATGGCAAACAAACATCACAATAGAGAGGATATGAGGCGAGTTTATGTATTGATTCTCAATATATTTCTCGCCCCTATAATTGTATAATTTTACAGGGGGCACCCTTAAAAAAATCTTCACATGCGTAATCTCATTTGGGAAGGTCTTTTGCTACACCATGACTCATTGTCTACGCCGAGGGGTTCCACTTAATCATGAATAATGTTTCGTCTCCCAATCGATGTCGCTATTGAACAAAACAATTAAATTACACTAGGACGTTTGAGTTACACTACATTCTGCCGAATGGCAAAAAATCCCGCTGGGGAGTGTTTTGTATCGCATCATCTTAATATACAAGTTGATAGCGATATTGAGTCGTTCCTCTCACACTCTTCGGCTCACTCCCCAATAAATTCTCAACATTGTGAAGAGATGTTGTGAATTTTTCGAGGGTTCCAGCCAACTCGAGCGTCCATGCTGAAAGATATCGCATTAAAGCGAGAGTCAAAAATCTAATTCACTCTCATACTCGCTCTCGACTATAAACGAGAATAGTGCATGTATAAGTGATGAGTCATAAGACGAATTATGCGACAATGTGTGGCAATAGGATGCTGAACCCCGATGAGAGCTCGCTGGGAAGCAGAATCTCAAAGATTCATGGGGTACTTCAGGAACAGGCAATTTCACTTCGCCACCGGATAAGAAATATTAACGATATGTTCGGGATTATAAATTTTACTCCCGCCACACAATAACAGCAATCTCATACAGAAATGAGCGACGACAGTCGGTGGAACATGAGTCACAATGGGCGATTCGGGGTGGAAGTTAAGTAGTTCACAAAAGGTCAATTGCACTGAGACATTTCACAATGATCTTCATCCAGTGTTTGCTCAATTACATTACATTTCACCACTTATTTGGATTTTTTAGGAAGGAAATTCTTTTCACTTCATTTACATATTTTTTATCTGTACAGAATTCCCCAATTAGTGAGAAATAAACATTCAATCAATCAAAGACGAAAGTCTTGGAATCAACAGGCATTTCAGTTGAATTTTCCGCGATTTCCAAGAATTTTCCCGCCCTCTTCCTTCTCGCTTTACTCTCTATTTAATTTAGCTTAAAATTAAATTTGACCCACATTTACCAGTTGAGGGAGGCCAAATTTTTTGGAAATCTAATTCTCTACGCGTACAAAATAAACTTTACCCAGACAATTTGTTTATCTCTTCAAATAGACTGCATTAAGCAAATACAAAGTGCTTCCTACGCTTGGCTTTGTGTAAATCTTGACACTCAGACAAATACAAATTATCTTTTCTCCTTCTCACCGTAAAGTCACCTTTAATATCTCTAAAGCCGTAAAATAATAGACAAATATATTTTGCACTAATCCACAAGCGCCTGAGGAGCAATAAAAGTATAAGGAGGGATTTCTTCGCGTAATTCTACCTCACAATGGAAAGAATAACAGGAAAATACTTTATTCATGATAGCCCTGTTTATTTATTCAATTTTGTATAATGTTTGGAAAATCTCTCATAGCACACATCCCTTGCGCTCCTCTCTTTGACTAACTGACCCTCGAGAACTTCTCACAGGGGGTTGAAATCGGATACCTGAGAGTCGTCAAACAAAAACTTAGTTCATTGCCTCCCAAAGAACACCCATCGCCGGATATAAAGAGTTTCTTGTGGTGCTTTCACAAGAAGGATATTCCCTCCTTATTCCCTTGTTTACCCAAACATTAGGCTCACCCAGCAATTTCACCGTTTCGAAACAGTTGATCATTGATGGAAGGCCCGATGGTGGAGGGAAGTTTCGCCTCAGGGTTGGTTGCTTCAAAACACAATTTCCTTCAATTTTAAATTCAATTGCATGTCTATTCGCTCAGGGTGGTCCTCACCAGCAGTGAGTCGTTTGATTTAATATTTAACAACCACCAACCAGAAACAGGATGACATCCGGTTCAATCAAAATGGCGCATAATTGTTCCACCTTCTCCTCATCACCTTCTTAAATCACCTCCCCTGGCGAAATATTTCGGCATGGTGAGCAATCAATGCCGTTCGCACAAAAACCACCTGCCACAAAGAGTCTCCTTGCGGCGAGTTTTAGAATCCTGACTGTGTAAATTTTATGATACATATAACATCATAAAGATTGCGGAGAGTCTGATAATAAATATAATTGAAATAATATTGGCGCTTATTTGGAAAGGGTAATTCGCAATGACAACTTCATAGTAGAATACTGTGATAGTATTTCATGAAAAATATGTATATACTTTTATCTATAGAAACTTTGTATTCTAATTGATTTATAACATGCATTAATCATATACAATTTCTGTGTATTTTCAACACAAAATCACGGAAATTTTACGGCGGTTTATTATTTATGCCCACAGAGAAATTTTACGGTTTTATACATATTTACATGCATATTGAGTCTACTCAGTATTTAAACGTGAAGTTTCAATGAATTAAGGCCATCAAAAGGGTAATTTTAACTCTCACTCCCTCCCTGCCTAATCGTCGGTAATCCATCATTTTTTCATAAGCACTCACTCCACTCATTAAAAATGCGGTGGTGATTCGGTGATTAAGCTCCAGAAAACATATTATCCAATTCCAAATAAAAGAATAAATGCAGCGAAGCAAACATTAGCCTAGGCCAAGGAGTATTTTCTCATATTCAAACTAATGTAGATTATGCGTCTTTTATGCGACACCCGCATAACCTCTGTTCCCATAAACTCTACTTATCTGGGATGATCTCAAGAAAGCGCAGCTGTATTTTCCAACAACACCTAACTCGGTAAAATGCACTTTATGCCCCGTTTTCATGTTCTCACTTCGCTCAACAACAAATTTCTCCTGCATAAACCAAATAATAAAACCCGTAATCTCTAATCTTACATTTATTTTAGGGAAAAGTTTAATTACTTTTTCATGGGGGCAAAATAAATTTTTTATACGATGTAGTGATAGACGGTTATACATAATTGCTCTCAATGTGAAACCCATATATTGACAGAGGCATATAATTTCCATATGCCGACGCACGTATATTTGTACAAGAAAGGGGTAATCGTCAAAATTAATGATTTTCACACTCTTGAAGCACACTTTGGATGTGTTATGGCATCGGATATGTATGAATATTACAACGACGCCACTTGAAGTACAATTTAATAAACCTCACACGAGGAGGGATAACCCGTAATGTTCCTCAAAATTTTGACATAAACGTGCGGAGGAGAGCACATTGCCCGATCGTTTGTTTTTTGACACTCCGGAGAGTATGTTAAGTGGTGTCGGCGGCACTCATTATATCCACCCAAGAACTCCTTCACCCACAAAAAGGTTTGGCCTAATAGCTCAATCGTGTCTTATTGGGGCGCACAATGGGCACAATGCCAGGGGAAATCATCACTGAGAACCCTCAAAGTTCTGTGAAAAATTTCCATAGTAAGTGGGGTTAATTAAAAAGCCCAACAAATATCACAATCATATCAGGGGATCTTGCAGATGTCTAAATTTGACTAAATAGCACAATGTAGAGAGATTTTGGGCTTTCAACCCTTTTATTCGGGGCATTTCTCTTATGAGAATGACAAATTATGCGTGAATTCACAGGGCATAAACCATGTTGGGTGGAGAATTTCGTGTTATTATGTTAATTTAGAGAAAAAAAATATGCTTCTAGAATCTCAACTTTTCCTCAAGCTCGGAAATGCAGAGATGTTAATGGATTGTCGGAGAGAGTAATTTGCTGCTGAGATTCGATTTGAATATTTTGCTCGATTTCCATCAAAGGTGAAATTCTCTGAAATTCAATCATGTGCAATATGATAAAGTAATTTAGCTGACACGATTTGACGAGGGTGAAATGCGTTCTGTGTGTGCAGACAGTTGCAAATCCAAAATAATTGACCATCTAATGAAAATGACACAGTGTGGCGCCCCTTTAATTATTCACAGTGGAAAATGAAGACATTCTCAGTGCTGTGCCCTGAAATTTTCCCCTGCTGGAAATGTCTGCTTACATCCCCGTGTGCTTGATGACATCCATTCAAAATGTATCAAATCATTTTCATCTCTCGCATGTCAAATATTTGAGCTCATTGCTTTCCCTCCAATCGCCTCTTTCATTTGATCATTCTCTCTTTTTGCATTTGATGAATAGGAGCATCCGAGTGACTCAAACGATGTCATATATCCATTTCAATAGGCGCAACGCAAGGTATTTCCCCAGCGAATAATAGCATTTCGCTTTACTCCAATTCATCTGCAAGTTCTCTCTCAGCAAAAACGCTGTCGTACTCACAGTATTAACGAAAATGAATGAGCATACAGCACTTCAATCGATGCTCGCTTCCGTGTGCCTTTCCCAATGTCTGTGGTAGGAAAGCATGTCAAGATAAATTTTCATTTTCGATACAACAATGCAAACATCAGAGAACTACTCACAGTCTTCCCTCATTTCCACGTTTTCCTCCACCAACACCTTTCCATTCTCTCGCGTTCCTTTATCTTCACACAATTATCGCAAACTTGCTTAAGTGCTATTCTTGCAAAGGGATTCATACTGCTATTGTAATCGGGAGAGCATTAAATCCACGTAAGCCAATAGCCATCGAGGAAACCTAAAGAATCACAAAACACGTGAGTTGTTTTTCCCATTCGCAAATACATTTCCCGAACCCCAGCAAAACCATTTATGAATGTGTAAACATATCCATAAATTAATGATCCTTCGCGTGCAATTTGAATGAAGAAATATTCTAGATTATTGATTCAATAAATTGCCAGAACAATAATGTGTAAACAATGGCACTGTTCTGCTTCCCAAAGTGATAATAGATGAGTATTTTTCCACATAAATGGATCAATAAATATGCCAGTTGTCACTCCAGCATCCCAAATAGACACACTTTTTGCTCATTAAATATTTTGTTATACGGCATAAAATGAAGTGCTACAGATGATAGCTCACAAATTCTGACGACCACTGACGTTATTTGCCGCCGAAATGGATGAGAATGTTGTTATTCAATTTTCTCAAAAAAAAAACACCCCAACATGTGTTCACCGAGAGCGCTATTTAATTGAAATTGATTCTGTTAGCACTTACTTCATAAATGAATAGAATATAACTAAGTGAATATGTGTATCTCAAATTTATCCTCATAACTTCTCCACACAATGCTCCGCAATGAAGTCGAAATGCGGACGAGCGCATACTTTCTGTTTGAAATTCTGAAGCTGGCATCAATATTTTGCTATTCTCTGCACATTTTCTTGACTTATTTCATACTTTATACATATTTTGGTGAATGAGAGAGCAAGCAAAAAATCTCATAACAAGCTCTTGTTTATCTTCCACGATTTTCGTAATGTATACGAATGAGAAAATTTGAATAATTTTGCTACAATATCGCAAGAAAGTGTTTTCACGGGAAACATTGAGAAGAGCAAGAAATTAAGAACACCGCCCATCAAATGATCCAAATTATTCACAGTGCCAGCAGATATTTCTCTTGCGTTCATCTTGTTAAAATATTGGTATGACTTATAGAGGTAATGGAAAATTACAACAAACACCCAAGGGGTAAATATTACGATATAAGCGTTGTACGTGCGACTGTGGTTTATGTCAAGATAAACTGAACACAGCATAGTTACAACAATTCAGTTTGGAGACAATAATGATTGTTTTATCGAGTTCTCGTTAAGGACTTTCGAGGACATGTCTCTAAAGGACTCGATATACATTGTAATTATCATCCTTTCAGACACTCTGTACGTGACTTGCTCGCGTTTTTATGGTAAATCCTGCTCGGCATTCAAAAGACTAAGACTATAAAGTCTCAATGGAAGGCTTATTGAATTTATATTGTAAGGATTGAGAGCATTGTCTTAATTGTGGTGTTAATTCTACATTATAGTCTCTAATGATGTTCAATTAAATGCACGTATTTTCACATGATTGTACCAGTTAGCCTTGTCATACTCATTCATATTACACAATTCTGTCTTCCAGCTAAATATTGATCTATTGCATTGCACTCAAGCAATTTTCATAACTCCTAGGCGAACAAAGATTTCAAAATATAAGTACACCAGCGTGGTGTACACTTTCTTCTAATAATAGTCGACCTTTGAAAAGTTCGGCCTTCACGCAATTTTGAGTCAATCCACTAATTAATTAACACATTGCCAGACCATCTTGACACAACAAATTCCTGCCAAACGACACATTTCAGCGTAATTACAGCCAGCAGACAGAGTGCAAAATATTATTAATATTCGTCTGCATTACATCCACGTCGAGAAAAACGGCGTGAAGAAAGATGGAATTTATAATGCGGGCAATGCATAAGTAAATAGGTCCTGAATATTTCTAATGAATTTCAAGTCTCCTCCAGAACAGTCGCACGTTGATGTATAACAAAATTTTACTTCATTTAAAGCGTCAGGTATTAATACAATCTTTTATTTATGTAATGCATAAAATATTCCGGCTACGTCTTCCAGACGAGTAGCAACCATGTGATGAGAATAAAATTGCTAGTTGAGATATTTTCTCTAAAGCCAAATTTTCAAACTCACCATCCTCAAAGGTGAAGCACTTCCTCGCCTTTTCTATCGCTTCAATTGGAAATTTATGACTAAATCTTTCATTTCTCAGTGCATTAGTGGTATACTTTATACTGGACAACCTCGGAAGGCGGTGGAAAATTCGAAATTCTCGTCTTTAAAACTTCACATGCCCTTAAAGGGTACTAATCAAGAAAGCGAGTGAAGCGAGTCCACCCTCTGGAATAGTGAATAATTTATGAAGCCTTAGAAACCCGCTGAGTGATTCTGCTTTCAGTGTTGGCCGAGCAAGATAAATATTGTCTTTGAAAACTGTGCCATCCTGAAATGAGTCCCGACTACGTTTTTCGCCCTTCTCCGGCAGTGCTGAAAGCATTAGGGAAAGTTAAACCTTTAAACGGTCAGTCTCTCATGAATTGATAGAAAGAAACTTTTGCAATCAATTACAGGGAAGATGTTTGAAGGTAATGTAATCTGATTTGATAGCAGGGAAGTCACGAAAGTCCTCACGAGACCGAGCATGCTTATCTAATTGAAAAGACGCTGAAGTACAGGGCAAAGTCCTCAGCAGTTCATGGTCTTAAGGTTGTGCCGTGAAACGTGTGACTATTAATTATAGATTTTCTGTCATTTTCAGCTCTGATAACCCTATATTTCAATTTATACTCAAAGCGGAGAATATGTTTGACGGAGATTTATCAAAGCCCGTCCTTGTGGCAAATTTTCCGCCCCATACAAAGGCCATTCAATGATGCCATAGAAAACGCCAGCTCTAGATTCCAAATTGAAAAATGATTACAGATAATATGCAAATTTCGCTTCCTTCTCCCGCGGTGAGAGTTTTCGACAATTGATTCAAATGGGTTAAGAATAACGATGTTTATTCATTCAGGCTTAGATTTTATCAATATTCCGAAATAACATTTCGCCGAAGAGTTTAAGCCAACTTTGCATAACTTTTCTAATATTGCCCTCAATATCCCCATCCTCAAATCCCTCCTAAATTTAAAGCCTCAACCTCTAAGCACTTCGGTAACTCACATTTTAGCGATACTCAAAATGGATTTTTGATTTTTTCTCCACACCATTCATATTTTAGTCACGTCGCCTTTCGGGGATTTTATTTTCATTCTCATCGTTCTCATCCGAGATGGAGTTTGAAAAATTGGCTCTATGAGATTTCTCTTGCTGGCAAGAGACATAATTCTTCATCTCTCGACCCTGCGTATCGATAGGTAATTGCTGGAAGGAATCTTATCCATAACTTGCCACTTCTAATCATAATTGTCGCACATTAAGCACTTCCTCTCGAGTGGCTCGGAACACGTTTCGATGCAATTGGACAATTATGCACTTGCACGTTTCGGTGTGTGTGTGTTGGGAATCAAGTTCATGAGCCACTTGGCGGCGAAGCCGTGTACATGGGTGTGGAGCACACATATGACCAAGCACATTTCCACCTCAAATCAACAAAGAACAGGTTTCACCGTGTGACGCCTCGAGTGCATACATGAATGATATTTTCTGGTGAAAATGCCACCATCATCAGCCAAATTCACTTTCCACCCGGGCCGGGAGTGTGAGCACGGGTGGTTCTCATACCTGAGATAAATCCGGATCATCGCGAATTTTTTCCTCCAGAGTCAGGGCGTCCATTTGTGAGATGAGAGGAAACAATAGGACTATTAACACAAATCCACGGGCCATTTTTGAGACGCTGACGCAGCACCAGGTGAGTCGCAAATATCTTCTCGGCCACAGACTCTTCTATAATCTTCACGCAACTGACCAAGTATTTAACAAGACACTTTATTGCTCCAAATTGGAAATTACTCCACATACACCAAATAGCTCATCGCCTCGCGAACGACACGCACACTCACTCTCACGGTACAGCCCTCACTGAAGTCTCCGTATTGACTATCCGACCGAGCGGTGCGAAAGCAGCGGCGCTATGCTGAGTATGTACACCGCACGACTGGAGCGAGTTCTCCTCGTCGCATTGGAAGCTGCCTGCTCATCTCGGCCTTCCAGCCCGACTTCCAACACATCATCCGTCAACTGTCTCTCTCCACCACACCTCTCTCTCTTTCCCTCCTGCGCAAGCCTTCGCTCCCGGCGGGAACAAGTGCCGCGCGCTCAATAGACTGGAACAGAGGGGAAGCGCGCTCTTCGCTCTCCGGCCGACACACTCTAGTGTGAATCTGGAAGCGGGATTGGCGGGAAAGGGACTCGGTAGATTGCCAGAGCAGAACAAATGGTGAATATTCCAGCTATTGCCATTCACATACATTTCGGCGTGTTTTATTGATACTGTGCTGGAAAATGATTTGCTTATTCACGCAATTGAAACGGAAATAACGAGAAATGGAAGAGATTTCACCCGAATTTTACTACTCAATCCTTTTTCCTGGAAATTACATCAATATCCCAAAAGCATTTGCGAGGGGTTCAGATGTGCCTTTTGCGCTTTTTGAGCCACATTTAAGCGCGTAGATGGATTTCCCGCGCCTTAAGTGGTGTACACACTTCGACTTCACACGTGCACTCCTTGAGAATGCTACAAGTCCTGAAGAACGAAGAATATCGAAGAAGAACTTTCCATTATTCAATGGAATCTGATTGGAGTTGTCGAGACGTTGGCGTGTTCCTATTGTTCAACTATCGGACAAGTTATCTTGCCGGAAATTTTCTTATAAATTGAGCAAGATTTTGAGAGACAAGTGATTGAATTTCCAAAACTCAATTGAGAGAAATTTATTTTTCGCAAAATTGTCGCTCACTTGTAAATTAAATTTATGTAATTTGCGCTTTATTACAAGGGTTCCCAATAAACCCAATAAAGCTAAATTGAATTATATTGTCTGGGCGGACTGAGCACATTTGGAAATATTCCCTGACCAATTACATTCGCAGAAATGATTTATATTCAGGGGGCAATTTGGGAGGATTCCCGGAGAGCAGGACAAGAGCTTATTGTATGTACATCTCCACCCCTTAGCAACTACACACTTTCTATGATTTTAGGTATGTATGACTGTCGGCTGCCTCTAATTCCAGCGGCGACACCGAGTCGCTCTTCCGAGGCACCCTTTTTGCGGGAATCAAATTAAAATCACACTTTAAACACAGAGGAAAAGTGTTGAACTTTGTGAAAAAGCCCGGCAGGGGAAATTTCATGCCTGATATGCTAACTTTGCAGTGCTAAGTAAACATTTTAATATTTATCGGGGTGGCAAATAATACAATATTTGGGGAGGATTCTTCAAAAACACCTTCTCTGACTTGATACTTTCGCACTCCAATAAAATTTAGTGATTACGCTCCTGTGAGGATTATATAATGAAGTGGAAATGATGTGCTTTTAGAAACTTCCTCTTATATCCCATGATAATGACTTTCTGTGATATCTTTGCAACACATTCATCCCCTCTATATTCACTCACTGTCTCGCCTCAATTAATTGCAATGCGCCAATGAATTATATATACACTTGCATGATCGACATTTCGTTTCCGACACCCGCAAGTCTTTTTTTTCACCCCCTGAACCTTGTGTCAGCACCGGTCCGGCTATTTTTGGCGCCACGAAGTCGGCGAACGCAGACGCCCCTTGAAAATAATTCATGGTATTTCCAGCTATAGTTGTAGTCCCGTGATATGTGTGATTCTCCCCTTCGATACTGCTCTAGTTAGTGTACGCAAAATTTTACATGCGTGTTTATAGCAATACTGCCTGATGGGGGTTGATTTCGCATGTTGAATACATAGCTTCATAGAAGACAAAAAAACCTATTAAAAAATTTTCTTTGCACAAGAGCAGAGGTAGAGTTCCTCTATAGGAAAGCAAATTAATGATTTATATCGCAAATAGTTCAAAAAGTTCTGTTTTATTGCTTGAAAGTCAATAAAAGCCATTTGACACACGCATTGCTTCCTTTTGCCTCTGCATTTTGCAAAAAGTTTGTTTGTTTGCTTCAGCATTCAATTATAAACTTATAGAGGGGTTTCGCTTCGTGTTATTTATTTTAAAAACACTCAACAATTTCATTGGGAAAATCTCCAATAATGAGTACACTCTGGCTGTAGAGTTCTGCTTGCCTTGGAGTCAAGTGAGATTTTAGTATGATTATTGATTTTTTGCAGCAGGGTTATAAGATTATATTACGAAACTTTTGTCATGAACCTCACCATAACTTTTCTTTCGTGCTTCTTGCCTCCACATACTGTCCAAATGCTAGTGAAACTCACAAGTCAAGCTGAAGACTGACGATTTTTCGCCAATGCTATAATGTTAGCTATTCTGTGAATTAATTTTCTTCAAAATTACCATATTGGAATTTAATTTTAAACCCCATGCATAGTGTTGAAATATTTCACTACCTCGCACTTGCGATGGAGCCCCGGTGTTGCCAAAAAAACCTCCAATTCGCGGAGGGTTCGGAGAATTGTTGGGGGAGATTTCGCCGCGTTGGGAGCCATTAAAGTTCCATTTGGGTCTTATTTTATTTTATTCACTAATTACACTACATTTGGCGCTGAATTTACGATGCCTTTTTCTGCTTCGACTGCTTGGCGTACGCTTTGAAGTAGAATTGGCTGAAGAGGAGGACAAATATCATGACGTAGACGATTTCGGTGATCACGTACCATTTGGGGTAGAAAGTACAGTTCATCCTCAAGGAGACAAAGTGAACGTACACGCCGAAGAGAAATTGGGCCTGGAATAATCGTGATTTCGAGTGATATTCGCGTAAAACTGCGGTACATGTATTAACTCGAGTACTCACTAATTGCAGTATCGTTAAATACTTTTTCCACCACAGGTACTTGGTCACGCTCGGACCGAGGAGGGTGAGTGCGTAGTAGAGATACATGATGACATGAACCCCGGAATTTATGATGATGGTTAGGAAACCTGAAAAGGGGTAGAAATTTGTTGAGCTTCGAGCGCTGCGGGAATCTCGAGGGGTGGTCTCACTGTTTCCAGTTGGGAACCATTTCACGCGGATCCAGATGAAGAACACTATACTGCTGTGATGGTAGATATGCAGGAAGCTCAAATTCTGATTCTTCTTCCTCAGCACAAAGAACACCGTGTCGAACAGCTCGATGTATTTGGCGATGTAGAAAAGCCACGAGACATTGGCCAGCTGAAAGATTTGGGATCATGAGTGGGGTCTGTGTGAGGCCGCGCATCGTCCTAAATTACCCGCATCTCTAGGGGATCCCTATTGTTTTTGGCACTCTCATTGCAGAAGAGACTGTATTTGAGGGTGGTTACGCAAGTGACAGTCTCGATGAGGATGTAGGCATTGATGAGGGCCACGAAGAGATTGTACAGCAGAATGAGTCCTTTCAAATTGAACGCCGGTCGACTGAAAAGACGACAACGCAATTGTAAAATCTCAGCTGAAGCATTAATCCCGATGATGAATGTATACTTCTTCATGTATTCAATGCCTCGCCGGACGGCCCAATTGTACAAGGCAACTGTTGCCAACACTGTGTAAACTGAGTCGACAAAGGCCCATCCTTTCGTCCTGTCATCTGGATAATTTCGAGAAATTATTTCCCAAATAACAAAAGCGATGCGATTTTTAATCTCTGTGAACCTGATAACTTGTCCGCATGGTTATATTCATCGTATACTTCCACAAGATAGTCCATTCTTTCCTCCTCGAAAGCACTTGTTCACCACTCACAACTTGTAACCGAACACGGACACTAAACGGTGGCGAATGCCTGAGCACCTATTTATACCCGAGCTCGGCGTCTGTCCAGAAGAAAGTATCGCCGTCTGTTTTTCCCTAATTTCCGGTCTTCCCTTTTTTCGTTAAACATATAATTGACCAACTTATGCTAATTCACCAATATCCATTGAAATGACGGTCTCAATAAAGCTTAGACTTCTTGTTAACTCGCCCGGTGTTAATAAAGCATTAAATATGCATCGGATAGATTTACATTCTGCTCCATAAACTCTGTTTGAACAAATTTCGAGAAAGCGCCCAAGTTTTCCACCAAGGATTGATCGATTTCGACACTTTTTTCCCTATGTTATGCTGAGCAAGGAAAACTTTCTCGTGATATTTTTGGGAGAACACCCTCGAGGGATGATATAAACTTTAAAGTCCCCAAATTCACTAGACTATAAATTGTCAAGGGGATCAATTTCAATAAATCTCCTCTGTTCAGATATGTCCATTGATTTAATAACTCGTGTCACACTACCTACACGTACAATATTGATTTAACCCCTGACGCCAATTTCACTACGCCAGGCTATTTTATTTTATACCCTATTAATAGCCACACGAGGTGGAAACCATATTACTCAACGATGTGTGCTTCGAAATCCCTATTTGATTAAAATACTATTTTTAGACACGCTCTTCCATCGCACTTTCCTCGAGACATCTTTTATCATATTTAGCAAACACTGAAACAGGAGTTCTTTTGCAGGCCGAAAATTTTTAAGGCACGCATGATGAATGGCATGCAAAGACATAATAAAGATTTAAGGTTAATGTGTAATTGCTGTTCAATATTAAACAGCTTTTTTCGTGATATAAATATTTACACAAATTGAATTATCTGAATATGTAATTGGATTGAATTGATTATAGTTTCTAGCTTTAATTTTATATTGATGGCGCACGACCGTGTGTGTCTACCTACTGATAAGCAATGCTAAACAATCGTGAGTGAGGAATTGAAATATGTGGGTTTCGAAGCCTCTTTAGCAAATGCGCCAAAACTTGTCCTAATTGCACACAATTTGCAAGAAAGATTTGAAGAGATTTCTTCGTATTTCGGGTACAGGATGCAAAAATAGCGGACAGATAAGAAGTCGCCACGCGTTTCTTTTGACCTTTTAGCCACAAAATCCACAAAATACGTGTGTCATAAATATTCATACGAATTAGCTGGCTAATCAATCAGAAAACTGTGAAACCTGTGAATTAAGTCCTTTATAGTCTTCCTCATGTAAATGTGAAATCTACATTTTACACCACTTACCTCTGATTGCTGCATGCAATTTTGAATGCCGCCCTGAGAAGTTCATTCACATATTTTCCGGCGCCCAAGCCAAAAGTGTTCTCTAACAAAATCGTTGGGGGAGTGCAATAGAAAGTTACTGGCAAACGACTGGCGTTGTGCAGGGCTGAGCAATTGCTCAGCAGAACGTGGCCGAAACTCAACTTCACCACTCCGCTGGAAGCACTTCCAGACACCTTCCAGTTCTCTTTCCACTCTGTGGTGAAGTTCCGAGCGAACCCCTCTGCGTATTGCCGGTCGAACGTTCCGTCATTCCCCTATCTCGCCACAGTAGTTTGAATACCTTGCGTGAAGTATGTGGCGTGAATGGTGGAAATGAGTTTTATTAATTATTCTACTTTAAATAATACTGTGTAAAGAGAACTTAACATCGAGACAGAGCAAAAGTAGTGCATTGTGTGTGTCTTTGCCGTGCAATTTTCTCCCATGTGACGCGTTTGCTCTTGAGTGGGAAAGCCAGAGAGTGAAATATTAGTGGTAGAGAAACAATCATTACAGGGTAAAACTGTTATATAATTATTGGAGTGTGCTTTCGGCAGTGAAAAGAAGTGCACAATGAAAGCTCCAGTGGGAATTGTGCTGATATTCCTCTCCTCACTGACTTTGGGGAAGAATGCAACCCTCGAGGAGCGAATAAGGGATGATTCGGATTTGTCACAGGTAAAAGCTCACCACCAGCTTTTCTCCGTTCAAGGCGAAACTCTCAATCAATAGAATACATTGTGAAAAGCTCACAAGGTTCTTTCACAACACAGAATTTCCTATGCATTTCCCATAATAAGTATATCTCCGAATTGTGTCATCGGCAAGTGGTCGCGAGAGTTTTTCCAGGACAAAGACATGCACAAAATCGATTTGCGAATATAGGCGGAAAGTCGGAAAGTGGAGTGAAATTAATGAAACTTTTTTATCGAGAGAAATCTTGTTCTAGTTTCGCATTTGCTCGTCATTTCCAAAAATATTGGAGCAGTGAATCCTTGCAGAAATAGTTTTACCTTGGCACTTAATAGGTCAACTGCGCTGTTTTTTCGATAAATGCAGAGGCATGAGTGAGGCACATTATGACTCAGTGCAATCGAAAGGACTGCAATTAAGCCCCGAAATACGGCGATAGATGTACTGCCCTGAGGTGTATCTACGTCGTACATACAGTAATTTGATATATACACCCTGAAATATAGCATTGTGTAATGTGGCAGTTGCATAACACTTCCATCCGCAATGCAGCCATTTCGGCACTCATATTCCTTTTTAGATCTAGCTTAAAATTGTAAATTGAGCTCGCGATGATGATGACAGAGGGACAACGTCGTCTGACAAGCCCGGGGAAGATTGTTGCCCTGATAATTTTCACGCTGAAGCTTAATGATTCGGGCTAACAGCAAAACATCTAAGGGGACAAAATTTTATCATACAAGTATAATTTTTTAAGAGGCTCAAAATTATACATTTTAAAGTCCATAAATGAAAAGTGCTTGAAAATAGATTTTCAGCTAGATGGTTCACTGTAAAATTAACAACGCCATCAGGGAAACCTAAAATAGAAGTGTGACAAAATTGATTCACTGCATGGAGAGTCTATTAAATATTTATAGTGTCGCGGGTAATTGGTAATATGCTTATAAACGATCATTCATCAAACTGTTCCCTATACAAAATTAAGCCACCAGCTGATGAATTAAATTGTCGCATCACAATGTTTGGCATAGAATATTTTAATCACTCTGCAACCTCTGATGCCAATCACTTTAAATCGAACATCTTCAGTGTGGAATTTTATAGAAATTCTTACAATATTTATGAATATTGGAGTCACTTTCTCAAACCCCGGACGAAATGGACGACAGCAATCAGAACAGCTCAGTATTGATTTTCTGTCCAGAGTGTGAAGCCCCATGAATTCGATACTTTCCTAAGCAGACAGACACTTTTCCTGCTCCCAACCCTTCAGCCCACGCCACAAGACAGCAAAATCAATAGATTATTGTACTGTTCACCTAATAATAAGACTTGACGCGCCACTTAACGAATTGCAAAATATTTCCTTCACCATCGCGGGAACACAATTCCGAGATATTGTTTTCGTACCTCCGCTGCTCAAGTTCAAAGAACTTCTGCTCGAGAAAAAAAATACTTTGTTTCTGGTGGAACTTGAGTCATTTTCGTAATTAGGTCTTCGAGTGTCTTCATTCTTTGGGCGAGAGGAGGTAGAGAATAAATAACATTCTTCTCTCCTCTCTCTGGTGCGTATATAGATTTCTCACATATGAAGTGTTTTATGCACAGACATTCGAGAATTGAACTCGAGAATAATGATTTTAAGTACCTTCTCGTTTTGTTGAATTTTTCAGAAGAGAAAATATGCATTTTTCTCCTCTCAGGCACTTCTTGTGCTGAAGATATCACGAGATGATGAGATGGATCAGAGCAAAGAAGAGTCTTATTATGGCGGTATTTATCTTCTCTTGTCTCTTTGCGAGACTGAATGAGTGGAGGTTTTACTTTTGTACGGAAATTGAAGTGAATGATCATTTTATTGGTCTCTAGCCGTCATATTGCATTGCAGACAACCAGTTTTAGTGGGATGTGCCCTATATATAAATATGCATTCTTATAGTTGATTTTTCAAATGTATAGAAAAAAAGGAACGATAAGAAGCAAGAGAAAATTGAGTTAAATTAAAACACAACACCACTAATTGTGAAATACATTGGCTTAATTAATAAGAAAAAAGTTGTATAAATGCCCCGACTATAGTTAAATGCCACTTCCATTGAGTAGATACATGAATCCACATGTTGAAGCCGGATGGTCAACACATTGGACTCTTATTGCGAATTCACTGGATGTCGTTCTCAAGTGCCGGACGAAAAAGAGTGGAAGAAAGGGCATCAAAATTCATTCTTGTTCAGCTGGTGAGGCGTAAAAAGTCAGGGAGGCAATGGACAGTTTTCACCAAATGACAATATAAATTTCCAATTAATTTGCCTCACTGAATTTCATGCCTAGCGCCGCATTGGTGGGTAAATGGTGCAATTCGAGTGGACAGCGAGGCCTTGCAACTCTGCACAGTGCTCGAAATGAGCAGTTTGTGTGGCTGTAATGAGGGGATTTCTAAGCCAAAGCACCGAGAACAGGGCGGTGTCCTCAAGAATTGATGCAATAAATGTGCCAATAAATGGCTATATTGCTCTTGCGTGAAATAGAGACGGAAATCCACCGGTGAAATGTGTGTCGAACCACAGAGAACGTTGAATTGTTCGTTACAAATACAAACACTCTCTTCACACCCCATAATCTGATACTTGAGCCATATATCATACAGGAAGGCCAGGAAGGTATCAAACGGGAGGGTAAAAAAATGTCGCATAACAAGCAGGAATCATATAGAATTACCCTCTTATGTGGCTCTCGTACTCGAGCTTAGGGGCTTCCAAAAAATAACTCCATGACAAATGTGTACTTTTATAAATTAATGAGATACCATTGTGATGATTGAATTAGGGTGCGAAATTGCTGTTCTTTCGCTCACATTCAAAAATCCCTAACAACTCTATCTCCGATCATTATTTACGTTCAATTAAGTAGACATTGTACGCCAAGAGTATGAAATTAACATCAGTCTTTAACGCTTGAAGAGTTCATCGAGAGTCTTGCGACCACTGCTCAGATGATTGTCAGACAAAGAACCTGGAAGGGAAATCTTCCAGACGAGGCTTCTCTCGCAGCCTTTACATGATTATGCGGGCAAATCCTATTTCCAGCGCGTCTTCTGTAACAGCTTGTGAGCACATTGTGAAATGAAATATCGAGGCATATCTCGCCTTTTCTATCACTCGGAAAGAAATTCTAGATGCTCTTCTGTTCGCCCAATAAATCAGGATTAAGATAATGTATTCAAATAAAAGTTTCAGGGGGTGAATATTAAAATGGCTCGTGTCAGGAAGTGGGCTATCAAATCGAATTAGTTTTCAGCCTGCTGCATATTTTTTATCGCACATTTATCGCGAAAAAATGAGTTCAATGTTTGCAAAAGTCATTCATACTATTCAGAACAATTTCACAGGAAGATCCGAGAAAGTTTTTCCTTTCAATGTAAATTTTCAATTGGACCCATTTGAAAGTCATTTCGCAATATTTCCACCCAACGATGTACAAACGGTGAAAAGAATCAAAGCGTGTCATCATTATCATTAATTCAGCAGTTTTGAGTGCGGAAAAAAGTCCATTGAGAAGAGCGAAGCTCAACTATTGTACAGAAAAACTCAAATTTTCTCGAATGTATAAATTGTTAGAATATCTATATTAGCGCACTTTTTTTGGTTGCGACAACCATAATTGGAAAACTTCATCGGAGTTTTTTTCACATTTTTTCACTTCCAATCCAATGTAAATTTTCACCCATGTAACTTTTCCCATGTGAGGCATAAATAAAGGTGTTAAGCTAGCAATATATTTACCAAAAAGTGCTTTAACTAAATTTTACGAGGCTGTTATTATTACAGGGGAGTCGCAAGTTTGGTTCGTGCCAAATGCATTCCTAACTTCCGAAAATATTTTAATTTATGCTCCAGTGGACATGAGAAAATACATAATTTAAATACAGAAAAGAGGAAAGAGGGCAAAATGCAGTCACTTGCATAAATGTTGCGGTCGAGTGATTAAATACATACTATGGACGCAATGGGCGAGGGCCTGACCGCGGTAAATGAATCGAAAAGCTGGGAAATTGACCAAGAATGACTTTCAAGATGTTCTCACGAACATGTGTAAACAGCAATATTACACATGTCCCTTCTAATATACCAAATGTATCAGATATAAGAACGTGAGGATTAATTCATTAGAGGGGAACGACGGGGCGGTGCTTGTTTTCTCGCAAATCCGTGTAATTTTGAATTATGCTTCACACCAGTTCCCGAAAATCTCGATGCAGAGACAAATTGCTGCAAAGTAGAGAGAAAAACCTACAATTGCTTGTGTAATTGGGCGTTTGTCTCTTCCTGTGACTCATTCATTCATTTGTCTGATCATCGCGATTAACATCTCCTAAGAAAATACACTGTACGGAGCAGATGTGATTCACGAGTCAGCCAACCAGAGGTGTGATCACGCATTTTTTGTGTTCTTTCTCCCAGTTTTACTCCCTCTTGGAGAGGAATCAAGTCGCCATGGCCTCACTGAAGTACCGCTCTTTGACCCTCTTCGCACCCACGAATGAAGCTTTCCAGCGCTTTTCCGGCAACACAACACACGTCCTCTATCATATGTGTAAGTCACGCTGAGAGATCGAAAGTAGATTGCGCCGCGCGGGTTCCGCCCTTGAATTGATCACGCTCTTCTTCCCTCCACAGCAACCGTGGCCACAACATTGGAACAACTGGGTGCGACAATATCGTCGGATTTGGAGGGAAATCCACCGATGTACATCACGAGGAGGGGGAAAGCGTCCCAGGAGCAGATTTATATAAACAATGCTCTCGTCCTGCGATCCAGGTCGAATGTTCAACTGCAGAACGCCGATGGGAGAAAGCAAGTATGGGCGAGAGACCTAATTCACTTTTGATGTCATCTCTCCTAACAATGCACTATGGTATGCAGGTACTTCACGTAATTGATGATGTTCTGCAACCCTTGACAGTCCTTCCTTCGTCATCCATTGAGCTGTTTAGTCCGGACGCCTTTCAGTTCTTGACTTACTCCGAGAGTCTAGACATAAATTCCCACCGTATGCGCTCATATCGTGAAAAAGTGATTATGAATAAGAAGGAAATTGTATTTCAAGCCGTTGGCAGTCACACCTATTTCATTCCCGTTGACGAGGGATTTAAGGTAAGAGCCACCCAGACTTGATACTTCAAATGACATCCAGGCCGACGCCATGGGATAATGTTATTCAATTTATGCGTCCCACAAATTGATTTTCTCTCAATTTTGCAATTGAATTTCCAATTTAGATGTTTATTGCGGAGTAAAAATTTTCCCCATATCATATTGCAGCCGCCGCCGAGAGCTGACTTGTTCGACAAGAAGGTTATTGATGGACACATCATACCCAATCGGGTGTTCTTCACCGCCGCCGCTCCTTATGGTGATCCCCTGCCCACGCTGGCCTTCGAAGACAACTTGAAGGTGCAAATCACGTTCAGCCAGTCTGATAGCAAACCCTCCAAAAGTAATGCATTGCAATAGGAATTGATTTTCTGCATTTATTGACGCTCCCTCTCGCCCTCTCAATTCCGACCAGTTTACGTGACATCGAACACGGTGATTGGCGACGGAAAGCATACACCTGGAAACGTCCTGGCGGAAGTGGTGAAGGCGAATATTCCCGTGAGGAACGGAGTTGTTCACCTCATCAGCCGGCCATTGATGATTGTCGATAACACTGTGAAGGAGTTCCTGGAGGTCAGTGCAAACGTTGCATGATTCATTCTGTTCACCCCTCAGAACCTTTCTAATTTTCATTAATCGTTTATGCAAGAATATTTATATTTTCTTTCCATTCCGTTCTGTTCTTTCTATGAATATCTAATTTCCAATTTTCTATATTTTTCAAATCCTGTAAAACTGGATTTCCAGTTGTTCAAGGTAAAGCAAAACTTATGCAATCACTATGAATTAACTCATCGTCATTCATAAAATTGTCACTGATTTTCCTTGAAACGTCATTCGGAATGATCATAGCTTTAAACCTGTTCCATATAAGTGAAAATTATGAAAAAAAAATTCTGTGCTAAATATTTTGCTGATCAGCTAAAAACATAAATAGAGCAAGAAACTCTTCTTCTGTTTCTTTTGTTCGTGAAAATTCCTTATTTGCGTTTAAATCGTCCCTCATTCAGCGAATATCATTTAGAATGTAAATTAATAGTAAAGGAGGATGAAAAACGTGTGATGATGAAACGATCTGTAATTTGTCCAAAATGCTTCGCATGTCTTAAATGATTATTGATGGGACACAAACTACATTTCCATTCGTAAAGATTGTAAATGTAAGTATGACCAAAAAAGTAGAGTATTCTTTATACTTCCATTCTTCAGCATCATATTTGATTTGACGATCAGAAAACTGCATTTTGTGATGTAATATGAGATGCATAAGACAAATAAATCAAGACGTTTTTTACTATATCTTTTTTATCTCTCTCGACAAATCCCATCAAAGAGTATTCATTTAAGAACACACAGTGAACTTTTCAAGACTTCTTTTTCTCATAAATAAAATATTTGCATAATACAAAATCACATTCACAAATAGAGCATTTTGAAATTATGCGAGGCAAAATGTGCTGATTTCTCAAAGATTTGCTGACTATTGATTTATTTGTTCGAAATCACGATAGCAACTTTCAAGGCACAAAGTTGGGCGATTGAAGTGAAAGAGTGAAACTTGTACTTCATATGCTCCCTTCTATATTTCCGCTAATGCTCAGAAGCATTCGTACATAAGCAGAGAATGTGGCACATAATAAAAGGATGACTTTCTAGAGACACACCAATTATTTCTTTTAATTTCCACTGTAATCCTGACGCTGCTTCAATTTAGTTTCTCTATATATATATATATATATTATATAGGGATAATGTGCATGATTGTGCAGCTAGAGTACTTTGTAATTGCAGGGAAAATCCATGAAAAGGTCATGAGACTCACGGGATGACTTTCATTTTCACATTCTCATGAGAATACAGTATAATCCTTACACTCTGTACGTTATTTTAGGTATTGCAATAGAATTTGTCAGCGTATAATAGCGTCCCTCGTTATTTCGAACTTTTATCATATTTCCCCGAATTTCCGCGACGCGAACGCAAATTACAGGGTTTACCCCAAATGTATCTCATTGTCTGGATGGGTTTTTTCAGCGTGTTTGTTGCTAAAAACCTCACATATCTCACGTCCAAATCAGATCGATAGACCAGCCAGACAATATTTTCGTGTCAATGAACCATAAGCGAAACGGAAGAACCCTAAATAAAGCACAAAAGAAAGCCCACTATTAGACACATTATACAGCCATTTGATGTGAAACGAAAGAGTAAAGGCTATTAGTGCCAATTAATTTTTAATTTAATCATTCCCTTCTGTTCTAGGTGTTATTAGGAGCAATAAAAGAAAATTATAAATACTTGATATCATGCATTTACATGGTCATGATCACATTCTTCAAATGTGACGAATGCGTGATAACCTTTTGAAGTTCATTCGGAAAATGCGTCTCGTCTCATAATACGCTCTCAAACCAGAATAGAATGTGTTATGTAAATATTCTTGCATTGTATTCACGACTTAGTGACACTTTTTTGGGAAGGAGCGTAAAGAAAGTATAATTTTGATTGAGCTTTTGAGCTTCTCGCAATACCTCAGCCATCATTTTAAAGTAATTAGGTTTTCTTTTCGAGAAATTATTCCATTATTTTGTAGGTGAAAGAATTTTTCACATTCAACAACATTTAGGATATAATTTAAGCCATAATTGAGATGAAGTGGAAAAATTAATTTTCTCCCATTTCCTTTTCTCTCTCCCGTGGCGCCTGCTCTCGAATCCAGGACAAGGAGGACGGGCCACTGAATAAATTCTACGAAGTCATCATGAAAGTGGGCAGTGACTTTATGCAGAGCATCAACGGGATGAAGAACGTCACACTTTTCGCTCCGAGCAACGAAGCCTGGGCGACATCAAATTTGGACAACCTAATAAAGTACACCTTCAACTAAATTCTCATTACTTGTGTGAGTGATAGTAATTAATATTTCTCACAGGGACACGAACAGAATGCGTGATATCCTGAACCTGCACATCGTGAAGGACAGCTTGACAATTGATAAGATTAAGAAGAATAACGTCAATTCGGTGAGTAGTGGTCGTAAAGACGCGAGAGGAAATAAGAATCAGTGGAAAACTGTAATTGTTGCCTTCTTTGGGTGTGTTAATGATAGATTTCCCAAGTTGCCACGAATGCCGATAAGAAGTTCTTGTACTTCAACGTAATCGCTGACCAGGATAATAACGAAACGGTTACAGTTGAGGGCGGAGGCGTAAACGCCACCCTTATTCAGGCCGACATCGCCGCTACAAATGGATATGTACACATCATTGACCGAGTTCTCGGTATTCCATATACAACGGTCTATCAAAAGCTCAAGTCCGACCCGATGTTGAAGTAAGATTTCCTCATATATATATGTATATTTTCTCTTCAACAAATGACTTTGCATGACTCGTATTACTTCAAGTTCGTTAAGCTTAAGAGGAGAAACTCTTGGAAAATTTCCATTCCCTTAAAGAAAACATCAAATTGAGTGAAACTTTCTCTTCTGTGCAGTTAAAATTTACATCAGAAATAAAAATGCTAGATAGAATTCCGAAATAATGGAAAATCTGAAGTGCTTCTCAGCGAGGAAATGGTAATTGAAGAACTTTCCTCTATTTATAGTCAAACCTACCATTTGGGCATGTTGCCTCGCTTCAACGACCAACTAGACAACCCAAAGAGGAAGTACACATTCTTCGTGCCAAGGGACAAAGCGTGGAGAAATTTGGACAGGACTTGGCCTTCCACCTACAAAAAGCTCTTCATGCCAGCATTCTCCTATCACGTGAGTGCTCACTATCTGATGGAAAATCTGAGAACATTAAAGTGATGCGCTAATCGATTGCCAGGCTTCTTCCATTCTCGAGCGCCACGCCATTCTGGCCGACAAGGCTTACACCATGGCTGACCTGAAGGCGATGGCGAATGATTCGGTGGTTGTTCTGCCAGCAATGAGGGGTATTCTGAAGCTGAAAATCCGAGAGGAAGATCGACGTGAGTATAAAAATTGTTTAAACTCTCCAAACCTCCAATACTAACCATATCACTAATTTCCCAACGAATAGAGGAAGATAACAATATGCACAATCCTCATCATCAAGAACAACCAATTTTAAATTCTGGTGAGTGTCCATTAGCTTTGATGTGTACATCTTTCGTGGACAAAGCGTTACAGTCAATTACCTTCTTATATTGCCCTTTATGAGCTCCTCACGCTCAGATTAATATCTCTTGAGACGAAATGTTCATATTCGACTGCTTAAGGAGCAGCAATATAACTAGTGCTTAATTTATTTTTAGGATATTCTATCCAATTTAACAATCGATGGATTAACGTGTTCCGTCCGGATGTTGAGTGCACGAATGGAGTCATCCACGTTATCGATTTCCCGCTTCTTGAGGAGAGCGATGTAAAAATCAACGTTGATATGACGTCATCGTCTGAGCGATTAAAGGAATCATTGCTGCAATGCATTCTTCTTGTAGTTATTTTGAAAACTGTATGCCTCAAATTCTATTGATACGATTACTTAATGATTTATACAGAATATTTTACCTCTTTTCTTACCAATTGATGTGTTGACAAAGTAGAATTCAGAGAGAATACTTCTTTTCTGTGCTAAAAGATTAATTACATTGAAACTGCCAGTGAAATAGATTTCAGCTACACCAGCATTATCTTTGAACATCACCTCTCATAGCAAACTTTGACAAATTAATAAATATAGAAATTGACCTTTGGAAAAATCAGTGCAACACTTGAAGTATTATTATTATATTTTGTGTCTTTCCTTTGTCTCTCCTAAGAAAGTATTGGACTATACCAAATATATTATTTAGTACAAGGCGGATTTTATTATATGGCGTTGTTCCATCAGGTGAAAGCGAATGGTAAAGTTGGTTCCCAAGAAAATATATTGACGTATATATTTTTCTAATATTCAACATAACAGAGCTGATAAATGTCTGTATCATACATAGAATATCCCGCGATATTACATATATTTTGTGAAATTGAATATGAAATAGCAAAGCTTGAGTATTATTTTTGTATCTTTGCATAAATGATTTGAAAATTGTAATGCGATATCACATAGAGAGTAAGAAGAATTGAAGTTATATTCATAAAAAAAACGAAAATAAATTATTCTAAAGTAGATAAAGACATAATAGGACAATTATCTATCACTTATTGCCTTTCAAATAAAAGAGGAAGAAAAACTTGGAACTGTAGAAACTTATTTGAACAATAAAATGTAAAATTTTAGGATAATTAATCAAATTATGTGACGATAAAGTCATTATCGCAGTAAACATGTCACAAACTCCATGCAAATTTTTATCGATAAGTTTTATGGAAAGTGCTGCATAATTGTAAAAGGAAAGGTGAAACATGCGTGTGAATTATGATAATAACAATATTATAAGCAATTTGATTTGACACGAATTTTCAATTTTGTATGATGCCTAAAACTTGAGGTAAAGTGTATATTTATTTTTATAGTTTGTACTCCTTTTATAATACTATGGTTTTGCCTACAAAATGTCAAAACAAGTGTATATTGAAATATTCCTAGAATCTGCAAGAGAATGAGAAAAAATTGGAAATATTGAAGAATAATGTTAAATAGATGTTGCAAAATCAAAATTTAAAAATATATGTGTCATGAATGAGGAAATAATAGCTTTGAGTTTTGCGAATAAAAGTCGTATTCACATTTTCTAAGTTAGATTAATTATTTCCATAATTTTCTCAGTATAATATCAATTTCTTATCATATCATCCAGCAATCTGTTTGCAATGGCTTACTACTGAAATGAAATAAGTAAAGAAATATAGGACAAAAAATAATGACTATAAGAAACAAAACGTATATAATTATTTTTCTTATGGTTACACACTTCGAAAGACAAATTTGATGCAAATGCTGAAAACATGACAACATTAATAGCCATCGATTTATATTAAATGTAATATTTTGAACGCTAGTGTAACAAAACATTGAGAAACAAGGATAAATAAAATATTTTCTTGCCTCTAGAAGCTTTTTCTCTCTCTTTTATGGCGAATTTTCCCGCATCCTTTTCAGCAGATGGATTCGAAATCTGTATGTCGGTAAAGTAGAGGTGCGGGCATAACTGGCAAAATAACTCAAATTCTCTGCGTGAACTTCAAAATTTCGCGGCCAATGCGGAAAAAATTTGTTTAAAAGGATACCTCCAATATATGTCATTGCATTTTCCCTGCGTTTCTGCAGCTCCGGGTGCACAGGAAGCAAGAAAATCAGGAAAAATTGCAAGGGGTTGATTCCGCGGAAACTCGAACGACATTTCCGCCCTGTTGTCGCACTCTGCAAAGCGCAGCTATCCATATCATTGTTTTCAGTGGCCAGTTTTCTCTTTGTATTTTCAAGATAAAAATGACCGCACCTCCCAAAAAAGTGGCAAAGAGTGCCCAGAAGGCATTTCTTTAGTTGCACGCGAGTGTAATAAGTGCAAAATCCCACTGGATTTGCGGAAATAGACGTGACAGGTGAAGCGGCTTTGATTGTTTGGGTTCTTTGAGGTTAGGATTTGGGCTTCACAGAGGGGCTTGGATAAAATCACACGGCACAGCCTCTGAGGGAGTCTCTGATATGATGAAGAAGCGTGCAACTGGGCTCACGACCCAGACACTTCTGGATTTTGATCTGGGCGAGAGTTCCTCTGACAGTGATTTTCGGATTGAGGATCACGACGAGGAGAGCGACGACTATTCTGAGAATAGTGGTGGCGAGCAAGGTGAGTAATCCGCTACATGCGAGGATTTGGGGAGCCTCCGGCAATAAATGCTCTGTGCAGTTGCAGAAAACAACGAGGACTCGGACTCAGATTCTGAAGATGGGTCGGAAAGTGGCAGTTCGGAAACCAAGTACGACCTGAATGAGCATCCCAAGGATGGCATTCTGTCGGTCAACCACCTCCTGAACCAGGTGAAGTCGAAGCAGGAGAAGATCGATCCGAAGCTCTTGAGCACGCCCATCTGCTGCGCCTGTCTAGGCGATCGGAGTGACGATGCGAATGAGATTGTGGAGTGCGACGGATGCGGTGTGACTGTTCACGAGGGCTGCTACGGGGTCAATGACACGGCCAGCCTCTCCAGCACGGTGTCTTCGTGCTCCACCGAGCCCTGGTTCTGTGAAGCCTGCAAGGCGGGCGCCCAGGATCCGCCTTGCGAGTTGTGCCCCAACAAAGGCGGCATCTTCAAGGAGACCGATGTGGGCAAGTGGGTCCATCTCATCTGTGCTCTCTACGTGCCTGGCGTGGCGTTCGGCGAAGTGGACCAGCTGACTTCTGTGACCCTCTTCGAGATGCCGTACAGCAAGTGGGGCGCCAAGACGTGCTCAATCTGCGAAGACGCCCGATTCGCCCGAACGGGAGTCTGTATTGGCTGTGATGCTGGAATGTGCAAAACCTACTTCCACGTAACATGGTAAATACTATTAATTTTCCCTCTGCAAGACAAAATCTCTTGACTTTCCCATTATTTCAGCGCCCAAAGTGCTGGTCTCCTGTCCGAAGCACACTCTGAGGAAGCCGATCATGCCGATCCCTTCTATGCGCACTGCAAAATTCACTCTGACAAAACTCTGCTGAAGCACCGAAGACGGAACTTCCATGCCATGCGTCTTAGAATGGAACACAGGAGACTGGAAACTGAGCAGAAGCGCGCCGAGAAGCCAACTCCAGAGCAGCAGAGGATTGATCGGAAGCTGAAGAAGCACAAGAACAAGTATTTAGCCAACAAGGCCATTAAGACAGAGCCTTGGGTGCCAACTCAAAAGATGCCTCGGATGCTGGCGACCAGCGCATCTGCGTGTCGGCGATTGATGATCAAGGCTCAGCTGATGGGTATTGATGCCGAGGCGCTGGAATTCCAAGAAGCACAAATGATGGCGCTTGCGGACGTGCGAAAGAAGTGGCACATTGCTCCGGCGTTTAGTGTAGAATTCATCGGTTACTATCTGGACAGGATAACGCGTCTGCGGGACTTGAAGATAAATCTGCAGGAGCAGCTGGAATCCAACAGGCGTCTGCTGGACGAGCAGAAGCATCTGCGGGAGAAATATGATCAAATGATGAAGCTGAGCGAGGAGCTCAGCAAATCGAATACTCAGCTCAGGGAGAGCATAACGAAATTGCATGGCATTGTGACAAAACTGTGTCCCAACAAGAGTCTCGTGTCGATTGAAAACATAGGAAAACCCGTGGTGAATGTGGCTGCGGCGACTCCGCCCGCTGGTCGGCCCATGTCCGTGCCAACAGCGGCTGCCCTTAAGATGGGCGTGGGATTTCCGCTCATCAATCTTCCGGGGACAAAGAATGACTCTGGAAAGATCTTGAGTACTCAGCGCCAGAACAATGATGAACTGTTGCACGAGTGCGGCATCTGCAAGCGATGCAATGATCAGCATCTCCTGGCCAAGTGCGACACTTGCCACTTCTATTATCATCTGGGCTGCCTCAATCCGCCGCTCACGCGTCATCCGAAGAAGTGCAAGCTTTATGGATGGCAATGCTCAGAGTGCGATAGATCCGATGATTCTGATGCCGGCACGTCTCTGCCCAAGCGCCAGAGGAAGTCTCGGGCGAGATACAGCAAGGATGGAATTATCGTGGAAGAGAGTGATCCACCAGAAGTTGCTGTAATTGAGAACAAGAACGGACCAAAACCAATGAAAATTGCCGACAGAAGGATGAGTATTGCAAAGAGGATGTCGGGAGGAGATCAGAAACTCGAGGATGCTTCCTTGCCGGTGGTTCAGATTGAGGACATCATGAAGGCAGTGCCACGTAAGCGTGGGCGTAAGAAGAAAATCCTCTCCATAAACAACACCTTTCCGCCATTGTATCCAGTAGTGCAGCAAAACAACATCTCAGTTCAGAACACAAACGCGAAGGATCAAGTGAACTCAGCTCCTGTCACTCAGCTATCGTCGCCGCCCAAGATCACCGTGCAGTCGCCGCCCAAGATCACCGTGCAGTCGCCGCCCAAGATCACCGTGCAGTCGCCGCCCAAGATATCCGTGCAGTCGCCGCGAACTCTTTCGCCGGAGAAGAACAAAAGTGAGAAGAGGAAGGCGAAGAAGGAGAAGCGGAATCATCTGAACTTCGCAACTGACGCAGCAGCACAATATTACATTGAGAAGGTGCCAGACAGTGGCAAGAATCACAGTGCAGATGTGGCATCCTCATCGGAGAAATCAGAGGATCCGCAGGACAATGCTGAGGTGAAGACATCACAGAATGCCGTGGAATCTCAACAGGATGGAGACGCAGCGAGTAAGATTGAGAAGGATCTCAGCAAATTCAATCACAAGCAGAACCGAAAGAAGCGGAAGGAGAAGCACAAGAACAAGCACTCAGAGCTGGAGAGATTGGCCAACAAGGAGCACAAGAGGAAGCGAAAGAGGAAGTACAATCTGGAAAATAACACAAGTGACGCTGCACCGAATGCAAATGATCCTCATCCGCCGATCAAGATCAAACTCAAAGTCATTCCGTGTCCGTCGGGCCAAGCGAACAGCGAGGCTCAGATCATCTATGTGCCCAGCAATAGTAATCCCGAGCCAGTGTGCAGACCCATGGAGATTTGCCACACGCCTAAGGCCGGAACGCCCGTGGATTTGCCAAACGTGAGTAATTGCAATTGTTTCTCATTGCTTAATCATTGGGCCATTTTCTATTGATAAGTTATCGCTGGTGTTGAAACAAGTCGGGCACGAGGGGCTCTCATTGGAGCAGGCAAAAGTTGAGTGTTCTAGTCAGCATGCTATGGTTATGTTTTTGAAAGTGTTGACCTTTACATATTTTGATGGATTACACCAGAACAAATAAGTGCAGTATAGAAATGTAACTGAAATTGATCAAATTTTACATTAATCAGCCAAGCATTAATCGCAAGGAAAAGGACTTGGAAGAAAAAGATTCCAAGGTCAGTAAGCATTGATTTATTTCCGTCTTTCATCATGGATATCAGTAGTATAACATCTATTTGTCACAGATTCTAAAGAGATCTCTCATCACTCTCTTGCAGCATCCTGAATCTCAGAGGAATACATCACCCCAGTTCAGCCCTAAAATGGCCAGGATAAGTTCGCCACGAAGGAAGCGCCAAAGGACGCCTTCACTCAACTTGTCGGCCGGCAGTGCTGAGAATAGTCGTAATTCAGCATCACAAATGTGCGACGTGTGCTGCCAATTGGGAACAACCCAGAACTTAGTAATGTAAGAGTATTTCAACATGTATTGAGAATATTGCTCTAACTTAGAATTTTTTACTGATGCAGGTGCGATGAATGCCGCAAAAACTACCATTTTACATGCTTGGAACCGCCCTTGAAGAAGACACCGAAGCGTCGTGGCTACTCTTGGCACTGCGCGGATTGTGATCCAACTGTAAGTGAAGTTTTTTTTATTCCTCTTATAAAATCCTATAAATCTCAACAATGCGTTCTATTGCAGGATATTGAAACGATATAAGGAATCGATGAAGTATTAGCATCTTAGTAAGGGATAATTTATTGAATGTTTTTTTGCATTTTCGATACAAATTGGATAGTGAATTGTGAGACTTAATAGAACATCTTCCCCAGAATTGGATTTAAAAAAAAAACCTTGAATTATAGCGTGTAGGTGTGCAAATCAAATAAAAACTTATTCCATGTCAACGTCGTCTAGCGTGAGGTCGTCCAGCATCTCCTCGAGGGTGATTCTGGGCACGGATGGATCGGGCATATCGTTGGTATCGACAGGCAATTGCTTGGCGGGATCCTTGTAGATGTTGACGTGCTGACGATAGTCTGGATCCTCCTCGAGGTCGTCGAGGAACTCCCTGTACTCCTTGGAATCTGTCTCGCGATTCGATGTGTAGGCATCCAAGTGCTTGAGTTTCCACCTTCTGTAGCTCATGCGTTCAGCCGAATCTCCGAAGTGCTTCTTCACGATGATCACATCGGGAATACGCGTTTTGTCCAGCTTCTCAAAGCTGTCATCATTTATGTTGGCATCCTCGAGATTGTAGCCCAGAACAGTGTCGCTGGGCTTCAGAATGTGTCCCAGATGCGTTCTTGTGTGAATTGTGTTCTCATTTATGCCCAATTCGGCCGCCTTGACCAGCCACACGTCGCAGAGGAGGTGTTTGTGGGACACTTTGCCCTGGCCTGGGAATGAAGGCTTGTTCTTGTCCGGAATTATCTCAATATCCATCACGATGTACTCCTGCAGGGACTTGGGGTTGCAAATAGGCTCAAATGGTGATCGGTAGAAGACTGTGCTGTTCAGCTCAGCAATCTGTGTGGACAGCGGATCGATCAGATGAATGACACTGGCCACTCTTCGCACCAGGCACAGCGGAGCGATGCTGCCCAGCTGCTGCTGCATCTTCTTCGACAGGCACACGAGGCTGTCTTTGGACAAGGGCACAATATCCACCGCGAAGGTGTATTTGTAATTGTAGCTATTGCTGTGGATGTCATGTGAGATGAGCCTCTTGGATGTGGACGTCTTCACGGGCAACATTGTGTGCATAAAGTCGACCATTCTCCGTGCGTGACTCTCATTAGCGTAAAACATGTCCAATCCTCCGTGCATCGGTTTGATTCCCAGCGTGTTTTCGTGCACTCTGTGCTTCAAGATAAGCTGCTCCAGGTAGTAGAAGGTCTTCTTGTTCTCTGATCTCTGTCGTATTTGCACAACACAGCGCCAGAAATCCTTGGCTTCCGTGCGATGGCAATCGTCGCACATCTGATTGTTCACCGTGAACTCAACAACGAAAACTTGTTGCAGAACAGCTCCGCCAAGAACCTCCCCCTGAACGGTTAGCTTGACTTTGAGTCTCTTCGAGTGGGGCTCAGTCCAGATGAATCCCGCATCGATCAGCTTCACCTCCTTGAGTCCTTTGAGGCGCTTCAGGCAAATGGCAAGCAGTTCCCTCGACTCCAGCGAGCATTGCACCCATTCGTTGGGTGGCTGAAGATACCGCTCGCAATTCCGGCAGAACTGGAGCACCGCCTGTTTTGGGATACCCTCTGTGATGTCCACATGAGTCCGGAGACAAGCAACGCACATGTTGGCCGGATTGGGAGCAATGACGACGCCGCATTCGCAGCACAATCTGAAACAGATTTACAGTTTGTCAGAGGCAGGAATTAATGAAATGTCTACACATCCTTACATGTTGGCCACGGAGGAATCAACTTCCGCACTAGTTTCCATCGAATCAGTCTCCATTTTCCGGGAAATTGAGTGTTTTTGCGAGGCAGGAAAATGTGATCAGAACTGACAGCCACTGAATGACAGCTTCCTCATGGCAACCCGGATGGGTGGCTATGGCACCACCAACACAGAGAGAAAATCACGCTCTGCGGATCAATCCTGCTGGTGAGTTCTATTTTCCTTGTACGCCGCAATTAGGAATTCCCCTTAGCTCCTCTGTGGCGGAAACTTGCCGGATAGTTGGGTAAGTTATAAGTTATATTGCGAGAACTCCGAAAAAATTCTCATGATTGAGCTGAGAAGTGAGATTTCGGCTAATCTCCAAGATTTTCCCATACACCATTGCTATTTCGTAAGATGTTTTCCAGAAATCAATTTATTGGGCTGTATTGGGTAGCACCGGGTCCCTCTGTGCCGCCTTCGTGGGCCCCAGAGTGTGAAATGACGGTTGGGAGCGATGGCAGGAATATTTCCCATCCGGAATCGATACTCCCAAGAGCAACATGTGCACCATTTCGTGGGCACTGTTGGGGAGATTGGCAAGGATTGGGTTCTGTTGAGACCTCAAGAGTGGCAGCATTGGGCTGGAGCTGCATCCCGACAAGAGATGATGAAGATATCCGTAAGCGGGAGTGTCCATGATTCAACAAAAAGGCCTCCTGATACGAAATCTCAACACTCAGCGTAACGATGATTTGAGAAACAACCATGACAATCTCGACTAGGAGTGTCACTCACGCAAAAGTCTTTTCGGGCAGATTTTTCCGCTCTTGGCGACTTTTCCAGCACCACAGACGGTGCGTGATCAATTGGATGCCTCTCTGGAGACGAGTGCCGTGGCTGAAGAAGGCAGCAACTTCCACCTTTTTGAGTGAAGTGACCTTCATGATATTTTTCCTCACTCGAAATTTCTGCTCATTCCATTCTCTCTGCGTTGAGCCAAAAGTGAGACACATTTTCTCGAGCTTGCCACTAAAATTCAGGCGCGTTTAATTGGTAAATTGTGCTTACGTGTGGGACAAAGAGAGGTGGTCAGGAGGAGACGTGTGATTACATAAATCCTACACCTTTGTTCACGCTTGGAGCATCCCGCAGTCTTTTCACCTGAAAATCGCTCCCATTTGCCGTTTCTCTCATGGTCACAGGACGGAGGGGCGACTGACAGTGGCTCCCCGAGCCGCCCCCGCACATTTTCCAGGTAATCCCCCCGCCAGTGGTGGTGATGTGGAGGAAATTGCTCGGGAAAACTTCTCAGTTGTGGCACGGAGAGACTTTTGGGGGAATTTTGTGAGGAGAGTGATAAAATTGCAGGCATATAATTTTCTTGTGTGCTAACAAATCAAGCACACACTCTCAGTTGTGCTTCTCACAAGCGAGCATTTAATACAAAATAGATTAACACACCACGTAATTCTATTTGTCCTGCAGACAGTCATTCGCTGAGTTTTTCCCACTCCCAAAAAGTGAATAGTGCACAGTAGAGGGACTGGAGCACCCTTCGATGTCCCACAGATGCCCTGCCATCGCCCATTCGCATTGCGAGAGTTTATATCGTAAGGAGTTTTGTCTTTTTTCGCTCTCCGAAGCATAGAAATCAAGTGACAGTTTACCTCACGGTTGACACAATTGCATGATGAGGAGGGCAATATGCTCGGGTTTCTGGTGCCAATCCGCCCAGAGGAGGCCTCCGGACAGCCTCGTGGGCCCCCATTTCTGTCCACTCAGCCGAATTTCTCAGTGATACTCGATCTTTTGTGGCCGTATCAAATCTTGAGATTCATTTCCTTAGTAGAGGAGGAAAAAACCTCCACACGTGAGTGTATTGGTTAAAAATTAACAATGAAAGTGGTTCGCAATCGAAGAAAACTCGACATTTCCATACGGCGATTGGAGTTTTGCTGAGAGAGCTGTGCTGAGGAGGAGGAAAAAATTGCCAATACTCCCAAAAGAGATGATTCAGTGAATCCCATGATGAGGTCACAGTTGAAACTGGCCGCAAGAGTTGCTGCTCTCTTGGAGAAAATTCCTCAGTAATATACACGGATGGTGCGGTATTAAGTAGGAATTTTTTATCAGTTGCTTCGGAATGATAATAATTTTCTACACTCACATTATTAATCAATACGTGTGTATGTGTTAAATATAGTTGATCTTTGTGGGGCTCTGACGAGCAAAGAGAGGCAGTTTTGAGTGGCGAGAGAGTGGCTCTTTTCCGCCCAGGGAGGCTCGCACACAGGAGGTCGTCTCGAGGGAGCAACATTGGTCCCCATGGAGAAGTTCCTTGATTTTTTTTCCAATGCTCTCCCAACACACATGGGGCGCTCTTCCCGCACTCCTTTCCTCGGCAAAAATTTCAACTTTGCCTGCGCAAACGCACACTTTATTGCATATTTTCCTCTATATATAATAAATGCCTCCTTAATGAGATTTATTGTATTGGCGAGAAAAAAGAACTTTCATCATTATTTAATTAACATGTTGTGCTCATCATTATCTGCGGCCCAGTTGGCTGAGCCTTCGGCCCGGTTCGGGCACACGGCGTATCCTTGAGCCGTGCTCTGGCGCGCGGGGATGTGCCTGATGGTCGGGAGGCTCGCGCGAGAGCGGGATGCGATGTGTTGTATGAAATTGAGAGTAACGGGGTACGGCGTGCGTCAGCGGCATTAGTGCGAAATTTTTGAGAAGTGTCTTCGTCGCACAAGAAGAGCTCTGAGAGCCGAGAGCGCGTATAGTTTCCGAAGGAGGCATGGTCAGGTAGAAAACGAATTATGCTGAGAAGCGGTCTGTGCCAGTCGGTGTGATGAAATAAGTTATAAGTTTGACAGTGCCGCAGAGGCCAAGGAAATTATTCGTGGAGTTCGTGGTGCAGAAGAGAGTGAATGGGCCATCACTCCCGATAGAACCGCACAATTCTGCATCTTCGGACATTTTCTCGCTGTGTAGCCTCGCTGATATCGTGGAAGAGCGTGTATTGTGGAGTGACGGAAAAATATAGGGGGCTTCTTCTCGTCAATACGCGTGAGAGCACAGTCTCAATTTAAGTTGGATGTCAGCGTGAGCACAGAAGTGTGGCTCCCTTCCTGCGAGAAAATACGCGTTACTTCGGCCAGGAGTTGATAAAATTAGTTGATTTCGGTGGGTGTGCAAATGAGTTTGGCGATATTCTCCGCTTGAAAACGCGTCTCCCAAAGAGCCAAAGAGAGGCGCACAGCAGAAATGCCCCATTATCCGTCGACGGGCGCTCATTTCAAGGCATTACTCACAATCTTAGCTCGCTCTCTGAACACGATATGGTAGTTCTTTTTACGCGATCATCTGCAGTGTGTTGAGTGCCTTGTTGTTCCCGAGTCGCATTGTCTTCTTTTTTCCCCTTCACGTATAATTCCGACCATTTTATCAGAATATTGCACCTCTATTTCACGTGGAGGATGCAAAATATGCCTGCCAATGCGTCTGTGATTCGGTGAAACTGTGAATTTATTTATTTTTTCTCCATAAACGGTGTGTTATTACATCATCAATATGTGAGTTTCTTCTGGGTGAAAAATAAAAATGTTTCACTGCACTTGGGGCAAAGCCCAGCAATTGATATCACAACTACTTGCAATAAAGGCTATATGGTGTGTAGGGAAAATGTAATTAGTTCATTTGAGTCGTGTCTCCGACTGGGCAAGCTCATTTTCCACCCGGAATTTCGTAGCCACACGGGCACATAAATCGAACAGCGAGATGAGATTCGATTCAATGTCAATTTTATTGAATGTGTATTGAAGAGACATGTGAATATTTTATTTGCGCGAATTGAAAGCTTTGTCAAACTCGATATAATGCATGAATAACTCAAAGTTCACCCATCCTGAGTGGTTGATCCACTGCTAATGCCTCTGCTCTTGTCCACAGCATCGCCAGGAGAATCGAGTGCGTACCTTACTGCGAGCTTCTGAGTGACTTTTGGGCAGCAGCAGTAATTACTGTCCCAGCGAATAGTGCTGACTTCTTGGTGTCTGACAGATATTGAGGAGTGCGCGTGTGGACAATGAAGGGAAAGACCCTGGGCGAGGAGGGAGTGGAGCATTCACATGATTGCCTTGATTTGAGTATTCTGAGAAAACCAATTTCTACCTCAATAACAGGATTCAACGAAGCCCGAAAGGCTTACGAGAATGGCACGGAGGAGGTGAGTCATCAGTATTTTCCCAGTCAATGCATATTCCTATTAATAAAATCACCTCTTCTACTCTCGAAGGTACGACAATTAATGACCAATGAGTGTGACATTGTGTATGAGTGCAAGGTCTGCCGCAACATCTTTCGCAGTCTGGCCAATTTCATCTCCCACAAGCGTGTCTATTGTCGTCAGAAGTTCAATGCATCCCAGCACTTCCATTTCCCTAGCAACGGTTTCATTGTGAGTCTCCGCACGGCTGGTCATTGGGCGACTTTGTGAGTGTAATATGGCATAATTGATCTTTCAGGATCAGGACATATCAACAATAATTCAAGCAGAACAGGAGTATACGAACTACAGCGTGAAGGACAAGCCTCCGGAAGCGGTGGGCAAAGACCTGAGCAGCATTATTGATCGACTGACAGCGAAGAAGAGTGTCGAGAGAATCATGAGACTGAGTGACTTCTACGACAGAGTCCATCATAAGCTCACACAGGATGAGGTGATCCAGAGGAACCACGTGCTGCAGCTAGACAGGACGCCTGGCAGCAGTGTGGCTGTTTATCAGACTGTCAAGCAGCCCGACACGGACAGCATGAGAGTGGAAGTGGAAGAGGTCAGGGGCCTGCTGATGGACAACAAGGCTGTCCTTGGGCCTGATGGCAAGGCGATCCAGCTGAACGATATACCACCTCTGCCCCCAATTCTCAATCTGGATGACTTGGACGCCAGCTCATCCCGCGAGACGGTGTCGTGCAAGATATGCCACATGAAATTCGTCACCGAGAAGACGCTGAAGCTGCACCTGGAGGCGAAGCACATTCACTCTACGTACGTCTATCAGTGTCCTGCATGCCCTCAGACATTCCTCACGCCAGCCGCCGTGATTCGACACCTCAGCAATGATCACAAGTAAGTGTCTGTGTGGCTCAGAAGCCAGTCTGGGCAGATTTATGTGTTTACTCGCGGAAATTCCGTATTTGCACAAGGTCGTATGTTTACTTGGCAAACGCTGAGTTCAATTTAGAGTTCAATTTGTGACGATTTGAGGAAATGTCGCCATTTTAAAGTCACTCTCCTTGCAGGAAATCCCTGAAGCGCATACGCCTTATGAGGGATACCATTTACAAGAGGCGCATCAGGATGGATGAGGTGCAGGTGAAGGGACCCAGTCGCGAGTTGGTGCGTCTGCAGACGGACCAGGAGCGTCAGGAGGCGGATAACAAGGCGTGGCTGGAGAATGTGGAAAACTACGACGTAGGTCAGTCCATCTGTACTTACTGTGGTAAGACTTTCGAGCGTCGGGCAGTGCTGACGACTCACTTGAACAACTGCCGGCAGAAGAGGCGCACGGCCACCGTGACTTCCAGCATGGCAAAAAAGGCAGAAAAGCCAAAGAAGAGCACCGTGGAGTTGATGAAGGAGATAAGTCTGAGCCATCAGGACGAGAACTCCAACTCCTTCGATAGCTGCACCACAAGTGTGTCCACCAACAAGGAGATTATACAGTCGAATCTTCACAATAAGCTGAACGCGAGCATCGATGTTGAGGCAGTGGACTCGGACAATTCAAATGAGAAGAGCGAGGTGGCGAGAGAAGCCGCTCCGGTGAATAAGAGGAAGCGAAAGAGGGCCGGCAAGGTGGGCAATGACAAGGAGAGGCCTGAGAGTGTTGCCGATGAGATTTACTGGAGCATGGACGAGTCTGGTGTGTTGAGTGTGAAGAAGTTTGCCAAGGATAGCGATTGCCTGCCGCCTCCGCCACCGCCTGGTGCCACAGTGTCTCCCAACTCTAAGGACAAGAAGCCCGAGGGCGCCGAGAAGCTGCCCGAGTGTGATATCTGCAACAAGACTTTCGTGACCAAGAGCAATCTGAAGCGCCACAATGTCATGTTCCACTACTTCAAGAATCGCTTCCTCTGCAAGCTCTGCGATTTTGGGGCCAACAAGAAGCTGGAGTTGATTGCGCATCTGGGTGTGAGGCACAGTATAATGGGGGATAAGCACGTGGTGAAGGAGTTTATCACACTGGCCAAGGAGGAGAATCGAGAGATCATGAGGGAGAGGAATGAAATGAGTCCTCGCAGCTCTTCCAATTCCACGTCTCTCCCAGCCAGTCTCTGTCCATCGCCGCAGACAGTGGAGCCCATTGAGGATTCTACCTCAAATTCATCGTCCGTGCCCGAGGCTGGCCCACCGGCGCCCAAGAGACGAGGCCGTCCCAAGGGGAGCAAGAATATCAAAAGTTCGCTGGATAGTGAGTTGACACAGCGAGGCGCGAAAGTGATGAAGGAGGAGAGCAAATCCCCAAAGGATGAAAAAAAGAAGCAAGCCAGCGACAATATACCGAGAAGACCCATCAGAAACCGCATCAAGCCGGTGAACAAGGACTTTGTGTACGACCTGTCGCACTTGTTGAAGAAGGAGTCGGACATCTTCAAGGGTATCTTCCTGGATCAGACACCAGTGGTGAAGAAGAGGGGCAGATCGTCTCAGAACACCAGCAACAGCACTCCCACGAGCGTGAATAGCGTCAAGATTGAGGTGGAGAAGCCAAAAAGCCCAGAACCAGCCCCGGCGCCTCCTCAGAACGTCAGCCAGGTCAGTTTGAAGGAGGAGGCTTCTCCTCCCGTGGGTGTGGAGGACTACAAAATTGACGCGGTCAAGGGAGGGGCCTTCGCGATGGCAAAGGCTGAGGTGGCTTTACATGCAGCAGCCTTCGCCAAAGTCCCTCCGGTTGTGGAGCGTCATGCTATTCCTGGTGTCTTCCAGGCGAGGTCTCCAGATGAGGAAGTCACGCAGAAGGGCTTCTCCTGGTCGGAGAAGTCCCTCCCCAGTACACCGAAGAAGGGCAAGCGCAGCATGAAGCAGATGAGGAGGATTTCCGACGACGTCGTGATTAAGGGCGCCAGGAAGCAGCGTCATCGGAAACAGAGCACGCCCGTGTTGTCCGTGATAGCGCCGGAGTATCGTCATGATGATGCGAAGGGCGCAGCGCGGTCTGACGAGGCGAAGAAGGAGGACGAGAGTGTTGTCAAAAGAGGACACACCGAGAAGGATTTCCAGGAATTTCTCCTAGCCAACATGAGGGACTCAGCATCGGAGGACTCACTGTTCGGATCGTCCCAGAACATCCCTCTCAGTTTCACTAATTCCAATGGGAAGCGAATCACGCTGCTCGAACGTCTGGCGGAGAATAAGAACCGCAAACCGGACGCCGTGCACAGACTTTCGAATCCTTTCGAGGACGACAGTAGCGATGAGTATATTGATTGAATTGTAGTAATAATTACACATTTACCAATTTGAATCTTGTTGAACTGTAAAATATACACAACCCAACTATACATTGCCGCATTGAAATCAGCTACTTGTCCTTCTTATCCTCCTCTGCAGGTGGTTCGCTTGACTCAGTCACTGTCCCCTCGATCTGTTCCTTATTCTTCTCCATAGACTCCTGCAGCCTCTTCGAGTGGTACTCAATCGTCTGAGCGAGCTCCTCATGCTTCTGCTGCATCATTTGGGGAAACCAGAAAACGGCATGAAAAAGCCTGCCCACGCAAAGAAATGCCTTAGACTTATTGCATCACACAGTAGATATGAGAGATTGGCTGACCTGAACATGACCCACGCTCCGGCCACGAGGATGAGATACGTTAAGGACGTCTTTGCCATCGTCCAGTAATCCACCACCACTTGTTGATGTTTCATCTTCTCTGAACGGCCAAGAATCGCGAATACAGGGACACACTTAACACGTCTATTTTATAACGGTAAATGAGGATATGTGTTTAGATTTTCCTGTCGCCAGGATACTTCGGAAAACCTCCACATGAATATTTTATGCTTGACCAGCGTGTTGATGATCCGTTAAAGCATTCAAAAATCAAGCGATGTTTCCATTCGTGAGTGCGTGCGTGACTCATGAGTTCAAATACTACTCAGTCGCGGGAAGTAATTCCTTGGAGAAGTATTTTAGTTTTCCTGACTTTTCTTAAGATCATCCAAGTCTCAAAAAATGGGAAAATCATACGAGATAATGGGACGAGAGATGGTCGCGTTCAGCCGGGCTGTAGTTCTACGTTTTTCCGCAAAACATCGAAAATTGCGCCAAATTTGACAGTTCGCCATTTTTTGTGCTGTCCAGAAATTCATTGATTGTTTTTCTGTGAGAATTCCCATATAATCAAAATGCCTTCAACACTAGATTTGTGCGAAGAATACTACGGAACTCGTGATTTGTACAAATTACTGGATATCGATAAGAATACTCTCGAGAAAGATGGTAAGAACTCATCGTAAACAAAATGCCCAAATGCCGCTTGTTTATTTCACAATTCCTCTTAATTTACAGTTAAAAAGGCGTACTATAAGTTGTCCCTGAAGGTGCATCCGGATCGCGTGGCAGAGAATCAGAAAGCTGACGCCACAGAAAAGTTCAAAATTCTTGGCAAAATATATGCTGTGCTCTCGGATCCGGACAAGAAGAAGCTTTACGAGGAGAAGGGAATTATAGACGATGACGAGGATGAGAGCAAATTGGCCACTTGGATTGAGATGTGGAAGACCATCTTCAAGCCCATCACCGATGAGGATATTGAGAACTACCAGAAGAGCTACGTGGGCTCGGATCTGGAGAAGAGCGACATAAAGAAGGCGTACATGAACGGCAATGGATGCATCAACTACTTGATGAGCACCGTGCCCTTTATGGCCGTCGAGGATGAGCCGAGGATAATCGCGATGGTGAAAGAGTGGATCGACGCTGGAGAGGTGCCGGAATATGAGATCTTCACGAAGGAGCCCAAGGCGAAGCGCAACAGACGCCACAAGAAGTACGCTCGGGAGAATCTGGAGGCGGAGGAGATCAAAGCTAAGCTGGCTAAGGAAGGGAATTCGCTTGAGAAGCAAATAATGCGGCGCCAGAATGAGCGAGCTCAGCAGTACGACGACTTATTTGCCAAGTACTTCGTCGAGGAGAAGCCTAAGAAGAAAAGGGCATCGAAACAGGCATCAAAAGCAGCCCCCGAAGAACCCCTCCGGAAAGTGAAGTCTGGCAGGGTGTCCAAAGCAAAGAAGTAGAATTATTCCTCAGTGGGCGAATCTACGCTCTTTTCCATCATTTCTCATTACTCAATAAGAACTCAGATTTTGGAAATCGCATGTCTTTTTCTGGTGGGGATTTTATAAGCTTGAGTCGTCTAAGCGCGCGATTGTTTCTCGGATACATCCTGAAGTTGCACACAGGAGGCATTTTTACCAACTAGAGGCGCCACTGGCGCGTGGCTTTTTCCTCCATCGCAAAAAGTCCCCACACATTTTTTCATCAGCAAAATGGCCGTCTAGTTTGTGAGTAAAGTTGCTCGAGCTATTTTCGTGTTCTACAATGGAGAAATTAAGTGAAAGTGTCGAAAAAGTGTACAAATCGGAATCCAAGAATCTGTTCTGTGTGAAGAGTGGCAAGAAAGCGCGCAAATTGTACTGCAAAGGCGTGAAAAGTGTGAAGCAATTCCACCCAAATCATTGCAATACTGGTGACAATTGTAGAAAAAACAATTTCATACTGAACACTCAAGGACAGCGAATTCTGCTCAATAGAATGCGAATTAATATTTTCTCGTTGGGTATGATGAGCCACACGACGAGATGGCTTGATTAAGTGGCGAAATGTGTTGGAATAGAGAGACTTTTTGGATTGCATTTCGAAGCAAATCAATCCAGTAGAAGTGTGCGTGGAAAGAGCCAAGGAAAAACATAATATCCCCAGAGTGAAGACAATGGAGAACAAATTTAGCAGGAATTACTTCTCATCCCCCTGCGGACCGCAGTACCAACACAGAAGAAGCAGCTCCACGATGTGTGGCTACAGCAACAGCAGCAGCAACGGCGACATGGAGAACCTGTTCAGGAGCCCAGAAGCATCGCCAGAGTCCATTTTGTTCGACTTGCTGGGCGTGAGGAAGCAAGCTGAGCCACCGACCACGAGGGAGAGTCGCATTTCCAACATAAAGGCCGCCTGTGTGCCCTTCTTCAACAGCATTCGGGACTTTATCCGGAAGAACCTGGCCACCCCTTCGGCCGCCCCCAAACAAGACTGCCCCACAGACTTCAGCAACTCCTCGGTGTACATGGGCCTCGTCACGGCCCTGCCGCCCAAGACAGGGGATCAGGGTGCCCCCGAGGCAGATCTGGTGGATCTGACCCACTTTACCGTGATCCAGAAGCATCACCTTATTTTGCCGCCAAAGCCAGACAAGCCAATAGAAATGACTGACACGGGAGACAAAGGCGAGAAGGCCACCAAGAGCGACCTCAATAGTGGGGTGAAGGTGCCCACGCGGCGCCAGCGGGAAAAGAAGACTTGCCAGAATACTCAGAGACAGCGGAAAGGGAAGCACGCGAGGGAGAAGATGCGGAAAAACGTGATTTGGGACATGCGAGACGATCTGTGCAGCGAAGAGGATGCGGAGGAGGAGTTCGAGGATGTCCTATCGCAGGAGATCTCCTCGTCCATTGAGGAGAGCAACTCATCCTTATCTCCGCATACCTCGAACTACGAGAGTGACTTTATTGCGTCGATTCCCTCCTCGCAACCATGCAAAGTCTCTCCATGCGCCTTCGTGAAGAGCCTTATGGACATCCCCTTCTCGCCCAAGATGCGTGCATTGGCCAGGAAGTCGTCCACAGACTACGACAGTGACGACAGCTTCATCGTCTTTGGCACACCGGACAGCACATCGCCTGCCTGTGATCGAGTGCCCAGATTGAGGGCCTGCGACCGACGTCGGAGGCTCTCTGAGGATAGCGACGACAGCTTTGTCATCTTCGTGGACGAGAAAAAGTGCCTGGACGACTCTGAGAGCGACTGCGACGACACAGTTTCGGAGACGTCTGACAGCGACGACGAGAGCGAAGAGTATCCAGTTCAGCTGGATTCTGGTTTCGAGGAGAGAAAGGTGAGCGATCATGTTTCCATTCAAGGACAAATCTACACTGTAATCAAAAAGTTTGTAGTTGATGAAATGACGAAAGATTCCAGGCATATTCCATCAACGAAAAAGTGCTGTTGTATGCAAATTCCCACAGTTTTTGCCCCCCAGCCTCCTTCCATGTTCAATGCCCTGACAACCACACAGACCACCAATCGAGGGGAGAAATTGAATGGAAAAATTATATAATATTTGTATGTATTCGATAAGAGCAAAAGGAAAGCGTTGATAAGAATTTTGCTTAGTAGGCAAAAAAATATTGCCAACTCGTGTGAATTTTGTTCACATTTTATGTTTATTTTTTTGTCTCATTTTCTGAGCACTATTTTTACTTTTTATGTTTGCAAATTGTGCGAGTGAGAGAGGAAAAAAGTCTGCGCCTGTTTGCTGAAGACTCGAAAGTCGGGTGGCTGTCGTAAAATAAAAATTCCTTGGGTGAATTTTCGTTCACTGCATTTGTAAGTGTGCTAAAGTAAGGGACAATTTGGAAATTTTCCAACGCACTTCCCTGTGTCACTTAGCGACTGATATTTGCACTTTATCTGTAGCATTTGAGCAGGTAGAGAAACCCAGGTTGTAATTGCATGATAACTTTCACCGACTCTGGCCATTTGGAGAGCGAGAGATAAAAACATTAAACATTGTTGATTCAATTAAAATAATGTGTCTAAATAGACTACAAATTGGATGAATGCTTTTGTAACTCTCATTACGGCGTTGATTGAGTGAGTGAGAACCAATTGAATTGTCTTTGCGAAAGTCACTCGAATTTGCCCCACTCTCTCGTATTATTTGAATCTTCATGCTATTATTAGCTGCTATCTATATTCCAATTTCATTTTAGAATATCAATGTCTAAAATGGCACAAGGATTAAGAGAATGTGGCCACATTGAGTGATTGCGTGGAAGGTTTGATTGATAAAAAATATTGTGAAATGCAAAAGGAGGAATTGAATATTTTCCAATGCTCAATCTTAGTGGAATTTTACTTGGAAACTTGAGCATATTTTGCCACTCGGTTGTCTTTGTGGTTTCATATTGTTGCGGCTTTCAGGGCTTTCAATATTGTAGCAATGCAAAGCCAAGGAGAAATGAACTTGATGTCAAATACTGATGCTGTTGTGAAATAACAATATTATTCACACGCATTCCATGAATCACAGCAAAAAGTTATTCATAAAGTATCCGAAAACTTTCTGTTCAGAGTCCCTTTTCTCCATCACATTTCGTGCCCTTGCATCACGGCAAACAGTGTGACAATGCGTTTTACTATCGCAGCTTTGGAATATGGGAGGAGCGATATGATGATGTTCAACTTTTGACTGTTGATTTGTGATATAAATTGTTGAGTTTGCACGTAAACAAACAGAGAGAGGAGGAATTTGCCTTGAAGGCGCTATTGTTCTATATTTCGCAACTGACATAATTGCATTTCACTTGTCTTGCAGGTCCGCTTCAATCTAAAACCGGAAGTTCATGTGATCCGCGCGTGGGACTTTGCCTACCGGAGAGCCAGGAAAGGTCACTGGGAGCAAGTGGCGCGCGATCGGGATCGCTTTGAGAAGCGCATCTTGAGTCTGAGCAGCGTGCTGAGTCCAGTTCTGGACAAGAGTCATCGCGAGAAGATCTTCGCGGGGCGCTTTGGGGGCGGCGATTAGGCGAGAATGGGAAGAAGCAGAGAAGAAGGAAATGAGGACAGGTGCAACACGCATTGAGGTCTGTGTTTGCACGACAAAAGAATCACAAGATAGTGGATATTATGTTGTTTCTTTGAAATTACCACTTGTTTAGGTGTAAATTTAGGTGTAAGTGTAAATAAACATTAAGTGAAATAGAGCTAATATAACGCATATTTTCAAGGGTTTTTAATAATCACAATATTTTATTCGTTGCAAATTGAAACTGTAATGTAGAGGGAATAAAAACTACTGTATATAGCAATTCTAAGAAGGAATCTTTTCACTTTTCTCTCAGGACGAATTTGAAGATAAAAGACGGACAGTAAACAAGGAAAAATTTGCTTTATTTGGAACTATAATATTATTTTCTCTGGTATCTTTTACAAACATTGATAGAAATATTTCTTCTTCCATCTCTTTCTCATCTATATAAACTACGGCGTCAATATAATACTATATTCAATCCATTTTCTATGAAAACTCCAATCGTGATGTGGCAAAAATGTCTCAAGGTGAAATAATTCTCATATTCTTTAGGCAGTAAAATGATTTTTCCTTCGCCTCGTGACAATTTATTAAAAATCGCTGCGCTTCGGCTTGTTCGTCAACAAATTTTACTTGGAATTTACCCTTAGAAAAGAACTTGTTCCCGATAAATGTACATTTCATCCTCAAAGTCTTCGCCGCTAGCGTCTTATTGTTAGTATTGGTATTTTGGGGTCTGAGAACACTTGTTTACGACACTGCACAACACAGACGAGTGGCAGATTTGTCCAGGCTTTTCTGCGAAGGACACACACTTCGCCTGCCTCTCGGAATTCCTAGAAATCTCTGCACTCGAGTGTGTTCAATTTAGGAGATACACGAAAAATTTTAGCAAGGTGTTTTGTTGCTACGACAAACATTCAAGCTAATAATCTACGAAATATATTGCTGTATTTTATATTATTCTCCTTTATATGACTTTTTGTGTGGTCTCTTGTTCGATTTTCATATGGCAACAACAAAATGTACTTTGCAAAAGTAAGATAAGCGAGGAGTTCGTTTTCTGTGAAATTACCCTTCTCTCAACACACATTTGTTGTCTAAAACCGTGAATAAACGATAAATGGAAGACTAATTGCGGTAATATTACAAACTCTGTACACAGAAACTCTCAGTTTTGAAATGAAATGCATAAATCACAGATGAAATGATCCAGTAAGTAGAATATAGATAGAAAATTCAACAATACAACTAGGAACCGCTACACTGCATTGCCGGGTGTCCTCTACTGAACTGAGAAATACTGCCCAATTAGTTGAGATGCCTTCGTCGGCGGAAAACTAGAGCGAAGATCGACCGGATGCGCCACCATCGGCTCCTCTTGTGGAAAATCTTCTCCGTGCTCGAGCCATTGCTCAGCACCTAAAAGGGGAAAGACGCGCAATTAACTCAATCCCAAACTCCTGCGATCAGTCTTCCTACCCTCTGGGTCTCCTTCTTGCGGATCTCCCGCACGAGAGTGTAGAAAGCATCGTCGATGTAGTGCCTCAGCGCCGCCGAGGTCTCATAGAAGGGACACCCAAACTCCGATGCCAGCATTTTTCCCTCCTCCGTCGTTACTTTTCGCTGGGACTGCAAGTCTAGCTTGTTGGCGATCAGCACGAGCGGTATGTCCTCCGTGAGGCGGACACGCGTGATGAGTTTCCTGTACTCTGACGCCTCCTGGAAGCTGTGCCGATCCGTCACGGAGTAGCAAATGATGAAGCCCTCGCCGCATCGCATGTATTGATCGCGCATCGCCGTGAATTCCACCTGCCCGGCTGTGTCCAGGATATCCAGAAGGGCTGCCTCGCCATCAATGACCGCCTGCTGCTGGTAGGAATCCTCTGCAAGTGTAGGAATCAGGACACTGATTAGCAACTTTTGAGTTCTTCTTTAAGCTTTCGAAGGCCGTTAAATTCCGAGGCGCCCAGCTAGATTTGAAAGTCGTTTTTGGCGCATAAAATCATCAGTGCTCCGAGACTTTTCGGTGCTTTTTATTGAGCAACATGGGATCTCGATAAAGGCAATCACTCACCAATAGTCGGGTCGTGAAACTCCAAAAAACTGCGAGTGACGAACTGCAGAGTCACAGCTGTGGAGGCAGGGAGAGAGAGAAAGAGAGAGATTAATTAGCAGAAACGCCGAGAAGCAGGCAGAAAGTGGGCAGGAATCCCGAGAATGATGATGTCATTGGCTCACGAGAGTGAGGATGACTCACTGGCGCGATTATTCATCCCATTGTCTCACACAAAGCGACAACATTACCGGATTTCCCAACACCGCCGTCGCCCAACATGACGATCTTGTAGACTCGCAGGCCGCCGCTCTTGTTCTGCTGCTGCTGGACGCCCGAGAGGCCCTCGTTGCCCGTGCTGCCCCGCTTCTCGGCCGAGCGCGACTTGGCCTTCTTCCTGGCCGCGCACCCAACGGTGTAGTCGCCGGCCATTTTCATCACAACCTGCCGGAGAGGATAGAGATGAGCGGAATTTTCCCACTGGAGCGCCTCCCACGGACGACAGCCCACGACAATGCCCACCTTCGCGTCTGGCGTGCGGAGGTGCAGAAAGTCCCTTCAGCAGCCCCCGCCGGGCATTTTGCACGCTCGGTCGCGGGAAGAGTCACTCAGGGCACTCGAGTGGCGGTGGCTGATGGCCAGGAAAGTGAACAGACAGCCGCAGAGGCGGAAAAGGCGAGTGGGTTTTCACTCTCGGCGTAAATGGAGAAATTATGGCGACTGGCCGTGAGCGCATGTCCGCAAGAGATGGAGATGAATTATTGAATGACGTAATGGTGAAATGCCAGGAGAAACACTGAGAGGAACATCCGCAGGCGGAAGCAAGGCAAATCCCAGAGAATTCGTTCATTATATATTATTATTATTATAGATTACATCAAATTATAACATTTTTTCCTTTAAAGATTGAACATACTTAAATTATTCAATATAGTTTTTTTCCATATCAATTCACGGTAGATTTATTTTCTCATTTTCCCAAAGAAAAATTCCTATGATTTATGTTTTTTTCCCCTTCCTCTCAATCTTTTCACAATCAGATAAAAAAGACTCTTTTGGATGAACTTGTGTACCTATAATGATAACGTTTTTTCAATGCGAGAGCACCACAAAAATGCCACCCTCGGTTTTTTTCCCTTCTCTTTTTGTTTCTGCGCTTTTTGTGTGAAAGTCATAATACGTAAATATAAAAATTTTGAGCTTTTAAACCACTGAAATGAACTTATTATTTTTCTTTTCTTCAAAAAATATCCTTTTTTCATCTTCTTTATCATGTATAGTATAAAATGATTCGGTTAAGCTAAGAATTAGCACATGTTGGATATTGGAATTCTTTTTACTATATACTTATGCAAACGAATTTCTCCTTCTTCTCCATTTAAGAGACGTCTTATATGTTTATCCATTTTGTTCAAAAATTTTACAGTTTCACTAAAGTCTGCAAAAAGTACAATTCGCACGCATTATTTTCTCTTCTTCTCTTCTCTTTCTTTTCAACTTTTTTAATGAAGAAACATTTAAAAAGTATTTTGTGTGTGTGTGTGAACGCTCAATTTGAATATCCTTTGCTGTGTTTTCACATATATGAAGGAAAGGAAATTGATGAATGATGAAAAACATAAGAAAGCTCAAGAGAAGTAAAATTATAAATAAAAATTCACCTATATCTCTTTAATACTTAACTTTACGGATGTTTATTACAAAATATTTCATTTCGTGTTATCGCTAGTCATCTTTGCCTATAGTTAAATTTTTGCTCTATTGAGGTGTTGCCATTGATCATTTCACTTCAACATCTTTTAGAATTCTATTTTTTGTCTCTTGATATCAATTCATCTGAGATAGTATGCAAAAGTGTAGTCGCAATGCGAAAGGGACTTAAAATTTTGTTCACACACTTATTTATGTAGCTACATTGAAAATTAGGCACTTTTCATTTCAAAAAGAAACATTTTACAATAAAAACTAATCAGACGAATTTTTTTTGTTTTCTTTTGACAATTTTTTCTTTCTCTCTCTCTCTTCTTAAAATGATTCCCACATGAAGGACAAAACAGACAGTATCCTCAACGAAATTATCTCTTCTCGCTCAATGTTTTTTTTTCTTCTTCTTCAATTTATAAATGAATATTTATCCTTTTTTGTAAATTCTCTCTCTTTTCAATAGTAAACAAATTGCTTAGTATTTTGGAATATATGATGTTTTATCTTCTTCTTCTCCCCGAAAAATGTTCGTTACAGATTATCATTTCTTTTGCGTTTTGTTTTTTTGGAACGAGGATTATTTTATTTAAATTTGAAACATTATATTTCCATTCATTTTGAAAACTCTGTGTTGGCTTAAAGTAATTATGTATGTATATATACAGTAAGTTTCCTTTTCATTCTGAGTTTATAATATAATATTGTATTAGAATGTTATTCTTTTTTTTCTCATCAGCTTATCAAGATTTGATATTGACAAAAATGTGTCTCTTGTGATCTTTGCAAAATTCAATCCTGTCCACCGAGTTTAACAATTCAATAAATTGGATCAATTGCTGCAGTTGAATTATTATGTACAATCGCAAATCATACTCAAGTTGTAATTTACCTGCAGATGCAAAAAACATTAAATCATTTCATCAGGAATTTATTCTTTGACACAAACTTTAAAAAAGAACAGCTTTGAAAAAATGCTATTGGGAAGAAATGCAGTTTCTCTTGCGATAGCCATCTCTCGAAATCTAAGCACATCCTTTGCCTTGCTAAGCAAGCAAACTTAGTTTTCGAGAAATCCACTCAAGCAAACGCCAATACTCACTTTCGAAATATTACCACTCCGTAGATTATAATGATAAAAGGAAGATTCAGCTAGACATCTTCATATATCAATGAATGATCTCTCCTCAAATTTTACATGAAAAATCTCAAATGTTATATAGAAAGTATTATGATGCTTCTATCTCTCTTCTCTCTCTCTCTCTCTTTCTCGCTCTTCACCTCTTTTATAAATATTTTTTTCTTCAAAATGTTTCATATCTTTTCAAATTCAGCAAATTATATGTAAATATTTCCTTTTTTCTGTGTAACTTTGACATCTTTCATCAAGAAAAAAGAGTTCCTTCATCAGCTGATATTTTTTCTGTTCTTCTTTCAATTCTTAGAGCAAAAGGCATCTAGCTTTCTTCTTCTTTTTCACTTGCAAAGCGGCTCGGGTGGCTGTCTCAAACACCTCGCGAACACCCTCTTTTGATTTTGCTGAACACTCTAAGTAAGCGAACGCATTTATCTTCTCAGCCATTGCACGTCCTTCTTGTGGTTTCACCGGTTCCTGCTTCATTTTAGCCAATTCCTGCAACACATCAACAACACGCAAGTTCACCTCCAATGTGCCAAAAGCAGAAAACAAGTCTGTCACTCACCTTAATTGTGTTAGGATCATTTCTAAGATCTTTCTTGTTACCGACTAAAATAATGGGAACATTTGGGCAAAAATGTTTCACCTGCAAAGGGAGAGAATAGTGACATTAGTGGTGATATTGGTCATGTTGAGAGGATTTGCGTGCTCACTTCGGGTGTCCACTTCTCTGGGATGTTCTCCAGAGAGTCCGGAGAATCAACTGAAAAACACATCAGGATGACATCTGTATCTGGATAACTAAGAGGTCTCAATCGGTCGTAGTCCTCCTGTCCAGCCGTGTCCCATAAGGCGAGTTCGACCTGCAAATGGCGATCACAAGAATCTTATTAGAAACAGAATGGAGGTGGCTTTAAGGTTAATCGCGAAGAATTCTCCAAAGGTTATTATCTGGTGAAATGCAAACACTCCAGTGAATTGTATGTGATTCACATTCCGTGAAAATTTACACACATTCTGATAAGAAAGTGCAAAATTTGCCTTCCAACGGGAAGTCATTGGCAAAGAGTCGCATTAATATCGGATATTCACCGTGTGAGAAAGTTACTCATACTTTCACAAGCTCTATCATAAAAATTATGGTACAGAAATCTATCTAATCATATAATTCTTTTAATTGCCTTTTCCGGGAATTGCTGGAATTTTGATAACAGTATTATGTGAGTGTTTATATGATAAAACCAAGAGTTTTGACTGATGATTAACTGCTCTCAGAGAGTCCTACGGAATCCCTCTCGGCAAGAGGGATCGTCGACTCGGAGATCAATACATGAATATTGCCTTAAAGGTGTGACTTCTACTCTTTCTCGCTGTCCGCTGGAGCTATTTGATCACACAAATCTCGGCAAATCCCCACCACGAAGAGTGTGATTCATTCAGCCGGAGTTCTTGTCTTTTTATCGCTCTCTGTGCGCCTTTACGAGGCTTTTTCTCATGCCACAATATCAAGTGTAAAATAGTTAAATTGCCAAGACAATCTATCGAGCGAGAGAGAGAGTCCTCCAGGCGGGATTTTCCCATATAATGTGTCCCGGAATTGAAACGGAGGCCCCGCCAGTCATTTTCTCATGGTATTTATTTGCACAAGAGGCACAGATTCAGCATCTCTCGCGAGCTGTGTCGCAGAGCGACAAATTTCTCTGAGAATTTCACGAAGGTTAAGAGCGCGTCAGCGTCACATCATCATCGCAAGAGCGCCAGCCATATAGTATGTGTGCTTTCTCACTATACACAGCCTCCATGTCTCTGCTGGGCCATTTCTCTCCGAGCCCACCCATTCGTCGCCCCGCGCACATTTTCCCACCCCCAGCGATCCACCTCATGCTGTTGATTTATCACGAGCATGGCTGACCGGAGGGCGACTCTGTGGCCGCTCGAAATTTTCCACACCGCGCGCGCCGTCCTCCGCGGCGCGGGGGTGATAAGACCCTCCCGACGAGCGCCCCACACGTACCTGTTTACCATCTACTTCGATGTCTGCAACGTAGTTCTCGAAAACTGTCGGCACGTACACCTCCGGGAACTGATCTTTGCTGAACACAATCAGGAGGCAAGTTTTACCACATGCTCCATCTCCGACGATTACCAACTTCTTGCGGATCGCCGCCATCGGTTCTGGTCAAAGGAAGAGTGTACCAACAGAATGCAACTTAGTAGAGTACTTTGGTGATGACTCGAAATAAGGTGGCAATAAATGAGGAATACACAAAATTATCAGAACAACGCCTTCTTCGATTACGGCCAACCGAGTTTAGCTTGCCAAATGGGTTTGTGAAAGAGAAATAAAATGGCGGTTGACGTGTTGTGTGAGCCGCAAAGTCCGTGTCAGAAGCTTTTCGACCAGTTTGGCCATGTCACAAAAATAGCCGAGAACACGACAAAGCGCCCTAAGCTTCTGGCCGCTGTGATTCTTCTGCTCGCCCACAAGGGAAATCTTCCTATTTGAACTGAGCTGGAATGTTTCCTGCAGCAGAAACTGCAATATCCTCAGCAGTCACATAAGAAGCGGTATGTATTAGAAGTACGGAAAACCAAAGAGAACATCCAGCGCAATTGCAACAGGTAAATTTCCCAATGGAATGCAATAGCTGCGACATGGCCAGAAGAACCACAACCATAAAGTATTAGTAGGAAAACCAATAAATGCGACTGCAATTACGTACAATCCAGCTAAATTGATACTCTAATGAAATTACTGCGATTTCTAAGAATCTGTCTGCACTGGGAAAATGCCAGTTGACCGCGGAAAATGCCCTGAAAGTGCTTAAATCAAACGATGACGTCATGATGTTATGTATATCTAAAAGGGATTGAAAATTGCAATTTGATGAGGAAGAGGCGTTGAAGGAGAGACAGAACGGAAAAGCGCACAGCTCTTTTTCGCCCCTGAGCGAGCCATGAGCCGTGGAAACAACCTCCGACCACGTCGGAAAAACTAATGACCCATTTAGCGTGAGACAAGAATGCACTTGAAAATTTTTCTAATCTTCATAATTACAGCTCTATGCCTGGTGGCGATGCAATGACGGCATGAAATAGCTACTTGCGGCTCAGCGATTACATTAGCAACATGATACAGTAGCAGGAGGGATTGTGAGATGGCATAGCGAATGGAATGACCCCCGAAAAAAGATCTCTAGACTACACCATTAGCCGAAGCGACGACACCAACATCACAACACAAATACCTGGGTTATTAGTTTGGCCAGAGGAAAAACACCACATTACTCTGATCCGTCACCAACTACATGCAATTTTACACAAATTTGATCGTATCCTTACTCTGGATTAATGAATTTTCTCAATAAAATTGAAAGTGAGTGAAAAAATACAAATACGCCTTATACAAAAACTGTCAATGCACCTCAATTCTCCGCCAGACTGCGCTCTCGGCGCGTTTCGCCGACTTGCGCGACTCTTTTCGCCCACTTTTTTGTACAGCATCCGCAGCAACGGCTTTTAGGCGAGATCATATTTTGCGAAAAATTACTTATTTCTGTTTTAATTCATGAATCTTTGCATAAAATGTCTTAGCTTATCACACCACGTTCTTAGCGTACATGTTTACTATGGCCTTCTCTGGTCTGAACGCCCGGGAAACCACATTCCTGGAGCCGATGCCCTCGTCTGTATTGTAGATAAAGGGCACATCATCCTGGACGACAGAGCTTTGATTGAGAATCAAGAGAGGCGGAAGCGTGATGTGGCAAATTGCCAGAGTGTTGACTTTTATCAAATTTTGGCGCGTGGAAGGGAGAAGGTATACAGTCTGCAGAGTCTCGTCAATGCCGCGAACGATTCCTGAAAATATATGAATAGTAACAATTCTGACCTTTTCCTCCAGAAAATTCAACACAAACCTATTCCCAGGCACTGAAGAATATCATTATCGTCGGACTGTTTACACAGATAGACCAGATTAGCGTTCAAGAAATCACAGTTCAGCTCCTCATTGATTTCTTCGTCGGTGAAATTGAAGATCTTGATCTTGTCCAGCGGCGCACTGAAAGAATACATATCACTCTTAATTCTGCTTCACAGAATGCTGAACACATACTCACCAAACTGGCCTAGACTGAGTAATCCAGTCACAATTGTCTCCCAGAATTCCTCCCAAATGAGCGAGAATGTTCATCTGTCTGGTCTCCGGAGCCTTGGACTTCTTCAAATCTCCAGCCAAGTTTCCACTGACCATTGTGTTGTAGCAAAAGGTTTTGAACTCCTCACATGGACTTAGAGATTCCACTTCATCGCTGAGTATCGCCCAGTTCCATTCATTAACCAGATTTGTGGTAATTTCGCAGTCAAAGTTCTCCAATTGAATGTTATGAGCAATCTGCACAACGTCCGTTGGAGCAATTAGTCGCAGCAGCGCAATCATCAGTTCCAGCCCAACTCCCTTAACATATCCCATTGTATTGACGATCCAGGGAATATTCTTGAACTCCTCTTCTGCTCGAACATCCTGAATCAGCTTTGAGACACACTCGAAATACCTCTGAGGCGCATTGGCCACATTGAGGTCGCCAAAGAGGTAGCTTTTGTCCGGTTGTTTGTCCACAAAGCAACCCATTCCCAGAATTGGTCGATCCAGGAGCGTATAAGAGACAGTCTGAGGCAGAGAGATTTCTGGCTGGCCAATGTCCAGATCGATCAGCAGAATTCTTCCGAATGTTTTCACATTCTTATTGAGTAAATGGCGACTCAGTGTTGTTTTCCCCACGTTTTTTCCTCCAGTTATCACAATTCGACTCTTGTCCGTCACAGAAATCCACTCCCAATCCGGATTCACTTGGAAAATGCGCTGGCTGTGAAAACTGAAGCGACACTGGAGGATATACTCGGTTGAGGAAAAAGGTCTTGGCTTCTTGTACGTGATCATGTTGGGAAAGACTCGATTGCTTGAATACTTCTTGACCATTTTCACACGCTCATTGGAGGTCTTGTGAAGCAGCAAGAGTGCATGTGAAGACTTCAGATTTCTCTCAATTTCCTTCAGATCCTCCTCGAAGAACATATCCTTGATGTCTGACGAGTCCTTCCAGTTATCGACAACTTTAGAGGGATTTGGCGTAATGCTAACTGTCGAATATCCAACTGGAGCATGTGCTGTGACTGTTTCGTTGCTATTCAGCTTATAGTCGAGCATAGAAGCACTCCCAGAAATCAATGTGACGGAGAGATTTCCATGGAAATGAATACTTTCGGTGAGATGCAGAAGTACATGATAGGAATCTATGGCATTGTAGAATTTCACCGTGCCTGGATCATCATCGTCATCCTCGCAAGTCTCTGTCGTTTCCAGTTCTGGAGTCTCATCTGAAGATTCATGCTCTGGTCCAGGCTCTGGCTCTCTCTGCACCTCGTCGTCATTGTGTTTGAGAAGAGAGAGAGGGCTTTCTTCAGTCTCAATCTGGGTGACTTTTCCCGGAGAAATCTGATCATGTGAACAATGTCGAGAGCAAACAATTTTGGCTCCTTTTACAGAACTCTTAGGAATCTTCAGAGAATCTTTAGGTGCATTCTGCGGTCTGTCAAGTCGTACGCGCCCAACACTAACAGTGGCTTTACTGGTGTCGCGGTCCTTCTTCACTAACATCTCTGATGAATCTCTCTTCTTCTTCACTTGTTCCTCGGTGTCAGACACATATTCAACAATTTCAGACATACTATCATCATTAAACTTAATCCTTGAGCTGGACAAATCCCTATACTTGGCCTCTCCCTGGCTCACTATCACATCATCATACTGCTCTCCTGGATCATAATCTTCGTCATCTTCACTGGTGTAATTAATTGGGGAAGAATCATAATCAGAAGAATATTCCTCTGAATAATCAGTGTCGGTGTCAAATTCCTCCTCTGCTTCTTCCTCCTCAATGGAATACTCGTCATCGTTGGAAGAATTCTCATCCAATTCCTCACCACTTGAGAGTTCTTCGTCAATAGAAGATGAATCAGCGTCCTCGAAGTAATCTTCAGACTCCTCAAAGTCTTCCTCTCCAGTAGAATAATGGGCTTCAAATTTGCAAACAGCCAGAGATGGCTTTTTCTTCTGAACCTCTTCTGGAGAAGTGGCTGGATTCCTCAGCCTGACAAACTGCCCTGGAGACGCTAGGGACTGAAGACTCTCCTTCTTCCTCTTTGGCTTTGGCTCCTTGCTTCTGTCTTGTGCTGGTGTCTTTCGCTTCATCGATGCACTGGCAACGGGAGATGTCGTTTTGGCAACTTTTGGGGCATCTTTACTGTTATTGCGATTTACAGTTTCTGGGAGTTGCTTTTTTGGTCCTGAAACACGGATGAAATCAACAAATTCAGTCATGCGAATGTGAAGTGCTATTTAGAGTCCAACCAACCTGTACCTTTTGTGTTTTGCTTCCTGAAGGTATTCTGCCTCTTCTTAGATGCCCCAACGCTGCCTTGTTTGGCAAATCTGGGCTTTTTCTTTCCCACTCCATTGCTGGTCTTTTCCCCGGTGTTTACCGGAGCCCGGGAATTAGACGCCACTTGAGGCTTCTTCTTGTGGTGCTTTTTCTTTCCCATCTCGTGAATTTACTCCTTCATCAATTCTCCAACACCACTAACAACACACTTTTCCTCAACTACTTGAAAATACAGCGTAAAATCCAAGGAAAATCGCTCTTTTCGCTGACAAACTAAACACGTGAAGAGACATGCAGCGACACGATTTTTTCGACGAGTTAGTGATTTCCCTTATTTCTGGCAGGTGGCGCTGGCTTTTGTTTTGATTGGAGAAAACGTGACCTTTTTGCAGAAACTTCCTCAATTTTCTCACTTTTCATTGTGATTTTTCCGTTTTCTCATGAATGCAGTAATTGCACTGTGTCATTTCTGTGAACTACACGGTCCCTTGGCTATCTTCTGCACGCAGACTCTCCGGGAGACACGCCTCAGTGATGTGTTGTGCACTAAGAAGGGGGATCTGCTCAGCAAGAAGTGCTCTGCGTGCACTTCCTTGGACGATTCAATGGTGTTCATGACCAAGGACGAGGCTGGTCAAGCGAAATTCGTAAGTTCTCAGCAGCCTGTGATTGGAGATGTAATCCCACTGGTGAAGCAAGCAGCCTTTCGAAGTCTCAGCTGCGAGATCAACAACAAAGACGACGGACTGGTGTTCTTCGGAGACGGATCCCGTGGACACGTTCTCAGTCACACCTTCCAAATACCCGACTCCAAGGCGAGAGGATTCTACAGGCTCTTCTCGATTCTGGTCCTGATGAAGGACAAACTGTTCCTGCTCAATATTCAGCCTTTCCTGTCGCACAATCTGAAGAAGATTTCCGCCCAGCTGAAGGAATACGCCAATGCCACGAATCCCGGAGAGCAATCCCGCCAGAGTGAGAAGGCCCAGAGACTTAGCGAAGGAATGGGCTTCTCGCAGCCTCGTCCACTGACCGAATTGACTGGAGAGAAGCACATTTTCGCGCATATGCACTCCCATTTTGCCTGGATACTCTGGGCTGGGGCGCAATATCTCAAGGAATCCGTCACTATTGGCAGTCCAATGGTGCCTCCGTGGCTGGGAAAGGATACAGAGGAGGGTTTCGCCATGGTACAGATTGACAAGGAAGAGTGGCTGATGAGAAAGCACGGGATGGATGAAATTGACGACGACGGAGCAATAATCAGAGATTTCCGGAGATTTAGAATCCTTCTGGGCCATCATTTCTTCAATGTCTGCTACTGTGTCCTCGTGGGGATTCAGGTAATCCTCAGAGGACCACCTGGAGAAACCCTTCGCATGATAAAATGCTTTAAGAAGCTCCTCCCAAAGTATCTTCACCGGCTCATCCATATTGATTCCTCAAAGTACCTGTCGCCGTCGGAATGTCGCATTTTGACGGTGTCCTCCAACGTGACTGTTCCCCAGCCTTGCACTGGAATCTTCAGAGTAGACTTCTCCCGGGATCGCGAGTGGAGATTATCTGTCGAATGGCTAGGAGAAGTGCCTGGGAAAAGTAAGTGAAACACCGTAATTTTCATTCCGTGGCAATTATTGATGATCTTCCCTTCCAGCACCGGACCTTCTCACTAAAATCATGCGAGCTTTCGAGGAAGAGCAGTTCACGGATGTCGTCCTCGAGAAACACCTTCGCGTTCTCATAGAAGAGTGGAACAAGTAAGAAAGCTTTGATCCAAAAATCGATCAGTGACTAAATCCTCTTCCATTTCCTATAGTAAAATCAACTGTCTGAAGAAGATCCAGAATAGCCAGGACGTGAGCCGTATCAAGAAGATTCTCAATGTGCAACCGCAGGATGCGCTTCTAGTAAATTATTGGTCGAATAATGCGTAAAAAATAGAGAGTTATAACCGGAAATAATGTATTTCGATCTCCGGCCGCAGCATCTCAGCCTCAGGCTGTGTTCTTTACTTCTTGTAGCCGCATCCGCGCCTGCGTCCACGAGCGCGCTCGAACTTGCGTCCCTTGGAACGCACGTATGGCCTGGTGTGGGAGTGAGGCACACCAGGAGCCTTGCCGAAGTGCTTGTGGGCCGTACGAGCGGTGCGCTTGCCCTGGAGCAGCAGCGTGTTCTTGCCCGTGGGCGCCATAAGGGCCAGCTGATCGAACGTGAGAACCTCGCCACCCTTGGCCAGAATCCTGGCGCGAGCTCCGGCAGTGACGCGGAGAGCGCACAGGCGCAGCTTCGGCACGGTCAGCATACGCTTGTCGTCGGTCACGGAGCCCACCACAACGGCAATGCTGTCAGGCTTCTTGCGATCATTCATGAAACGCACCACGCGCTGCAGGGAGATGGGTGGGCGATTGGTTTTGCTCATAAACAGACGACGGAGCACGACCTTGTTGAACTTCTTGTGAGTTCGGCGGTACAGGAATCTGTAGAGCTGCAAAATGACAACATAACCTCAATCAGGTGTGCTTCTAGGACACAAAATTTCTGTGAAAATTGGCCTTTCTCAGGTTTGGCAGACATAGCACTACACTCAGAGGATGGCACAATATGTTTCTGGACTCACCTTGACGAGCAGCCTCAGGTAAACGTCCTGGGATTTAGGCTCCGTGCGGCGACTCTTTCTGTCATATCTATGACAAATATCGATACCCTGCAATGGAAATTATAGTGTTAATCCACAGGAAGATCCTTTAACTACAACTTGGTCACAGAAAATAGGTGAAAAGTCAACTAACCATCTTGTATTTTCACAAAAATACAATCAACGATCCACGTTTTCTTGCACCGATTGGAAAAGAGAGACAATGGCGACCGGAACTACCAGTTGACAACCCGAATCCGCCATTTTTCGGGTTGCCGCATGCCCTTCGACGAGTTTACCGCCTCAAATTTTTAAATTCCCACCTGATTTATAACGCTTCAGATTTCAAAAGTTGCAAAAATACTTTTTATTCGCATTGTAAGTAAATCTTTGATCAACTAGCTCTCATCGTACCAATTCCTGAATCGCTCAACAGCCTCGTGCCAGCGGTGAAATTTACTTTTACATCGCTCAATGTATTCTGTCTGAGGATGAAACACTCTCTCGACAATTCTCTTCTCCAGCAATTCCTGTCGACTCTTGAAGATCCCCACATTTAGCCCGGCAAGAAAGGCCGTTCCCATTACCGAAAGTTCCGAATTGTTCGTCCTCTCCACCTGCAAGCCCGTCAAATTGGCCAAGAGTTGGCAAACAAAGTCATTTCTTGAGACACCGCCGTCCACTCGAATGATTGAGAACTTGAAGTCTGTTTCATCCAAAGTGCAAATATAGAGTTGAGTCACGCGATAGGCGATGCTCTCCAGCAAGGCTCTCACGATGTGGGATTTTGTGGTGGTCGGACGGATGCCAATGACTCCAGTGGCGGCTTTTGCATCGTTCAATGGGGCCTATTTAAAAGACACGTCATTGTAAAGCCTTCAACTCTTCTGGCAAACACTTCTCTGCACTTACACCGAGTCCACTAAAGGCTGGGATGAAGAAAATCTCCTCTGAGTCGTCCACGGAATAGGCCATATCGGAGGAGCACGAAGGATCGGTGAAGAGACCGAAATCTATGCCCCATCTAATGAGTGATCCTGTGTCACTAGACTGTCCCTCGACGCAATACATCACTTCGGGGGAGTTGGTCTCCTTATTGAAGACGCTCCAGGCCACGAGAGGATACAATCCGTACACCGACGCGTGGCATTCCTTGCCAGTGTTCAGATTCATGAAAGTTCCGGTGCCCAGAGTGACTTTCACGTCTCCCTTGGCGAAGCAGCAAGAACCCCACATCGAAGCAGATTGGTCAGCAATCTGGAATAATCAATAATAATATCTCAATGTTTGTTCAACCCACAAGATTATAAACCTATCATTTTTATGCATCACGTGGAAGTGTTTCTTAATTTAGTGGTACTTCAAAAAACTATCCCGGCTTTTTTGTATGAGATAATAAACTTGCAGAGACCTTCATAAATTTTAATTAGCCCAAAATCAAGGATAAATTTTTGAGAAATTAATATTGTTGCACGGGATTATCGGCAAATCTTTCATTTTATGGGTCAAAATCGTTAAAATTTAACCACTTTCATTAACTTTCACAATCTCAAGGTAATTCTTGGGCAGCTTCTTATGCAAATTCAGTTGAATTTTACCAACTCACCGAGCAGCCAATCTTGATTTCACTGCCGAAGATGGACTTATCAATTACACCAAAATCGTGGGAATTGTCCACAACGCGCGGCATCATGTCTGCACTGATGCCATAGAGTGAAAATGTCCATTCGGCCCAGTTGAGCTGAAATGGGTCATAAAGCCCGGTGGCAGAGGCATTCGTGACATCCGTGATGTGATCAATTGGCTTTTTATTGCCACCGGCGAGACCTTGCTGGAATTTGTGCAAAAGCCACGTATCAATGGTGCCGAACAAAGCGGTCTTATTCTGGACGGCCTTCCTCAGATCATCATTGTTCCGTATCATCCAAGCCAGGCGCGCCGTCACTTGGCTGTTCATGAACTTCATCACGCTGCCCGCCAAGAAGCGCTTGTTGCGTGTGATTAGATGGAGGAACTTCGCGACTCCCTGGAAGGACTTGAGCAGCACATTCTCATTCCACTTCTTCACCAGCTCCTTGGCACGCATGTCATTCCACACGACGAAGTTGTGGAAGGGCTTCCCACTCTCCCGATGCCACGTGATAAAGCTGCACCGCTGAGTAGTTATTCCCAGGCACTCCAGCTCATCTGCAGACACTTTCGCACTCTCCAACGCACTCCTGATCACACTCACCACACTCGCCCAAAACTGATCCGGGTCGATTTCAGTGTATCCCACTTTCGGGTATATTAATTGTACCTGAGAAATAGATTTAATCCCCAATTAGCAATTTAAATGAAACATTATTTGCTAATAGACAGACCTGCTCGCTCGCGAAGCCACAAATTTGGAGGGAACGGTTGAAAATCATGCATCTCAGGGTCGTTGTCCCTACATCGAGAGCCCCAATGTACCTTTCCCCGTCGCCCATTGCTCCTTGACCGCGATCACACTTCAAGAGTCACTGGAAAATATTCTTCCGCGCCCGCGACGCTCCAGCCAGTTCATGCTATTCCACCAAATAGAGTGTAGAATTACACACTGAGAGACTCTCCGACACACTGATTACGTTTATCTCCCACTCAAAATCATATCAGAGTGCGATGTGAACCTTTGAACTACACAAGATTTATTTTGAGTCGCTGGAAAGGGCAATAAAAAGAACAATTACTCGTGCTTTTTTGCACACTTTATGCTATTTTTTGTACGAATCCAAAAGCGTGTTTCTCAGCGCGTAAACACACGAATGGGGAAGAGAAATAAAAGCAACTGCACGGCGGCACAAGGAAAACACGAATATCACTCTCATTCATTCCGTGAATAATCTGTTTGTGTGCTCACTCGACACTCCAATGCTACGCGCCGAGAGTGTGTTGGAGTATCAACTCCCCCAACATTCTTCATAATATTGTAATAAGGCTTGACAAAGAAAATAGAATCACACTGCCAATTGGCTAGACGACATAAATTATTTATTCAATCGGATCGCACTGTTCACTGAATTCCCGAGGGTTTTGCAATTATGATGTCACTGATAAGAAGTGTCATTCTATTCACCACACTCGTCGGATGATTTCTTCTCCTTTGTATTGCTTTTGCGCGGTAATGCTTTTCTACACGTGCGACTTCCACTGTTTGGCCCTTGAAAAGTGACGCAAGTCTTGTCTAGAAACTCAATCAAGTCCTAAAAATTAACAAATCGTTAACTCTGATAGGATTTTAAAATCTGCAGCGAAGAAAATATCTTACATTTGCCTCGAATCTCATTCCCATGTCTCTGAAGTGTCCCTGAATTGTCTCCAGAGGAATTGGTTGATATTGCAAGATCTGCTCATGGATCTCCTTGTTGCATTGCAGGAAGTTGTAGAAGGCGATGTGCAGAGGAACAGCACAAGTGGGCAATTTCTTCCTCGGAGGACATGAAAGTATGCACTTCTCAGCTTCGACGTTTCCAAGGAAATCATCTTTGCACAAAATGTCCATGTGCTCTGGCAATGCGCCACTCTCACCCACTTTCGTCTGCTCCGGCTCCGCATCAATCAAGCCATATTTGCACTTCAGCTGGAACATTTCGTCCTCCACTTGAATGAAAGGATGCAACTGGTTGTAGATATGCTCCAGCAGAGTTTTCGCCTTCTGTCCTTTGATGGCTTTCAGACCGTATTTCTTCAGCTGCTTCTGAATTTCTTCCTCGTCAAAACTATCAAAATCTGGAGGAGGTGTGACTGCCCTTCTCTTTACCACACAAATATCCTGATTCTTCAAGCTCTGAGAGACAAATGTCACCTCCTTTTCGTTTCCTTGAGAGACTTTCACAGGTTCCTCTTCAATGATGTCACCGGATAAGAGAGAGTTTATATTGATTTGCGAAGAAATAGGACTGCTCTCCTTTAAAAAACTCTCATGATCAAATTCATCTGCTAATTGACTGCGATTCTGGCAAAGAAGAAACCCATCCGAGACGGATTTCTTTCCGAGATGTTTCGTTTCCTGATCTTCTATAATCTTATTGATACTCTGGTTGATTTTATCCTCCTCGTCGCTCTCGATCACGATCACATCCTCGTCAATTATCTTGTCGTCCATTTCCAAGAAGCTCTTCGACTCGGTTCTCCCAAAACTCAAAGATTTCACTTCATGATCTTCCTGCTGTTCTTCTCCAATTGTCCTAGACTTCATCAATTCTTCTGGCGTCTCAGGAATCTCCTTCTCATCACTCAATATTTCTATAGACATACTCTCTCGTTGTGAACTCTCCATTGCGTTATCTTCATCACTTAGCAGGATATCCGGCGTTTCCGATCTTACTGAGCGATCAAATTGCTCAAATTCAATACTTCCCTCGATTTCCGCTTCATTTTCCACCACTTTAATATTTCGGGTGCGGCTTGGAGACATTTCTCGCCCTGGAATTTCATCCCAATTCCTCAAAAGAGCAGTGATCATCGTATAGGACGGCTTCACAAGGTTTCCCTTGTAATAGCAGGAGTATACATTGGAAGATAGCTCAGAATTACTGTTCAGACTCATAATTCCATCACCATGATTCGTCCACTTAAGATGATTCTCAGTGGTCACTAGAAAATTGTATGGCAATCTCTCTTTTCGAGTGTCTTCCTCATCCCAGATGGATTTGCTCAGAAGTTCATTTATCTTTTCGTCGAATAGCCGATTTTGCTTTTTGGGATTCCTATGCAGAAGAGGAGACATCTTCCGGAAGCCCTTGAGCTCTTCCATTCCCAGAAAATTCCTCATTTTTGTGTTATATTGAGTACTGGACTTGAATCCGTACTCTTCCAGAGTGAATTTCGCCGTAGATTTAGACGAATGGGATGTACTTGAGTCATCATCCTCCATTTGAACTGTTAAACACTCCTCGTGACTTTCTGTGATGGATCTCGACAGGGCCAGAGCCAATTGCAGGTCATCCGGATTGATGTTCTCTGCAATACTTTTCTTCACCAGAAACTTATTGAGGAATTTCTCATCTGACACTTTCCTCGTCTTGCTTTTGGGTCCTCTTCTTTCTACGCAACTCCCTCGCTTTTTCATTCTCTTGCCTGACTGCTCAGCCTTTTCCCTACGCGGTCGCGATTGACTCCCAGACACAGAGTCCTTGGAAGACTCCTCATCAAGATCAATGAAATTATCTGTGACATTTCCAGCGTCATTGTGTCCACTCTTCTGACTCTGCTGACTCAAGACTTCACTGGCAATCGTGCCGCTAACTGAAGAGGAGATTTTAGGATTGAAGAATTTGGTGATTTGTGTGGTGCCTGCATTGTTGGAACCGCTGCAACAGAGATATGCTTGTTATAATAAATCAGAGGCCAAATATATTTGATCTACAATATATCTTACATTTTACTACAATTTTTAGAGCGCAACCTGGCAAACTTGTCGCGCTTCTTATCCATCTCTCGTCTGGTTTACTTCTCACTACGCATTTCACGTTCAAATTCCATGATTTCTTTAATTTCGTCCTTTGATTTAAACGGCACAAGATTCATGTATTGTCTGCTATCAAGCTCTTCCTGGGAGTCTCTGAATCTAGGCTCGTATTTGTCGTACAAATTGTAGAAGCGTGGATTGAAGCTGGAGACGAAAAACCTTAGAATTTTCCAGAAAACAACCATACGTGCAAATAAACTTACACGGCGAACAAGCCAAAGGCGACTGAAACTGTGAGAACACCAAGCGCGAAGTAATTGCGGTGTCTGTAGGATGGAGTCCCACGAGCACGGCGAGGCTTCCACTTGGAGCTGTCTATGCGGGGATCCATTTAATTTCTGCGGCAAACAGCCCCAAAATCATAAATATTCCGGCAAATTCCAACCTTAAACGTCAAGAGCAGGAGAAATTTTTTGCCGCAAGGTGGCGTAATTCTTAGACCAGTTTTTGGGCTAAGATAATTTTGTGGCGGATGAAATGCGAAAGAGTTGAAAAAGTCTTGTGCTAAGTGATAATTACGCAATAATCGCGAAGGAAGTGTGTTTAAAGTACAGAAATATTGACCTTATAGTTGCAAATAAAGTGTAGAGGGTCTTAAGTTAGTTGAAAAACTGAGAGATATTGCAGAAGTTGGTGGAAAAGAGGCGAAACAATTGAGCGTGGCTTTCGGTCTAACGGGATTAGCGCCATTATTGTGTGCCCCTGGAAAATTTCTGTGGCTGCAAGAAGAGACAAAAAGGATGCCTTGGGATTGGAAGCCACAAGCAGAAGAACTGCAATCAGTTCTGCAGTTGATAAAAATTCTGAGTGATGACGACTTGTGTGATACAGACGTTAGAACGAATGCATGGAAGGTGATAAATTTGGCACACGGCACATCTCAATTTCTTATTATTTTATCATCTATGGTTTCGATGGTTTCCTTTCAGATAATTGACGAATTAGGGCTGTTCCCAGATTTTTATTACTGCCTGTTCTACGTGGTGATAAAGCTAACAAATGAGGAAGAAACAGTGCGATCTCTCAGTGCATTTGTTTTAAGCTACAAAATCAGTGAACACGAAGGGAATCTGGTGATTACCGATTCTTTGAAAGAGGACTGCTTGATGGCCTTGATCAATCCATCGCCAAAAATTCGAGAGGAAGTTGCGAATCTGATCTGTGTGATTGTCCGCAAGGATGGTCTGGTAACGTGGCCGAATCTCATTCCCATTCTGTGTGACATGCTGCACTCGCAGGCTTGCACGCCGAATTACAGTGGGTGCGAGAAAGCCAATGGAGCTCTTGAAGTGTTGAAGAACATGTTCGGGTATGACGCAGTAGGATACGAAGGATATGATGAAACACCAATAATTAATCCACTGCTGGACAACCATTTGAATGTGTTAATCACGAAGTTTGAACCTTTGTCCAACCATCAATGTGCCGAGCAAAACCAGATTCGTAGCAACCTCCTCCTCTTAATGGCCTCAATTGTTATTCTCTGGAGAACGGAGCTGCACAATGATCACGCTGACGCATTCATCGAGACCTTCTTACGCCTGCTGACCGATGAGATGGATGTCACCGTAAGTGCAAATTCTTGCAAGGGACTGTGCATGGTGTTGAAGTATCGAAAGGATCGTCTCATGCTTTACCTGAATCAAATAATTGAGTGCATGTTGAAGCACAGTCAGACTTGTAACGACGATGTAATTGCCCCCGAGGCAATGGAGTTCTGGAGGATTCTGGCGACTCAGCCCGGATGCCAGGATCAGCTCGGACCATATTTGCCACGCCTTGTTCCAATCCTCATTCGTGGGTTGCGCTACAAAAGCAAGCACCTTGTTTTTGAAGAGGACGTCGAGGATTTGACCGGTCAACTTATGAGAATGCAAACTGGCAATAAGAATGGGAGCATGGATGAAGATAGCCAGGATGATGATACGCTCCCATCATGGCACAATAGCAATCTGCGAATGAGTATTGTGGGAGCACTTAATGCATTGGCCAATGCGTTTGGTGAGAGAATTCTGACCATCTTGTACCCGCTTCTCGATGAGACCGTTTTCAATCAAGTCTGTGAAATCAAGGAGAGTGGAATACTGGCGTTGGGGGCCATCGCGGAGGGCTGCATGCAGGAAATTGAGCCAGATCTTCCCGAGCTGATTTTCTACTTGATATCTTGTCTGTCGGACAAGAAGGCTTTCGTGCGCTACACCACGTGCTGGGCTCTCTCAAAGTATGCCAATTGGGTGGTGGTGCAGCCGAATCCCGACCAGTATTTGAAGCCACTGATGCAGGAGCTGCTCAAGCTGAGTGTGGATCCCAATGAGTATGTGCGAAAGGAAGCTGACAGTACCGAGAAAGTGTTCAACGAAGCCTTTTAGATTTTCCTTTAGTGTTTCTATGTGATTTTTGATGACGCTATTAAGTTGTGATTATAAGAGCCAATGTCGCACCAGCAACGCAATATTAGCATTTAGATTTGATGTCAGCGTTGATTGAAATCTTTATATGTTTTCTTTCTTACGAAATGGATTCTTTTTTCTACTAAAATGACAAATAATATACAATAAATATTGAATGTGAATACAATTTACTAAAGAAGCTAAATGCATTGCTGATTTTTTAAATCGCCTTGATTCTATTATTTTTCCTGATATCTAGTTTAAAAGACTTTTGAAAATGTAATCCAAGTAGGCCAGATTTGTATGTCGATGATGTGAATTTTTTGGAATCAAGTTAATAGGATTTCTATATTATATTTTTAAATCAAGGATAGATAAAATGAGCAGTATAAGTTTTGTATCCTCTTTATGCTTGAGCACAATCTTACCACCGTGCAGATCTTTTTGTACTTTGAAATAAATATTTCTAATCCTATAGGGAACGTCTATTATTCCAAGTAGAGTGATTTCTTATGGATTCTAGGTATGCGAATGGCGAATATTTAATTTTTCGGCTAAATTTTCATGCGTAATTTTTCGGAACATTCTCGTAGACATATGTCGGTTATTATTTGATTACTTAGCCCAGTAAAATTGTCGTCTAAAAGAGCGACGGACAGTGGGAGAAAGAAGAAGAAGAAGAAGAAGAAATTTGAGCGACAATTGATGGCGGAGTGGAAAAGTCGGAAAAGGAATTTCAATTACACAATAATCGTGCAAAAAGGCTGAGGAAGTGTGTGAAAATTGTCGAAAAGTTGCCAGTAAAGTGTAAATTGCAGTTCAGTGAGTGGTGAAAGCGGGGAGAAGTTGCCGAATTGGTGAAAAAGTGGTGTGAAACAAAGTGCGGTGCACGTTGATAGGCGAGCAACGCAATCAAAGTGCGGTACCCCCGTTCGTCGTCGAATGAAAAGGCGAAAATTTCGAGAAATTTTATGCGGATAAACGCAGTTCTGTCGCATCTAGAGTGAAAAGTTCATCAGCGACCGAGGGCGATCAAAGGACCGGCAAGCACGATGACGTGGGAGCCGCAGCCAGAGGGTCTCCAGCAAATTCTCAACCTGCTGAAGGAGTCGCAGTCGCCAGACACAGAGATACAACAAGCCGTTCAGAGGGTAAAGAATTTATTGATTTTTCCATTTCCACCGCGCCACAACACGCGCGATTGTGAATTTTCGCCCTATTTGCGCCCCTCTGCGTGAGGAGGGTGCAAAAAATAGATAGTCCCTCATCTAAATTCAGACCAAATGGCCATTCTAGGTCGATTTTTGTGGGTTAAGCGGAGTGGTTGCAAATGCGTGAGAAATGCTCGTCGTCCATGATGGTCTTCTTACATGTGTTTACACGAAATTTGGTTTTTTTTTTGCAAAATGGAACATTTCACAATTTAGCAAGACTTTCTGCGTTTCGCTGGTTTCCTCCTTTGCGTGGATTTCGCTAGAAAATCAATATGCAAATGCCAATAATTGTTTATTCATGGCCTTTGATAGTGTATTGCTGATATTTATCGGGCATAACTGTGTTTTCATCTCTGAAACTCCCTTCGACGTTCTTTCAGAAATTGGAAGAGTTGAACCAATATCCCGACTTCAACAACTACCTGATCTACGTGCTGACCAAGCTGAAAAGCGAGGATGAGCCAACGAGGTCACTGAGTGGATTGATTCTCAAGAACAACATTCGACACATCGGCACGAACCTTCAGTCGGAGATCATCGACTACATCAAGCAGGAATGCCTGATGGCCGTGGGCGACCCGTCGCCCCTGATCCGGGCGACTGTGGGCATCCTGATTACGACCATCGCTAGCAAGGGCGGCCTAATGAATTGGCCGAATCTCCTTCCTATGCTGTGCGACATGCTGGACTCGCAGGATCACAATGTGTGTGAGGGCGCCTTTGGGGCGTTGCAGAAAATCTGCGAGGACTCGGCCGAGGGACTGGACAGTCCGGACCTCAATCGTCCCCTCAATGTGCTGATCCCGAAATTCCTGCAATTCTTCCAGCACTCGAGTCCCAAGATTCGCTCCCACGCCATTGCGTGCATCAATCAGTTCATCATCCACAGGACGCAGGTGCTGATGCTGCACATTGACGCGTTCATCGAGAGTCTCTTCCGTCTGTCGTCAGACGAGGACCACGAGGTGCGCAAGAACGTGTGCAGGGCGCTGTGTATGCTGCTGGAGGTGCGAATGGATCGTCTCATGCCATACATGAACCAAATCATCGAGTACATGCTGCAGCGCAGCCAGGACCAGGACGACAGCGTCGCCCTCGAGGCGTCTGAGTTCTGGCTGTCCCTGGCGGAGCAGAACATCTGCAAGGATGTTCTTGGACCGCACTTGCCACGCCTAGCCCCAATTCTCATTCGTGGCATGCGCTACTCCGACATTGACATCATCCTGCTGAAGGGGGACGTGGAGGAGGACGAAATGATACCGGATCGCGAGGAAGACATCCGCCCGCGTTTCCACAAGTCGCGCACGCACACACTAAAGTCATCGAGCGACGAGAATGGGGACAATGACGACGATGACGATGGCATGGATGATGATAATTCGCTCTCAGAATGGAATCTGAGGAAGTGCAGCGCAGCGGCGCTGGATGTGCTGGCCAATGTGTTTCGTGAGGAGTGTCTGCCCATCCTGTATCCAATTCTCAATGAGATCCTCTTTCACCAGCAATGGGAGATCAAGGAGAGTGGAATACTGGCGCTGGGGGCAATCGCGGAGGGCTGCATGCAGGGAATGGTGCCGCATCTGCCCGAGCTGATTCCCTACTTGATATCTTGCCTGTCGGACAAGAAGGCTCTCGTGCGCTCCATCACGTGCTGGACGCTCTCCAGGTATGCCAATTGGGTGGTGGTGCAGCCGAATCACGACCAGTATTTGAAGCCACTGATGGAGGAGCTCCTCAAGAGGATCCTGGATGCTAATAAGCGTGTGCAGGAGGCGGCTTGCTCGGCATTTGCGACTCTCGAGGAAGAGGCGTGTACTGAATTGGTGCCCTATCTCAGTTTCATCCTCAAGACTCTCGTCTTTGCCTTCTCAAAATACCAGGTAAGGCATTTCATTGTCCATTCTCTGAGAACTTTATTATTTACTTTATGAGCCAATTCTGAGAAGAGTGCTGAGTAATATCTGTTGGTAGTCCTTGAAGGTGTTCTTCCTCGTGCTATAACTTGCCTGAATATTGTATGGGGGGATGTATATTGTCCCCTATTATTCATCATTTGCGAGTGTCTTCATGGCATATTATTACATTTTCAGCACAAAAACTTGCTTATTCTCTATGATGCCATTGGTACGTTGGCGGATTCTGTGGGCCACCATCTGAACAAACAAGATTACATCAACATGTTGATGCCGCCCCTGATCCACAAGTGGAACATGCTGAAAGACGAGGACAAGGATTTGTTCCCTCTGTTGGAGGTACGCACTTGAGTCTTTGGTGGGAGGGAGCAGATTGGTTGTTTATGCAATGGGAATTTATCTTTTGCGCAGTGTCTATCCAGTGTCGCTACGGCTCTCCAATCGGGTTTCTTGCCATACTGCGAACCCGTCTACAAGCGCTGTATTTCACTGATACAGCAAACCATCAATCAAGACATGGCGAACACAGCGAGTCCCGGACACTACGAACAGCCTGACAAGGAGTTCATGATTGTGGCACTGGATCTGCTGTCGGGCCTGGCAGAGGGCCTGGACGGGCACATTGAGTCGCTGGTGGTGAACAGCAACATCATGGAGTTGCTGTTCCAGTGCATGCAAGACATTATGCCCGAGGTGCGACAGTCATCGTTTGCTCTCCTGGGTGACTTAACAAAGGCTTGCTTCCAACACGTGGCTCGCTACATTCCTGACTTTTTGCCAATTCTCGGACAAAATCTCAATCCAGAATGCATATCTGTGTGCAACAATGCCATTTGGGCAATTGGAGAGATTAGCATTAAACTGGGTAAGAGAAAAGTGAATTGTGTCTGGGCGAACCTGATAACAAATGTGCTTTTGATGCTTGCAGGCGCCGAAACACGATTATACATCCCTCTAGTTCTCAACCAGTTGATTGCCATCATCAATCGTCCCAACACAACGAAAACTCTTTTGGAAAATACAGGTACAACACTTTGATGGTGCATAATTTCATGATGAAAAGTGAAAATGCTTCTAAAAGTTGAAACTTGATTTACGTTATATAATTTTCTATATATATATACATATATATATCTTGAGAAACTAATTATGAGCTAATGAGAGAATAACAAAAATTGCCTTATATTTGAGAGAACCACTTATTTGATTATCTGCTTTTTCGTTATCTCACTTTCTATCATAACTTCATAACAGAGTATATATTGATGACAATTTCCAAAGTAAATACTTGTAGAATTTTTACTTCACATTGTTATTACCTGTGTGTGGTGTTTTTTCAATTGAGGAATCACTGTGAGAGCAACATTTTTTCCTCCTTTGCTTTTGTATCAAGTCATTAATCATGAAGGCAATTATTTTATCATACACCTTGAGAAGAGTTGTTGTTCTACATATAAAAAAAAATAACAGAGAATATTATCAAAGAAATGAAAAGAAGAGAAACGTTAAACAATTATCAAATATGAGTCAATTTTGGTATCATTTCAATACACGCCTATAATTTGTTTTCTTTGTCATTTGTTACGTATATTTTTTTCTTTTTTCTGTTTGTTTTTAGCTATAACAATCGGTCGTCTAGGTTTAGTGTGCCCCCTTGATGTGGCTCCTTTATTACAACAGTTTGTTCGGCAGTGGTGTGTAACAAATCCTTTTTATTATTATTATTATTTATTCTATACTTTCTATATGATGATTATTTTTTTAAAAAAAATTTGTCTCCCACTAATTTCCCCCACTTTCCTTCATCGCCATATTTTTTCTATGGAATATGTGTTTAAGTTTTCTTACTGCCCTGGTCAAAATTGCCTCCTTCATCATCCTGTATTGCTTTCCAATCCTCTTACGTCCTCAGGTTTGTCCTTTCTTTTGAATCATCTCTCGTTTCACTTATTATAATCTACATATTGACACGAGTTGAAGGTATCCAAATTTTGATATTTTTACATTATTATATTTATAAATTGCATTTGACTTTTTGAACATAAAAAAAATATCTATACTTCTTGTTTTCCATTCACTTCAATCTATCCTTTGTTTGATTAATGATATATTATCTATACAGTTTATTAAGATGAACATTTTTATCGCCATTTGTATATTTATTACAACACAATTGGTTCTTACTATTTGAACTTTCTATAATCCTTGCACAGTTAATTCGATGTGTTTCAAAGGTGACAACGACAAATATAAGCGGAGATAGAACATTTATATTGCAATCATTTTGAATATATAATTATTGTATAATTTCTGTTAAATAATAATTGAGCATTACATGACGTTGAATTATTTAATATACATTTAATTACTGTGTGACACATAACCACTGACGGTAAAGCTGAATGAGTATGTTGTTTAATACATGATATCATTTATATTTCCTACAATCAGTACATTTATACATAGTTTATCGCTATATTGAGAAGATCAAGTTGTAATCAAGTATAAATTGAAATTCTGCCAGATGGAGACGAAATGTTGAATATGCGATAAGATAATGTTGGTGTCTTTTATTATATATATATATATTGTGTTGTATTTGGTATACTATGGCTAATGTTTTGGACTTGTTTCTTTTATTGATGTCTTTACTATACATATTCAAAGCAATTATTGCAATATTTGTCGCAACAATGGCATAATGTATAAGTGTAGATATTTTGCAAGGTACTGAGAATGATCAAAACTAACTCCATTTGTCTCTCTTGTAACCAAATCAGGTGCACCTCCCTACGCAATATACGTGACAATGAGGAGAAGGATTCTGCTTTTAGAGGCATGTGTCAAATGATAACCGTAAATCCCGTTGGCGTTGTCCCGGACTTTATCTTCTTCTGTGATGCAGCCGCATCATGGGTAAGTCCAAAGAGTGACTTACATGAAATGCTTCAAAAGGTAAGAAAAATGATGACATTGAAGAGGATCTGATGGGGAGTATTTTGTGGATCTCTCACTAAATGATGCTCTTAATGCTCTCAGATACTCTCGGGCTTCAAGACTCAGGTAGGCGAGGAGAACTGGAGACGATTCGTCGATCAATTTCCCCCACAACTGGCCGAGCGTCTCAGCACAATGTATGACATCTAACGAGGTAATGGCAGTACATTAAATATTTGCGGGGAATTTCCTCCGGTGAGAATTGATGATAGTGTGAACTGGCACAAGACTGCACCTACACTGCTGGTGAGAGTCCTTGCAATGGATGACTTTTTGTTCTCACAACTAGTTAATGGAAGGAGAGGAGAGTATATCATTTTGATTGCAGTAGGAAAACGCTGTAATAAATGCAGAGGAAAAAAGAAACTAATTGAATCAATAACTTTTTGTGATAAGTAAATAAATACCACTATTTATTTTCTTGGTCATTTGAAGATGAAGTAAATTGAAGAGAGAGAGAGAGAGATAGAGAGATATGTGAAATTATAATTACCACATTTTTTCCGAATGGGAAAAAAAGAATTCCTTTTACGATTCAATCTACCGTCACTTTCGTATGCAACTGTTTAGAAGAGTGGAATAAAAGAGTATTAGAGCAGAAACACCGTAAACAATAGTGGTGAAGAAATACACAGTAACGTTAGTAAGAAGATATAAATCACTTTCTTAAGCATGTGGGGGAGAAGAGAAGAAATATTCATATCTAAACATACGATTAAGATGTATAACAAGGTATAGACAACAATTGACTTATACTTTTGAATAATATCGACCATTTATATAAATTTCTAATCATATTTCCTTTCCAAGTTCCTGATTCCTGTTGAGTCCTTCCCAATATACACGAATACTTTCGAATTTAATGTTTTTTAAAAGAAGAAAATTGATTAGAAGTGCATAATGTAGGAATATAACCTCAATTGATCAATATTTAGAAATTATATCTTAATTTTTTTTCTTTTCAATTTGTTCTCGCAAGATTATTTACTCAAATATTTGTACCGTGTAATGTTGCGTGATTATGCAAAAAAAACTGTATGTATGACTTAGAGTAACATAAAATGTAGGCACTATGTGAAGAAATGGGTAGAGTTGCAGAAATTTTTCTTATATTTTTTTCCTATGTCTAAATTTTTCCCAAACTGCTATTTTGTAGTCAGCGGTTTGGGATAGATATTTTTTTTCTTTCTATAAGAATTCGTAACATTGTGATAAGGATATGTTTGATTTAGAGATGATTTTTAGGAAGATAAGGTAGATTTTTTCAAATTTTGAAAGTCATTTTTTGCTTACCTTTAATGAATTTACGAAGTATGTGTTTATTTTTTTTTGTAAAAATTAATCTACGAACTGAAACATTGATGCTTTTTCTTTTGGATGAAATTACACTGCTCTAATTGCTGTCATGTAGCGTTATAATTTTTTTTTTAAATATTAGTCTCATTTGTCAATTGATGATCAGCAGCAAGAGAAGAGGAATCCAAATGATATTTAACAAAACATAGACAATGCAGATATTCACATTTTATGTGCCATTCAGAGAAAACACTTGATGTAGATTTTTGTGACCTTGTTGTGTAACCACTTAATTTGTCGAGTAATTAAGACTGAAACTGGAATTTCACAAAATAGATAATACTGATTGATATTCTAGAATGATCAAAGTATGAGAATTTGTGTGTTGCTGTGTTCAAAAAGTCTTATTGTTTACTAAAGCAGAGATTTATGGGAATCGTTAACTCTCAGTCCAATCTTCAGCGTATAAATATTGTGCAGAAAAATATTTGGAACTTTACTTCTTACAATAGAGAATCTCACTTTGAGATCTCGTCTTTGATTTACCTAGAAATTTAAGATTGTTCACTTTTTGAACACAGAAGTTGTGCAAATTCTTTTTTTAATGCTTAAAATAAAAAAAAATTATTGTGAGAAGCTTATTTTTCCAAAAATCTAAGTTGCTTTTTTATTGTTTATTTAACACTTTAATTTATTTTCTAAAAAAAAAGAGAGATTAAGCCAGACCGTGAGAGGAAAGGGATGTAAAAGTGAAAGGAGCCAATGTTTCAGTCGCATAGTAATGATGATGAAGAGGAGAAACGATAGGTATTAAAAAAAATAAAGAAAGAAGATTAAAAATTTCTATATTTAACTAGGTTATACATAAATGAAATTGTATCTTAATAGTAATTACCACTAATTGATGAAAACACACGTCATAAGATTTAATAATGCATGAAAAACTGGAAAAATTGATAGTGAATTATTTTCTATGGTGATTATATATTGTATGAAGGGTGTAATTTAATTTACGCGGAGATAAAAGATTTATAATTTTATAGCGTTGAAAAATGTCGATTGATCAATTTTATTTGAATGTTAAAATGGAAAAAGAAAAATGTCGCGTGAAAAGAATTTCTAAATGAACAAATTCAGGGGATTTCGTTTTTTATATACGTATTTACTGTAATCGTCGCGTATCGCACACGTTATCGTCGGTTTTAGCGTCGGTCGTCTTATGGATTCGTCCCCAAATCCACCGCGTCGGTTTTATCGACTGAGACAAAAATTTCTCTACAAAATACATTATTATGAAACAAGACAAAAAAAAGAGATAATCCCACGAAGAAGAAGAAGGAGCAAATTCATTTTATATATCCATACAAAGAGTGTAAAAGCAAAATAAGCAAATTTCATCACATTATGATGTCTTGTTTTTCAGGGCATTGCAAGAAAAAAGAGATACAAAAAAGAAGAAACTAGAAGAAAGTGAAAATGTAACAATAAATTTGTAATACAAGAAAAGAAAATGTGATTAATGTATTTTTGTTGAAGGAATTTTTGTTGATACAAATGTACTTGTTCGTCGTGGAAGTACATTTCTTTGAATAAATAATCATATTGCACTTAAAAACAAAAAGAAAAACCACTAGAGGGACTTTTTTTCTCAGAAAAGTGCAATGTGATTAGGTAGATTATAAAAAAATCGTACGTACCTTATTAAACCAAATTGATGAAACAATTTGGTCGCGTCGCGTTCTCGTCGCGTTTTCGGGTGATTCTAATAAATTGAGTTATTTATTGAAAAGTAAAGTAATATATGTAATGTAAAAGAATAGTGTAGGTATTTAGGAATTAACAAGTGAAGAATTTTATAAATAAAGATGAAAAGAGCTAGGAAATAAAGAGAAAAAAACATACAAAAGTAATTCTTGCTATTTACGACTTAATGAGTATACTTTGTGTTATGTTTAATCAGAAGAATTGATAAAGAGAAAGAATGGAGATAAGAGATAGGAAAGGTGAGATATACAGTTAAAAGTAGCTACTAAATGACATAAATGTTACTTTTCCTATAACACCATGCAAAGACAGAAAAAATGGATTAACTTCTGCACAGTTTATTTTCAATCTGAGAAGGGTTAAAGAGAAGAAATCAACGAAATTATAGAGAAATTACCACAAAATTTTCTCCCATTCACTGTCATTCTTTTGAGAAGAAGAAGAAGAAAAAAAAGTTCCCACCAAGGAAGAAATCTATAATTGAAATTATACATCAAACACCGAAATATTCTTAGTAGAACAGAATATTATTTATTACATTCAAGAATTTATTTGTACCCCCCAAAAAGCGCTGTCATAAGCAGAGATGGAATGAGAGTTTAGGATATTTTAATGGGATGCTACTAAGTCTGATAATGTCATTTACAATAATATATTTTTGAGAATACTTTATCATCAATTTGAGAAGGAGAACAAACGAATTCAATCCGCAAGAGCAGAAGAGAGCATGATTACCATATTAAGAAGCATATTTGAAAGGATTAATGGAAATTGGACATGAAGTTATTGTGTCTGTATAGGAAAAAATGAAGAAAATCATAACCAGAAAGCAATATTTGGAAAATTCTAATGAATGTGAGCAAAGTAAATGAATTATAAAAAGTTGTTGACATGATGACAAATCAATATAATTGAAATTGCTTGAATTTCGTATGCACAAAGTATTCATTTTGAGAGACAAAGTTATGTAAAATAGTGCTTGCTTTATTTAAAAGACATGTGAGAAGAAACACTTTAAATTAGACTTTTAAAATTTTACTCATGACTTGAAATACTGATGGATTCAAAAGACTTTTTGATTTAATTTGCAATAATTGACCTTTTGCTGTAGATTATTCCAATTAGTGACTGTTAATTGACGAGGATGGCATTGCAAAGAATGCAAATGATAGTCCATATCCATTAAAACAAACCAGGGAATTCAAAAGAGAATCTTTTGTGAAGAAAAGTATGCAAAACAACATTAGAATTATACCCTGTATTTTCAATAATGTAATTAACATAATATCACCAAAAGGGAAATGTAACTTAAACAAGAAATAATAAAATTGAAGTAGCAGAATTTGACCCTTCTTTTGAGTGCTTCAAAATTGGCGCCGGCTCGAAGTTGTACTAAATGGGAATGTGTTTAGTACTCGAAATTAGCACACGCTTCGAAGCCGTCATCCGGGATTCTAGCAGTTTAGCGAGTAAAATTTCTCTCTCTCTCTCTCTCGAGAAAGTGTGTATTTACAAAGCTGTTGAGCCATGTCGTCTAGATCGGAACTGAATCTTCGCAGTCTCATAGCGCATTGTGAGGAGATGGCCAAGACGGACAGTGGAGACTGGCGCCTAAAGAAATACATAAAATCCATCGACATTCTGATAGAGGAACTGGAAGAGGAGGATTTGATGTGAGTCCAGTGGATGTTTTCTCCTGTACATCTTCTTCAACCCTCTCACTTTCCAGGAGACCAGACAATAGAGTTATAGAGGAATACCGAAGTCGCTGTGGCGAGTTGAAGAAGCTAGTCAATTACCAGGAGCCCCAGAAAATTATCCGCAAAGAAAAGGATCCATCACAAGATGTTCATGCAGTTTTCAAAGAGATCAAGCAAGTCCACAATGCCAATTACTTCAAAGAACTGCGAAAGGATTTACTGGGCGGCGAATCGGGTGTGCGACAGAGGGTCCCTGGGAGCGGAGGCACCGGAGATGACATGGGAAAGGCAATGAAGCACTTTGCGGACATTCAGGAGAAGATAGCGGAGAACATGATCTCACTGACCAGCAACTTGAAGGAGCAAACACAGACCGCCAATAGGATAATCAAGAATGACGTTGAGACTGTGAAGAAGTCCACAAGTCTCACGGAGAGCAATTTCGGCTCCCTTAAGACCAAATCGGAAAAGCTGAAGGAGCATTCGAAGCGCGCTTGCAAGTGCTGGGTGTGGATGATGATTGGCTTCGTGATGATGATTTTCATATGTGAGTACAGATTTAGCATGATATCCATCAATGCGAGGATTATTAATCAATGTTTTCGTGATTTCCTTGCAGTTATGGTCTTTTTTATAAAAGTTATGAAGAAATAAACAAGGTTGAGGTTACGTGGAAAGTGCTAGAAAGCGCCTTCCAACACTGAACGAAGAATTTTTTCGTCGTGACGTCACGTGCGATGCGAAGCCAACTTCAAGTGGATGCTTATTTTTTCCTGCGAGCTTGGCTTTTGAAATAATCGTGCTCTTCGTCGAAAAACTTCTGAGGAGGTGCGAGGGAGTGTGAAAAATGGACAATTCGGACGAAAATGAGCAAATTGAGGAGCTGATCTACTCGGAGACGGAAGAATTGGAAGAGGAGACCGTGGACATCCTGCCGAGTGGCGATGAGGAGAAGGAGGAAGCTTCCACATCGCAGGTCATCACGGGCGACCTTCCCGTGAAGAACATCGTGTGCATCAAGCCGTCGAGCGGAGGAGGAGGCATTCCGTTACAGCTGAAGTCCCTCCCGACATCTCGAAACACGGCCATTGCGTCACAGGTGCAGAAGCTGATGGGGAAGCAAGTGACTATTGTCTCGAAGTCAGTGAGCGGTTCCGTCAGCGGGTCTCCCATCACACCCATCACCATCGCGGCGTCTCCGCGTGTGGCGACGTCCGGTGGACAGCTGGGCCAGAAGATCGCCCTGCAGTCTGGCGGGAAGAAGATCGTGACAATATCGCCCTCACAGGCGCAACAGTTTAAGCTCGTGTCCTCGGCCTCGCCATCCTACCTCTCGCGGATCAAGACCTTGGGCTCCAACTCTGCCCAGAGGATTATCGTGAAGGCATCACCCAGTTCAGTGTCCACGTCGAAGCTGAGTGGGACGTTCATCGACATGGGCGGGCAGAAGCAGATGGTGGTGAATTCTCCCAACATCTTGAACATTGGAGCGTCCTCGTCGCAAGCCCAGAGGAGTCCTGCCATGAAGTCTATCAATGTGCCCAACAAGGTGCAAGTGGTGAGGGTGATCAACCCAAAGACGCAGCAGCAATCGCTGCAGAAGATTGTTATTGCGCATCCCCAGAAGGTGAAGGTGAGTAATTGCCTGCAAAGCTTCTACTTTGCAAGTGGAAATGACTTATTTCCTTTTCCTGTGCGCAGGTGGAAGACAGTCGCTCCTCAACCTCTCCGGGATCTGGTCCTCCGCCGAAGCTGGTGATTCAGAGCAAAAACGGGCAGTGCTTCTACGTGGCCACGTCGCCCACAAAGACCAACACCACCAAGTACACGCTCGAGACGAAGGGATCGCCATCTGGATCTGGCCAGAGAGCGGCCCATCCTGTGCCGATGTCGAAGATTGTGCTGGACAAGGACAAGCTGAAGGTGGTCTTTCCGGAGCCCACCATCCTCAACTCGAGTGTGTCCAACAACTCCAAGAGTTTTCCCGTGCACGTGTTCACCAGCAAGACGGGTCACTCGCCCGGCTCCAACACAACGGTGACAAACGTGCGCAACTTCAGCAACAAGCCCATTATCACGGAGCGCAAGGTGGAGGTGAAGGAGAAGATCGACATCGAGAAGCTGCTGGAGGGCGGCGGGCTGCACGACACGGGCAAGAGGCGACCTTGCAACTGCACGCGCTCGCAATGTCTCAAGCTCTACTGCGAGTGTTTCGCCAATGGGGAGTTCTGCAAGAACTGCAACTGCAAGGAGTGCTACAACAGCCTGGAGCACGAGGAGGATCGCCAGAAGGCCATCCGACTGTGTCTGGATCGCAATCCTAACGCCTTCCGGCCAAAGATTGGCAAGTTCAATGAGGAGGACGCCATCCGGCGACAGCACAACAAAGGCTGCAACTGCAAACGCTCCGGCTGCCTCAAGAACTACTGCGAGTGCTACGAGGCGAAGATCTCGTGTTCGAACAACTGCAAGTGCTTCGGCTGTCGCAACGTCGAGGGCTACTTCCCGCGGGACGACAGCACACCGACGGCGGGGACGAAACGCCAGAGCCAGGAGCTGGAGCCCGAGTGCTCGCCACGCAAGCAAGCGTGCAACTTCATGACACCCGACGTCGTGGAGGCCTCCATTCAGTGCATGATCGCCCAGGCGGACGACTGCCAGAAGTCCAGCGTGCCCTTCCTGCTCACCGAAAAGATGATCCTCGAGGAGTTTGGCCGCTGTCTGGCCGAGATCATTGACTTCTCCTTCAATAACACCGACTATTAACTTTTTTTATGGTCTTTAATGCCCTTTAATCCATTACACACACATTGAATAAGAACGCATCTACTGTACCTTATCCCGTGAGAGAGGTTTTGCGAAATAAAGATACTTCAGGACTGGATATTTCATACATTGGGTAATTTTGCGATAAGATAAAGAAGTACAACTAATTCCTCTTGAAGTTCATGTCGGTTGAGAAAAGCACCATTTGCTGCTTTTTCTTTCCCTTCCCGTGAGACGCCTTCTTGCTCTCACACTCCTTCCTAGAGGCTTCCGCCTTCTCCATTGCCACTGCCATGTCGCTGCTGAAGGCGCGTCGGAAGTCCGGAACACTCGTCTCGCCATCAACATCTCCAGTCGATGGGCTTTTACTCCAGGGCGACTCCACGACTACAGAAGCCTTCTTATCCATCAGACTTGGCCAGAATGCCCCCTCAGATGGACTAGAGAGCATCTGCAAGCCAAGAAAGTGCATTAGATTGCTGAGATAAAGTCGAGAACTTGCAAATACCTTTGCAAATGACGGTCCTTGCTTGTTCTCAACAGGACTCTCGTTCATCTCCAGCGGCCTCTCGGTCAAACCTCCATACTAGATATCGAGAAAAGATAGTTAAGTGACTTCCCAGACCTAAAATTCACAATTAACATTACTCACGAGAGGGAAATCCTTCGGGGATTCAATATTAATGTCCACTGGCTGACTCAGCAACTTTCCCATCTGCCGATCGTACACCTCATTGATCTTTATCTCTCGGATTTTCTCCTCCCGGGCGCGCACTTTGCGATTCTTAGCGCGCGACTTAAGTTCTTCATCGAAGGTCTTCATGATCTCCGGCGAGACGATGGGTGTGTCAAAGACAATTTCCACCACATCGAATTGACAAGTCATGGGCAGATGCTGCAGATACTTTAGCCGCTTTCGCAGAGTCTCTTCCATTGTGAAGCTGTCCTTCTGCACAATGCGGCCACTGAGTGTCTCGGGGCCTTTGTGAAGCTCCCCAAACTGCGCCTGGATCATGCGATTGTTGATGGTGTGCAAATAGAGGTTCTGGCCGTCGATCGCCTGATAGAAGTAGAAGTAGTCTGAAGAGTCGTTGGCAATCGCTTCGGCATCTTCAGCTTGTGACGAGGACTCGCTTTCCTCCTTTGCGTCCTGCAGCTGATTGAGGACTGCTTTGCGTTCTGACAGCAGGTCCAGAGCCTGCTGAATGAACATCGTCTCAGGACAATTGAGTCCATCGGGTCCATCAATTTCCATTTGCTGAAGTAATTCGCGCTGCTCATGATCCACAATCGAGAGCACCTCCTCAATGTCTGCCACAATCAGCTTCGAGTGCACGATTGCATCTCTGGACTCGAATAAATGCGGGAGTGGATCGGAATCCAAGCAGTCCTTCGAGGCTTCCACCACATTGAGGGATCCCTTCTTGCGCTTCATCAGCTTCAGCGTGACGACTTCCTCCGTCTTGAATTCGTGATGATAGTTGGCTACAGCGCTCTTCAGGTCCGCCACGTAGACAGGCTCGTAGCAGATGGGACACTTGCGCCAGGATTTGTCGGACAGGGCAAGATAGTGGAGAATGCAAGCCCAACAGTAAACGTGGCCGCAGCGTGTCATTTTCCCAGCCACTGGCGCGTACAGGCAAATGGGGCACTGCGCGTCCTCATTGCTGTGGATTATAATCTGCTCAATCTGATCCCACTTCACCAACGTGTCCGGGCATCCGCGATGCACTCCATACTCTCCAGAAGACTTCACCACAAACTGGCAACTGTAAAAAAACACCGAACGGTGAGATTGAACCGGGAAAAACCACTTTTGCAACCCGAAATCTTACTTGGCCTGAAGAAATTGCTCCTTACTGAAGTGCATCCGCTTTCCGCCCCAAGACTTGCCCTTGAACTCGCGCACTATCGTGAAGGAGTTCACCTTGCGCGGCGCGTAGTGGAAGTTCAGCAGGTGATTGAGGTTTTGCTTCTTGCTGCCGGGCAAGAAGACTGAATTCAACTCATATTGGGCCACGGGGTCCTCCTCCTCCCCTGCTAGTCCGGCGCCGGATCCAGATGACGCCAGGTCGCCACCCTTGCCAGTGCCTTGCGGCTCACTCGATGCTTGGCTGCCTCGCCCACGGGGTGGCTTCTTGTCAATTCTCTGCTGATGCCCATTCGGGACTCTTGCGCGTGTCGGATCCTTCGATCCTGCGTAACCATTGGGCTCACGTCGCCGTGAATTCCTCGGCCACTGCTTGCTGCTTGCGTCTGCGGAGGTGACAAACAGCGAGTCATCCCATCGTGATATAAATAGAGCGCGGGAATGTGTGTGTGGAGGGCGTCAGCGCGCCATCTTACCTTGCTTCTTGCACTCAGACGCTGGCCCCTTGGGGACCAGATGCGTCACACGAATATTTGCCTTCTTCTCCATCCCTCAGAAACACCCCCTCGCAATTCACCCAGACGAAGTGGAAAATTCCTCCACACGGAGTTAAACCAGTTACTTTGATTGGAGACATTTTAGAAAGCCATGATTTTTCCACCACAAGACAGAAGAAATTATGTTCAAATTGAACCCAAATATCCTTCTATGCGGAGCACTAAGGAACTTCACGTGTACACTAAATGAGAGATGAGAGTTGGGGGCGCAGCGCTACCCAACCGACGCAGCTAGGGGTGGTCTATTTGAGTCGGAAAAGCCAAAAATAAAATTGGCAAAAGCCAATTTTCCAAAATGGAGGCGAGGAGCACAGATGAGGAGATTTTGTGACGTTTGGCCAGAAATACCAACTGCACGCAGAAAAATTTCTGGCGATATTTTTATTATAGCCGAAACTCTTAAGAGAAATTTAGAACTTTTAAAAGCCAACTAAGATTTTATTATTTATCGAATTTCTTTACATGAACAACATTCGTCTTTTTTCACGAAATACTAGCAACAAGAATATTTCTCGTGCACTGCCTGAAATTTAAGGCTTCTTACTCGTTAACATTGATAGTTATTGTCTTGCCCTTGATATCGTCGAAGCGATCCATGGTGCGAATCTCCATGATCCAGGAGAGTCCCGCCGCCAGGATGACCAGCAGGAGAATGGCGACGAAGAGTCCTCCCATGATGCCGGGACTGATGAATCCCACGCAGTCCCAGGGCTCGCTGAAGCCATTAAACGGCTCAGTGGCGTCCGTGCTGAAGCGCGGCTCCAGCTGAAGTCTGGTGATGTGCAGCCGGTTGAACTGGTTGGTCTGCACTTCGTCCTTCGATATGAAGATCGATGTGGGGGTGCAAGCGAAGGAGAAACCAATGTGAGTTCCGATGTAGGTGTTGAGGTAGAACTCCTTCTCGTCATAGATCAGCTTCTCGACCCACCAGCGCCCGTGCAGGCCGTGAATCTCGAACGTCAACTGCGGACCCTCGCCGACCAGGTTCAGAGCAAATCCGGAGTCCTCGCTGTCATTGAGACGCGCCACAGTGGCTGAGGTGAAGTTCAGCACCATGGGAGACGCCTGAGGAGCCTCGAAGCTGATGGTGCTGTAGGAAATAATGTACGTCTCGTTGTCGCGGAAGAAGACGAAGGGTTCGTCCGTTGCCTCGTCCTGCTTGTTCGTGGTCTCTCTCTTGATCCTGCGGGCGGTGATGCTCTCCTCGGCCACATCATTGTGTTGGGCTGTGTAGACGAAGACGGCGTTATTCTCGCCCGTGGCCTCGATCTCCTTCACCGCTTGAGCTATCTCGGCATCCTGGGTATTGAAGTCTCCCGGAGTGAGGGTGACAAAAGTGATCTTTCCAGCCTGTGGAGTCAACTTGTGACCCGCATTCACCCACTCTGTCTTCCGGTCGTCGCCAACAGTGGCCAAGAGTCCAATGGGATTTTCCACATTGGCGAAGTATGTCTTCTGCTGCACATTCTCGAGATACGGGAAGCAATTCTTCTCGCCACACTCATTCAAGGCCTCGGGGCTGAGTTTGTCTCCAACGAAAACCACCGTGTACTGGGAGCTCACGATATTATCAGTCAGGATGTTGCCACTGGCCAGGGAGTTGATGGCTGGAGGGCTCAAGGTTTTCCTGGGAAACGACGAGAGGCCATGAAAAGTGAAAAGATAAAGTGGGAAAAAACGAGGACTCACCCTTGAGTGCTGCCCCAGAGGAGTAGAGGCACTCCTTCGAAGCCGAACGCCACATTGGCGCAAAACACCAGGAGAAGGCACTTCACCAGAGTCCTCATTGCAGCTGCTGCTCAGGAAAATCACGAGAAATTGAGGAAATCTGAAGAGAAACTGAGATGGATCCCGTGACTTCGACTTCGCGTGTCATATGATCTTGCGATGTTTTTCGAAGCCGAAAGGGGTTGCCATGTGCCGGATTTGGCTGCCATGATTCGGAGTTTTTTGCAGTGATTTTCGCATTTGTTTGTCGAGTTTTTCAAGGAGAGTTTTATTGCAATTACCGGAGTTTTCGAGTGTTACTTGTTCATCAGAGTGCGGAAGAAGTCTTGGTACACCTGTGCAAAGTGATCAAGTGAGTGAATTGCGCGTAGAGGATGTCATACGACGGCCAGAAGACGCCCTCATGTCCACCACCGCCGCCATGGCAGCGTAATTCCATCAACCAAGCCGGTCAGCAAATTTCCAACCTGCAGACTCACTTGGGCTTGGCGAATCAGGCGCTGGTGACTTATGCACAGAACCAGCCGGTGTACAACACCAATATAGCAATGGCGCAGCAGCAGGGAGGACAGCAGCAACAAAACCTCTCCCTGATCTCACAGATTAGCGGCTCTCTCGCGAGTCAGCTGCCGACCAACCAGATCTTCACGCAGTCCGTGAGTTATCCCACGTCCAGAACGCTTAATCCCATCGCTTTCAGTCAGCAGCCCGCGGGCACACAGCACAGCCAGCAAACGCTGCCTTTGGGACAGACGCCGGCTTCCTTGGCCAAGTCTCATGGCGTGTTCAACGGCATCGGAGTGGTGACGAAGATGCAGGGCGACATTGGGTTTATCGACAAGGAGGTGTTCTTCAACAAGAACGTCTGCGCGAAGGGATGCTTCCCCAAAGTGGGCGATCGAGTGCTCGTGGAGGTGACATACAACCAGAAGATGCCCTTCAAGTGGAACGCCACTCGAGTGCAAGTGGTCTCGACCACCGGAAGCTCCTCGATGCAATCCCAGAATAGATCAATGATGTCCATAACCCACAAATCTTCATCGTACAGCTCTGGCTCGCCGTCAGAGAACGGATCTAATTATAGCAGGAATATGAGTCGCAGTCGACGTGCGACACCCTCGCCGCCACGCATCTCCGATCGACACAGCACCAGCTCGCGAGATCCGCGTCTCCGCGAGTCTGACACACGACACGAGGTGAGTGTGTGGAATCCAGATTGTTGACGGTGGTTCTTATATGTCACGCTTCGTTCCAGGAGGACGAGAAGAGGCGTCGTCGTCACTCTCGCGAAAAGGAGAGATACCGCGAGAGGAGGGACTCCACGCCGGAGAGGCGCGAAAGGAGTCCTCCCAGGAGGTCGTCACCGCCCAGAAAGAAGCGCACTCGCGTCATTCCGCGCTACATGGTGCAAGTGCCGCGAGTCTGTCTCACTGTCAAGGAGGCAGACGTTCTGGCGCTGAAGAGAAGATACAACAACCTCTATATTCCATCGGACTTCTTCTACACGAATGTTAAGTGGTCTGACGCATTTCCACCCAATGCGCCCTTCTCCATTCACAAGCCGTGCTCTTTTCACATCATGAACAAAGATGTGGAGCCCGTGGTGTGCGGGGAATTGCCAGCAGAACCGGCGGATGTGGACTATCTCTTCTCGGCAAAGGTAAGATTTGCTGTCTTGTCTCACGAATACGAATCGCTGTACTCACTGCTGCTCTCTTCTCCAGGTCATGCTAATGGGATGTCCTCCGATTGACGAAATGTACAGCAAATGCATCACAATGGCGGAGGATAAGGAGAAGGATGATGATCGTGATGTTGTGCATCCGTCGAGACTCATCAATTTCTTGGTTGGCGTGCGCGGAAAGAATGAAGCAATGGCAATTGGCGGTCCCTGGAGTCCTTCCATGGATGGAGAGAGTCCCCAGTCGGATGTGTCCGTTCTCATTCGCACTGCCATTCGCAATTGCAAGAGCTTGACCGGCATTGACTTGTCCAACTGCACCCAATGGTGAGTTCTTCTTTGTGAGCATTCCTCTCTAGAAACTACCTAATTTTGCGCAACACCTATAGCTCTTCCATTCCAAAAATGCTTTTGGTTTGATAAAGGAATTTATCGAGTGTTTTTTTATATGAGGTAGAGACTTTTAGAGAGTATAGAAAAGAGAATGAGAAAGGTGAGTAAGAGCAATGAGGAACAATATTCATCGAGTATTTGGAGTGTTTATCTATGTCTTAGAATATAATGGATTAATTGTTGAATTTATAGTGTAAATTGCATATACATTTTGGGTAATTTTAGGTGCCATATAATATTATACTTTAGAAGTCTATTAACCCTCTTTCACTTGAAATAACGCGTATCAGAGATGTGATACAATTGTTGAATGTGTGGATGGACGTACGTTTGATGTGACCGCGCGAATGAGCATGTGAGTGAGTGTTTAGCTCACAATGAAAATGCCAACAGTTGATTGTTCGCTGTTTTTTTCACATAATATTCTCCATGTGTCATACACAGGTACCGTTTCGTGGAGCTATACTATCGACGTGGCGAGGTTGTGCAGAAAGGACGCATTGTTCCGCCACGAATTGAAACGGTCGTCATTTTTCTGCCAGATGTCCGATCGTGTATTCCGACGCGTCTCGAGTGGGACGCCCTTCATGGGAAATATAGGCACACCTTGGATCGTATCCTGCTGCAGGAGGACGATTTGCCGTCCGATGGTGAATCCTTGGCTACTTCGGGTGTTGATGCAGGGGTTGTTGTTCCTAAGGCGGAGTCTCCTGATGATGATGCCGCGAAGGAGCGCGCAGAGAGTGCGGATGCGGTGAAGGAGGAGAAGAGTGCTGCCGAAGAGTCGTCGAACGAGAAGGCCACCGAAGCCGCCGCCCAAGTGCCAGCAGCCAGTGAGAAGCAGCCGGAGGAGCAGACTGTGGCGGACGATGGTGCAGTAGCAACAGAAAAGGCACAGCAAATTCTCCATATTCTATCTAATAAGTTTTCTACCACATTACTTCGTGTTACGTTGATAAATTCACAAATCATTTATCATCATTCACCCACGAACTCTTGTTGATCAACGGATAAATTCTTCCAAAGAGGGTTTATCATGGGTCAAAATTAAGTAATAACTTGATAGTTAGTATGAAAATCTTAGACAAGTGTGCTTGAATGCGTGAAGATGATGGTGATCCAACTGCACCCTGAATGTCTGCCGGATTGTCCTTTGCGTGAATGGCCAAGTCCTAATTTATCTCTTAGGCAATGATTTATTAATTTTTTTTTCTATTTTAAATATCTCACCATTCTCTAATCATTTGATTTTATGTGCGATTATAATTTTCTTTACGAGACAATCAGGCGCGGATTTAGCTGTATTGGATCGTTTTGTAATCTTCCTTGTTCTCCAGATTTCGATAATATTATTTATCACGCTTCTAATGTGCACTCTTTGCTCTCTAGGATGAAACTGCTGAGGCTGATGTAGTGCCTGAACAAGAACCCACGCATCACTCCAATCTGGATCCGAAGACCATGAAGATTCAGGAGTTGAGAGATGAATTGTCTGCTAGAAATATTTCGGCTAAAGGTACGGAAGTAGAAGATAGTAGCTCAGAAGGGTTAGAATTAGAAGGTATGTAAAAGTGGCGGGGAAAGAAAATGATATGCTCTCTGTAAGATCAAACTTAACACTTGTATTTAGGAGTTTATAAATTCCCAGTTGGATTCAAAATATTTTAATTTATCTCATGTATTTCGTAGGTCTTAAATCTCAACTTGCGCTGCGCCTGGCAAAGGCTCTGAAGGTTGAGATGGAAACAGAGGCGAATGAGGCCGAAAAAGTGGCGGTGTCTGAGGGAAAAGAGGTAACCGAAGAATCCGAAGTAGTTGAAGCACTGAAGGAGAATGAAGAACCAATGGAGGTGGAGAAGACCAAGGAATCGGAACAGGTATTGGGAGCTGAGGAACAAGCGGAAGATGTAGAAAATGCTGAGAAGGTAGAGAATTCCAAAAACGCGGAGCAACCTGAGGGTGAAGATGCTGTGCAAAGTGAGAAGGTGACGAATTCTGAAGAAAAGATGGAAACTGAGGAATCCGAGCAGGCTGGAGGAGTTCAAACACAAACTGAGAAGAAGGGGGAGATCGCTAAGAAGAGAGAATGCTCGCAAGAGGCCGAAGATACATTGTTCAATGAGAGTGACATGGCAGATATGGTAGTGATTGATGAGGTGGGAGGTTCAAAGGCGAATGAAAAGCCTCCAGAGGAGAAGCCTAAGAAGGTGGAGAAGAAACCACTGGACGAACGTGAGAAGCAAGCTCTGGAGAAAAAGTACACGCTTCCCGAATCACCGCAGATCATTGTACATCCCTCGAAGCAGGCAAAGGGTGGGAAATTCGATTGTACAATAATGTCTCTGTCTGTGCTGTTGGACTATCGTCCGGAGGACACGAAGGAGCACACATTTGAAGTTTCCCTCTTTGCGGAGTTGTTCAACGAGATGATGATGCGAGACTTTGGCTTCAACATCTACAAGGCTCTCAATTTGGTGCCGGAGAAGAACAAGGATGCGGATGTGAAGAAGGATGATAAGAAGATCGACACCGTGACAATTGAGGACAGTCCGGCAAAGGAGAGTGCCAAGGAGTCGTCCAAGAAGTCGTCTGACGACAAGGAGGCTAAAGAGAAGGACAAGGACGATGATGAGTCCAAGAACAAGAAGTCTGATCGTGATAAATCCGAGCGCTCTAAACACTACGATGATTCGGATGATGACAGTGTGTCCGTGAAGTCTGGCGAGAAGAGGAAGCGTGAGAAGGATCGCCAGAAATTCTACACTGCCTCTCCTGACTTGTTGCTCTCTTTTGTGTACTTTGACCAGAGCCACTGTGGTTACATTTATGAGAAGGACGTTGAAGATCTCTTTCACACATTGGGATTGGATCTCTCGCGCGCGCAGATCCGAAAGCTTGTGGGAAAAACTATTTCCCGAGATTCCCTCCAATATAGGTAATATGATTTTGAATGTGAGATCATTGACAGGGAATTATAAAAATGTTTATGCCTTCCAGGAAACTCACGGATCAGGTGAAGGAGGAAAAGTCGGAGACGACAGAAGAAGTGGTGAAGCAGGAGAATTTGGAGGATACACTGACTGACGATGTTATTAAGGGAAACAAGATGTACTTGCCGGTGTTCAGAGATGTTCTCAAGTCTCTCAACTCAACCGACGAGCCGCCGCTCAAGAGAGTGAAGACAGAAGCTGCAGAGGAAGTTACTGTGGGACAGGAATCAAGTGGTAAATCTTCATTCTTTACTCACAAGCATATTTCCTGACGGGTTTCTTTCCTTTTTTAGGGTTTGTCATGCACAATGGTGGGATTGTTGATGTGGAGAAAATGCTGGGACAAATGTCACGCTCGGAGAAGGCGCTTGAGGACACTGAGAAGCTCCTGGTTGACATGAGGAAGCAGATTGCCGAACTGCAGGCATCGAATTCCAAGGCGAATAACAAGATAAAGGATCTGTCGTCTGACCTTCGCAGCGTGAATCGCAAATTGACCGACACGGAGCAGATTCTGAACAGTACGCAGAAGAGGTGCAATGATTACTACGCAATCTTGTCCACGGTCAATGAGAAGGTGTCGCCGGTGTTTGCCAAGTCTGAAAGATCCGAAAAATCTCACAGGAGCGACTCGTGCGTATTCTTCGCCTTATCTTCTGTATTTGCCTTTGATTCTATAGTGGTGCATTTTGCAGGCGATCCCGCGAACCGAGGGAACGAGACCGAGAGTCGAAGGAGTCGTCCAAGTCAGAGACAACGAAGAAGGACGAGTAATCTCAGTTATTGTATTAGCTTGTTCTTCTGGAACCACTTTGCGCAGTAACATTATTGAATTGAATATAGTATGAGCGAACTAATGAACAGTACAGGCAATGTAATCATTTTATGAGATATTGAAATCATAATAAAAAAAAAATCTTGTGTGACCTATTTTCACCTGTTTCGCAATGATGGCCGGTGAAGTAGTGAATTTGAGAAACATTCAATGATTTATTTAATAGTTATACGGATCTTCATGGGGACTTTTCATCGCCTATCGTGCCAAAAGGGCTGAATTCATCTATCCTCAGTATTTCTTGATTGCCTTCTTAATAAGCGCTAGTCTCTGCTTGTGCGCCTCCGTCACCGTTGCCCTCTTGTACGGCCTCAGCTCGTCCGTGCCGAAGCCTGGAATCCACATGTTCCAGTTGCGCTCTGCAAACAGACAATGGCAGTTACTGTGCAGCCGACGGAGGAGTTTGGCTGACGCGACTCACCCAAATGCAACTGGACGTCCTTCACCTCCACTTTGGAGACCTTTCTGTGCTTGGCCAGGAGACACGCGGCAGTGACTGTGTTCTCGACGAAATCGTCTGCTATCTGCAAGAGGAGCTCCTCCACCTCCTCGTCCAGCTGCTCGGTGGGATCGATCTCTCTCACGAGCTCCTGCAGTCGGGGCTTCGTGAGGATCTGGAAGCGCGGGTAGATGAGCTCGTGGCGCGCACTCCCGGATAAACTCACCCTTACCTGTCCAGTGGCATTGTCGGAGCCAGAGCTGGCTTTGGTGCTGGACTGTGTGGGCGCTGCGCTCGCCGTCGAGCTGACGCCCATGGGGCTGTTTTGCGATGGAGACGCCATCTGAGCGTTTCCGGACAACTCCGCAGGCGGCTGGATGTGATTCTCAAGCGAGCTACTGCGTGAGAGCATACGGTGCTGAGAATCATGGTGACCGTCATACAAGGACATGCTATCTTGTTATCCAAAGTACCATACGAATTCACAGAGTGAAAATATTACAGAAAATCTACAAGAATGCCCCCAAAGAAATCCCCCAAAGAGAGGTCTCTTCCCAAACACCTTTCAAAGAAAATTAATCATTGTTATTTATGCAGCTATAGCAGATACTTCATTCAATATTCTCAATTATAGAGCTTCTAAGTACACTACAGCAGCGATACGAGTGCTTTCTCTTACCTTTTTCACGGGATTTCCTAGAAAAAATTGGAAAAATTGCACGAACGCCTTCACTTTCAGCTTTTTATTTACACTTTTGTAGTTGTCATCTTGCGTAGTTCTATGTTTTCCTTTCGTATAGTTTTATGGCAAAGTGCCATAAATATAGAACATCGAGTAACTCAAATGTAACCGACTTTCAATGTTTTTCTTCTTTCACGTTTATTCCAGAAAAAAATTTATGAAAAATACATTTTAAGCTTAATATATAGCATTAAATCGCTAAATACTCTATTTGCACTACAAACCGTCCCAGTCCTTATGTTATTAGGCGAAAAAATATCTCATCAAAGTGTTGAATTGCAATCATTCGTAGATAAAATCCAATCCTGTTCCTTGGGTATGTTTCTCAATCCACTTATCGAACTTCTCCGATAAGCGAGAATCCATGTAGTTTTGCCAATCTCCAATTTTTCTGCACAGACGAAAATGCAATGAATCTCTAAATAAACTACTGTGAGCTCATTTCACACTTACCCCTTTCGGATGAATCTAATTTTCCGGTTGTCATTCTTATCAGCCGGCTGATCGGCATTGAGGATCGGCTCCAGATTCACTGCGGGATTGTTCTGCATCTTCTCGAACATCAAGTACGAGGCCATCTTCTCGACACTGTCCTGGGTCATCTTGTGAGCCACTCCCATGAATTCGGCACACTTCCAAATTGTCCCCGGCAAATCCAGCTTCATGTCCTCGTACTTGAGGAAGAGAATGTTGGGCTCGTTGCGTCGCTTCCAGAACTCCATCACGTGCTCCCAGACGGAGCCGATGGGCGTCCTGCTGGACAGGAAGTAGTCGCAGAACTCCTCGAAGGTGCCGTTCAGGCCGTGGATGAGCGTGCAGTAGTAGTAGTAGGACACGCACAGGTCCTTAGGATTGCGCGCGACGTAAATGATCTTGGGCTTCTTGGCCTCCAGCTGGCGAGGCAGCAATTGCCACGGCAAGTGCGTCTTGATGAAGCGCGGGCTCGGCAAGTTGTCCACGCAGTTCACGGAATTCCCAATGGACTTGCTATTTGGAGGGAAAATAAAGAAATGGCAATCCTCGATGAAATGGAATTCCAATCCATCACATCGTGCACAGTGATAAAGTATAATTATGAAAAGTGGCGTGATTGCATGCTGATCGCTTTATGTAAAGAAAAAATGTACATCGGATTGAGACATCTCGTATTACGAAATTATCATTAGTAAAGATCACTTTCTAATTATAAAAGAAGAAATTGCTGAGAGATGCAAGAGTGGGTAGACTAGTTTTTTCTCCATTGCGCATAATGGGTAATTTTGCAATTCTTGCGATGTGACTCAGATCTGACGATTATTCGCCACTATGAATAATGATTTCCTTAATCTACTGCACTCACTTGAGCCATTCCGTGTGATCCTCCGAGAAGATCGCCGACAATTCCAGCAGAGGAGCTCTCAGAGCCTGCATCCTCGCGGCGCCAGCGAAATCCATATTATTGCCAAGAAGCCACACCATTTCTTGCGCCCAAGTTGAACCTGAGAAAAAATTGGCATGAGTAGAAGAAAAAAGTTACAGCAATAAAACGCCGCTTTACTCAATTTATCAATCACACAATCATGATCAGGAAAATTAGTGCATTTATTGAATTTTCATGTTTCATAGTCTACTGATGCAAATAAAAGTTCTATCGCAAATGTATTAGCTTTATTGTGCTGTAAAAGCACGTTATCAAAAGTCTCCGTTTGGTTTTCTTTTTCTCAAATTCATGCCGTGAAAAAGCATTCGGAAATATTTTTCTATTTCTTCCCGATATTCATTGCTTCACTTGCAGAATAAAACATTGTTATTCACTTCAATTTTAGTACAAGGTTTATCCTATTTTAATGACCATGATTTTTATATGTAGCTCTCAAGTCTTTTTTAGCAATAAAAATAAAATGCTTTATGGATTAAATTCTAATCAACAGTTTATCTCCTGGCGAAGTAATTGCCCGCATTTTTCAATTTGCATCCCAACAACAACACTTTTAAATTGTAATTTTTCATTTCAATTTCTCTTAATTGTTCGGAGCACAATTTGCTAATTCAATTTTATACAATGTATTCACTCACAAACACTTCAACCACGAGTGATTTTCTCTGAAATGATAAACACACAAACAACGCGCGGCAAAAAGCGACTCTCAAATGGATTTTTTCAATTATTCACAACCTGTTCTCGGGTAGGAAATGAGGAAGATGTCATCTTCGCGCACAGAAAGGTCCAAAATGGACTCGCCAATCTCATCATACTTCTTCGGCAGGATCACTTTCCCCGGATTGACTTCGATGAAGCAGTTCTGGCGCTGAAACAGCTTGTCCAGGTTGAATCCAGCATCGTCACTCAGAGATCTGTACTCAAGACGCATCTTGGCTCGACTGGGAGATTAGGCTGCACTTTTCGATCCACCAAGGAGGAGTGTTTGATGAAAACTGATGTTGCTCAAAAGTTTGCAAGTGCATTGGATCATTGGCGGAGTGCAAGTGGTGAGAAATGCAAGAGATACTGGTGGTGGCGCTTGTCTTGCACTTTACGCAATCACCAAGTTTATCGAGAGAAAGTTGTTGGAATTCGTAAATTGTCTTTTGATAGACATTCTTGCAAGATTGCCTGACAAGAATGTTTAGTTTTCAGTTAGTTGATCAGTTGCGACTACGTTCCTCCCAATTATTATTTAAGATAATCCTCTGGCAGCTCTGCTAAAACAGTGTCAGCATGAGCAAATGGATCTCCAAATTTCTTCAAGTACTTGGCCACTTCCTTTTCCACAACGCCAGGCTCCTCATATTCCACAACGACGTCTTTAGCGTAGGGATCCATGAGGTTTCTAAGGTACTCGATATTATTGTCCTTCCTCCACTGCTCCAATTCCTTCAATCCGGCCGCACTGGGTCTTCGTTCCTTCTTCAGCCCTTCAATTCTTACCAACGTGACGCAGAAGAGAAGAATGAACAGCAAAAATGCTCTCATTTTCACCGGATATCGATGCAGTGTGACAGTCAGATAAGAAATGAACAAAATTGAAGAACAACATTTGTCTTAAATGGAATCCTTTATTGGCTCTTGAAATCTATTACGTGAAAACTCGTTCTATTGGTATAGTTTGTATTTGATGCAAAAAATAACCGCATATACGTGTCCAAGTCGTTAAGTGGAAAAGCAAATCTTTTATTGCTCTGTTTTGCATCACGAATTTCAAGTAACTATTATCATAAGTCTTAATTACTCTTTGTTGAGTTGGAGCTCGAAAAAATTTCCATTTTAAGAATAATTTTTACACACTTTATCGTCTAGCCGGTTTTATTGCATCTGCACACCTTTGCACAATATTTAGATAAAATGTTCCATCATGAAACTAAATCGCCTTTTTGACTTTCTTTTGACCCGCGCACAGCATTTGTAAATCTGAATATCTATGTATTCAATCTATCATCTTTTCAGCTCTGTTGTGCAATTATTTGTTATGAATTTCGCATTATGATTGCAGTGCAAACCGCATAAGTTATGTGATAATTCCTCGAGGCTTCTTTATTGATTACAACCTGTGTCTTTGCCTTGTTACAACAAAATTTACCACCCCACTCTCAATGCGGCTGCCTTCTTTCACTCCAAATGAGCAATCTTGCACGATGCTCTTTGTCTGAGAATGTCTGAGCTATTTCCTATGTATGAAATATTGTTTTATGTGGTATCGTGCAATGGTGGATAAAAGAAAACTCGTTTTATTTCACCAACCTCTGGGTCATTGAATTATCGGAACAATGTCAAGGCTGAAGAACTGAAAAATATACCAATACATGCCTATGAATTTACCTGGAGAGTGGCTGAGATGGCATCGGATCTCTTAAGTGGGTCAAGAACTGGAAGAAGGTGAATCGCTGGGCATGTAAACTGGATTTTGGGGCAAGAATGGAAGGTGTTTTGGGATATCGTGCTGCATATATTCTCGCAGGAACCGTTCGATGTGAATGGAGGTCTCTGTGGGGAGAGATTGAGATCTGGGTCTTTATTGGAATTTATTGATTCTGCGGCCAGAATGGCCTCTCCTTAAATTTCACATTAGGCGATCGCGCCCGTATTTGGCCACGGCATTCGGACACTCACATTGTGCGATGTTCGTGCAAGAGCAAAATCATTGAGGAAGAACTGCTGGCAAGAAGTAGGTGCTGAAGAAAACTGACTTCGTGAATACATCGCGCCAACCGGAATGAACAGTTATGCTTCTTATGTGCAACTCGGCTTCTTCTTCTCGCCACTCATTTGGAGTGCCTCAGTTCGGCTCAACAAGTGGCACCTCGCGGTCAGACCAGATGCTTCAGTGAATTTGGCCTGGTGAATTTCTCTGCAGTTTTCCGCTCAAGTGCTTCAACAGAAATGGTGATGTATCGTGTAGTGTTTCTTGTGGCACTTCTCGCTCCCGGATTTACCGTCATCCGGGCGCACAGCACCCAGAGACCCGCCGGTGATGAGCCGAGTCCATTCTTGGACATGGCATCGGCCTTTCTCACGGAAGCCCTCGCGAATCAGGGCGGGGGAAACGGCGGAATCGGTGGCATTGCCTCCGTTATTGGGAGTTTAATGCAGAGCGACAGCTCATCTGGGAAATCTGGGGACAATGGAGCCGGTGCCATTCTAGCGGGAATTGGATCTCTTCTGGCCAACTCGGCGGGAGGCTCGCGACAGGGTGGCGGAGGAGGCTTTGATCCTGCCCTCATTGGGAACATCATTGAGATGTTCTCCTCCAGCAGTGGAGACAATTCGAGGCAGAAAAAGCAGACTCCTAATCAGCAGGAACCCTCCGGTTGGGATACAGTGCTCAACATTGCATCAGCCTTCCTGGGAAATCAGGGTCAGCAACAGGCCAGGAGTAGTGACTCGACTGGAGACAACTTAATGAGTCTTCTGCCGATGGTTTTGCAAACCATAAATTCCTTTTCTGGACCGGAAGGCCTGAAAACCCAGGAGAAGCACAAGGATCATGCTCTCTTGCCGCCTTTCCTGGAGAACATCCACGTGATGTGGGATCATTTCTCCCAATCGGAGTTGGCTCAGATCATCTGGACCAAGTCAGGCATCAGCCAAGTCTTTAAGGTCAGGCTCGAGTGCAATCATTTACGCTCCTGAGCAGAATCTCTAACTATAATTCAATGTGCAGGGCTTCACCGGGCGCGATGGGAAGTTGGACTACAACAAACTGTTCAAGTCCTTGGAAAATCAATCTTTCAGGCGCCGATGGATTAAGACGGCCACAGTCTACTTAGCCGACTGGGCCAACTACATCGCCGATCCGGAAGTGTACCAGAGGTAAGGCGCGTTCTCGCGAAACCACTCACTCAGCCAAAGTGGGCAAAGCCGACGCTTTTCTGCTGTGATAGGCAAATTCCGCCATCCGCCGAATTCGCAACATATCGAGTCAATCAAGCCAAGTTGGTGAATCGAGAGAAAGATTACCGTAATATATTTATTTATGCTAAATCTCGCTATAAATTAGCCGTTTGTATAACTGTTAATCTTCGTTGTGTTTGCTTGGCAACGTGCGTGTGTTTTCCCGGGAGATCATTTTAATACACGTTTCGCGAGATGATATTTGCGTGGCCCGAAAAATATAGGTCATCGTGCTAATTTGGTAGGTAAAAGCGAGAAAATCCACGGGAGAAATTGGCGATGTGAAAATTTCACTCATCGCAATTTCTTTCCATTGTTACTGCAACAAATGTAAACTTGAACATGCCAGCAATGCTCTTTACTGTGATGTTCCTTCTCATGAACAGCTTATATTAGTTTTATTGGTTTTCTTGTAAAATGAAAACCGTTTGAGCTGAAGAAGGAAATGTTTATGTTGCCATTCAGATCACCATCTATACTATCTATGCTGAACATCTGATAATATTTTTATTTACGTTGGCAAAGATGACTGTTGATTAGCGTTTCTAATATTATTTCTCACTTGCGGCAAGTGAGAAATTCTCCATGAAGTCAGCAACCTTATGAAAATATTTTATGATGATTGCTCGATTTTTTAGATCACTGATTCCGAAATTAAAATGCTTTTCTACACTTCTTAATTGGATTTTGAAATAAAAAGTTATTTTATACACACTTTAAATTTTAGAGCCTGACTATTACAATCTTGTAAGTTTACGAACACTAATTAATGTTGGGCTCTTTCTGCAACGCATTAATTAAGAGTGGTTTTTATGCCAAAGCGAAGAGAGACCTAGATTTGTTTTTACTTTATTTTTACATTTGCATTCAAGGTCAATTGCACATTTCCTCCTTGATTTCAGATATTTCCACACGGCGCAGTTGATGGCGAATGGTTTCTTGAAGAGCCAGAACTTGCCATTGATCGACCCGAGCAGGGCCAGTGAGACACTTGCTCAGCTTATTGATGCCATCGCCAAGAAACACCTCAGCGTGAAAATATCGTCGAAGACATACGTGAAGCCAGCGATGAATTACGTGAAAGAGCTGCTGAAATTGGGTCAAGCGCGAGGTCTTCTCCAGAAATTCAACGCCACGGAAATTAGTGACAAACTCACAGACACCGTTAATCTCGAAGTATGGAATCCATTCTTGTGCTGGTGCTGAATGCTAAAATCACGACAATTAACACCTTTTCTTTCTCGCTCTCTCTGCTCGAACAGATTATTGAACCTGTATTGAAGGTGTATCGCTCGTATCGGTACATCTTGGGCGCCCCTCAATGTGATAAGTTCGTCATGTGCGACATAAATTCACACGATCCCAGCGAGAATTTCGGTCTGGCCGGCTTCAAGGCGGGCATCACGAAGTTCGGGAGCTTGGCGGCGTCGTGGGTGTTGAGCGGTGAGACGAAGACACCCTTCTGGACGCTCTTCAGCATAGTGTCCGACCCAGGAAACTGCCAGGTAGACACACCATCGCCCTTATCCAGTCGAATTCTCTCGTGCTGGGCCAATTACTGACTCATTGCTAACGTTTCAGGTACGCTTCCCGGTGGATTGTTCAGGCTTCCACGAAGGTGAGGCTCGAGTAACCACGGAATATGTTCATAATGAGCTGTAATGAGTGACACGCACCGATTCAATAGACCTTTAGAATAACGTGTGAGCATTTATGTCGATTCGATAGACGAGACCTTCCGATGCAAGAAGAAAGAGCATGAATCAGATGAGTAGGATTACAAAATGACCTTTATTGACCTTATAAGTAATATTGCAATAGAATTATATTAAGATATTTATCTATCAAGTATACATGATAGTTGTGTGATAAGTCCTTTTAACTGATATTTGTATATCTATTTTCCTAGCTTGAAAACATTCACGATGAAATCTATTGCAAATGTTTGAATGAAATGAAAAACAATTTCGTCAAATTGCATTTTGACTGTATAACTTTAAATTGCAACACGAGCGAGATCCTCTTCTGTGGAGGCAAAGGGGCGCGAATATGCAAGAAAACAAAGAGCGGTAGGCAATAAACGAGTGTAAAGATGTGAACCTTGTAAATTATTTATTCTTGATGGTCTGACATATCCAATCCATGCCCTCCTGAATCCCGGTGCCCTGGAGTCCCGAACAGCCCTGAATCTGCCACGATCGGCCCTTCAGATTCACGAGCCCCATCGATTCTGCAATCTCTGCTGTCTTGAGGCTACTCGAGACATCCTGTTTATTTGCAAATACTAGCAGAGGAACTCCTTTCAGCTTCTCATCAGCCAGCAATTCTGATAATTCTTCCGCTGTCTCCTTCAATCTCTTTCGATCTGTGCAATCTACCACGTAAATCTGGAAAGACAGTCGTTATATTATTCCGATGGTATGAAACTTGTGTTTATGGTTGAAATTATAGGATAACATAGATTCTATGTGCATCGAATGACAAAGCGAGCCGCAAAACGTGTGTTTACATGCGGTGTTTATAATTTCTTGATTTTGAGAAAAAATATCATTTGATTTGAAGCAGAGTGAAGTAACTTTTGTACTCAAAGGTGTGTTCTTAATTTCAATATCATCTCTTAACAAGTACCAGTAAGTAGAAGAGGTATTTTCCAAGAGTTTATCATGTTTTTTTTTCGCACACGTAATCTGAGGGCCGATTATGCACCATATGTACGTTCATGAGGACCGATCTACATGAACAATTCATGTAGTTGATATCCTCTCAATTCTCAATTCGCCGCCGCAGAAAATCATTCACATGAAGATAGATAGATGTAGATTACTTCCACATCGATATTCATTTGGGCCCTCTGCATTGTCACTTTTCGCGCCAAAATACAATTATTAATGGTAGAGTTACTCTAAAAATTTCCAATCAATAAATTATATGTAATTCATGATAATTATGAGCTAATTGTATTTAAATTTAGTCACTTAAAAAGCTTTGAAATACAAAAAAAATACCCTCAGTGGAAAATGTTTCAAAGGTTACAAGAAGGGTTTTCAATTTATCGCAACTATCTGGCTAATTGCCTTGATGATCCTTGATTATTTATTACAGAGTTTGATTGCACTGTGCAGAAATAACCTCGGCAAAAATGTGAAGCTGATGCAATTTTAAGTACTATTGATTTTACTACGTTTATGCAAATTGGTATCGGGTTTAAAGGAATCCACACATCACTAATTACTCACTAGAACATCCGTGTTCTCGAAGTAATTTTTCCAATAGGGACGAATCTTGCTCTGCCCTCCAATATCCCACACATTCAGTTTAAATCCTTCAGCCGCCACGGTCTTTATGTTGAATCCTGCGGTTGGGGTTATGTGGTTCACCTGTTCGTTAGCCAATCTCTTGAGGAGTGTGGTCTTTCCAGCATTGTCCAGGCCCAGGAGTAGAATCCTCAGCTCCTTGTCTGGGGAAGATCGTAGCTTGCGAAGAAGGGAAAGGAGTCCCTATGTGGCGACAATGAGCATAATTTTATCTCGTTTCACAATATTATGCGTGGAAGAATATGTATGTTGCTATCGTTACCATGGAGAGAAAAATAAACTTTCCGTCGAATTAGAGAAATGACTATGCAAAACCGGGTTTGTGTTTAGGAAATTTCCCAATAAAATATGTATTAAAGTGCTTCCGTATGGAAAATTACCATTTGGCTATCCTCTGAATGACTGAAGAGACACACTAAATCACAAGAAGTGGTATTGCACGAGAAAGTAATCAAGCGCTTTGTGTTGTATCGCGCCAACAGTATCACTCACACTGCTCTTGACGGACGACTAAGGACTGCCCGAGAGGAACCGATGGGGAAGCTTTCGAATGTCCTTTTCGTTGGCCACAACGGCTTCAAACAATTTCGTGACGACACGAGATTGCCATCATTGGATTTTGCCGGTGAGAACAGCATGTCCTGGAAAATGAATGATGTGCGCTATAATTTATTAAAAATGCCTTTCAGAAATCGATATTGAGCCTCATAGTGATTACTTCGAAGGCAAGTCCATCAGGGCAGTCGCCGCCCTAGCGTTCAGCGCTCTTGCGGCCGGAAAGAAGGCGGTCTTTAGAGGTTTCATTGGAGGAGAGGAAAGGAGTCTGTGCCATGAGTTCTCTGAAGAAATTCGCGATTTATCCTGCAATACAAAACATTGTCTTGTATTGCTGAGAAATGGGCAACTCTATCAGTTTTCTGTGGAGAAGAATCAAATGATTATGCTGAATTTCATCTCCACCGAGGACAGCTCTGAACAGAAGAACCAAATCACGCATGTTGCTTGCGGAGAGACGAAAAACATTGCAATTACCAATCAAAATGCTGTCTACGATATTCCTTCCAAGATTCACAAATTCGAGAAGCACGTGAAGATTCAAAAGATCTCTTGCGGTCATGAGCACGCACTCCTTCTCACAAAGAACGGAGATGTTTACTCTTGGGGAAATGGATTGTAAGTAAGACATAAGATTCTCTCTTTACGATATTGCTTAGGAGTTCTTTTTTTCATCTCAGGCGAGGGCAATTGGGACATGGCAGCTTGGAAAATCACACGAAACCTGAACTGATTGAGGCACTGAGTGGAATCAAAATCCTGGACATTAGCGCTGGAGGATGGCACAGCGCTGCAGTCTCAGCTTTTGGAGATCTCTACACTTGGGGATGGAATGTCAGTGGACAACTGGGAAAACCCGTGACAAATCCTTCGTCTTCTGTCGCAGACTTCACCCCGATCGTGTATTGCACTCCGGAAGTAATAGATCTTCCTCAGGATGGCGAAGATAGTGACTTGGACTCACAACTGAAGGTTTCTTCCGTTGCGTGTGGCAATCAACACACTTTTATCAAGACTGAATGTGGCAAAATTCTTTCAACGGGACATAACAAGTTCGGACAATTGGGACTTAAGGAATGTGGGAAAAATGATTATGTAGATAAGTTTTCAATAGTCAGGGAAAATGCAGTCGAATGTTCTGTATCTTGTTGCATGTACTGTACATTCTTTATGTTGTCTCGGCTATAAGTTGTGTACTAAAAAACTTAGCCGCAGCTTCTCTGATGAAGATGGCGCTTGTATAAATGTGTTTAAACTTATATGCTGAATAAAAGATCCAACTGTAGTGGAATCACTGACCGATGAAAGGGAAATAACTTAATTTGACCACAAATGTCCTCTGCATTAATTCAATTCGTGGTCATTTCACCTTATGAGCGGATATCGCTGTGCGTGATGCCAAGCACGAATTCTCTACGCGTCAATGCTTCAGGAGTGAACATTGGTAATTGGAATCGTCGAGCTCACACGGAACATAACACCACCTAGTGACAAATAGCGGTTGGTTAGAATTGCTTGGATTTGCATATAAAATATGGATTTATTGGAAATTAGATGAAAAATCGATGGAGAAATAGAGAAAAAGTGTGAATGAGAGCGCGCTTGTGAATGGGCTGCCAACGTTACATGAACAGCTATGAATAATGTATGAATTATCACAAGTTTTAGTGAGTTTAGTTCACTATATTGCTGATATTGTAACAATTTTGTCTTATAGCGTTACATGAATGGAATTTAAATTTGCTGGATTTTGCATATTTTTGCAGAGCGTACGACCTCAAGGAAAAATGAAAAATTGCTGTGCGCCGAGAGGCATATTATTCGTACATATTCAAGTGCACAAAAAAGAGGTGAAATAACGCATATATGTGATATACATACAAGTAAACAGTAATTTTCGATACATATACAGTGCACTTTAATTTATTTAAATTACACGTTTCTGGATAAATTTTACATGCTTGTCGTCTTCCGTCTGTAGATGGAAATAGCCAGTAGGAAAAAAGAGGCACTGGACGCATTTCAGTTTTCCATGATAGCCTCAGCTCGTCAAGTCTTGATGCAGGTTAGTGCTTTGCGGCAGCGTCGTAAAAAAATGTGAAATTCCGACGAATTCAGGAGGTCGCACGAGAAAACACGCAGATGATCATCATGTAGATCAATCTCAATGAATTATCGCAACACCTCGAGAGGAAATTGCATAGCTTATGCTTGGCGTGAAATTAAATTTGCGTGGTATCCTGTTCCGCTGACACACGTAATTGATGAAAATATGATTTTTTCCATGTTTCGAATTATTAAATAATATAATTCACCCTTTTGGTGAGAGCTGAAAAGCACAGCAAGGCACTCATTTGGATTCGTATGTAAAGTGATCTGATGGAAAATGCAGTGAGAAGAACTGAAAAGACGTGTTAATATTTTCAATTTCATTTTATTTGATACAGTATAATAAATACTGGTTATTCCAAATTCACATTATAAATATATTACAATATGTTTTTTTTGTTTTAATGTTTAATAATTTATTTACCTTATAAGATTTGTTTTCATATTTTTTATTTTCTATCATTTCTTTCTCATATCAAGACATTGTATTACATGTTTTTTTTTGTTTATGTAATTTTATTCTATTTTACTTTATTTTCTTCCTATGATTTTTTACATTAGCTGTTTTTTTTTGGAAGAAACCATTCGTCAAACGTTTATAACAATCCCACAAAGCAAATGCTATATTTTATAGTTTTCATTTCGAGTGTCACTTTAGTTGTTTTCCTTCCTTCCGTTTTTACGTTCTCTCGTAATTTCTTTCATTTCAAAAGTACACAAAGGAAAAAACATATTCAAAATATCGGCCATTTTTCATTTATCAAACAATTTCACTATTTATATAATATATTACAATTTTTCTTTTAGCAATTACATAAATACTTTGATTTCATTTCTTTTTTTCCTTTACTTTCATTTCAATATTTTTTTTCTAGTGAAAGTTTTGAGTACAAAAATAGGGGTAATTTTACAATAATTTCATTACACGTGTTTCCATCTTTCCATTTATCAAACAGGTCATTTTATTTTTTGAGTTGAAAAGAAAAATATGCTTCATAGTTGATATACTAACACATTTCGGATAAAATAATGTGATAATACGAAGTAAAGCCAAATTCTTCAGTTACATACATCATAATCTCGTGACTACCACTAAATTTATTTACTTTTTTACTCCGAAGCATACCACAGACATTGAGTTCTTATATTCTTTTTCACTAGTAAGTTGTAAAGATGATTGGCCGATTTAAAGCAAGAAAGGTTTCCAATATAATGTTACAATGTTACAATAATAAAATCAGAGTACCGATTTCATGAAAAATTCAATTCTTCGCTTGTTCTCTTTTTCCGCTCTTTTCAATAGATAATTTTCTAATATTTACCGCCCATAATGCAATGTTTTATATTTCTTTTTAACACGTATGTGTGAAAAAATCACGTCAATTTCATTTTAATGTTGGTTCCTAAATATGTATATTTAAATATGTTGATTTTTTAAATAATTTTTTCCTTACAATATATCTAATAACAATCCACAATTTTTCCTTTTAATATTAAATATATGTGACACTTAAAGGCAAATATAGTCACCATATAGATATTTCTTATGTATACACTATTTATAATGATATTTCATGCAGATTCTCTTTCCCCCATAAAATCATCGTACTCAAAAGTTTATAACAAAATAATGTCTTTTCGTACCTAAATTAGGAAAACAAGTCTTTAATTTTATGGAATGGCCTTGGATTGAAAAGAAATGGAAATTTCATAATTGAAAGTACTTTCTTTTAGACATTGTCAATGATTCATTCTAACACTGCCTTCAAAATTTGTATGATTTTTCTTTTCTGTCGAAGATAAAATGGCCGCATAACATTAAGGAAATAAAAAGTGCCAAAAAGTGTTTCCTTTCCATTATGTCTTTTGGTCCCAACTATAGGTAATAAATTGTGTTATTTTCTACATAATAAGTTTCTCGTGTATCTTTATCATGTTCTTCTCATTTCTGTTGCCTTTGTGACATTAAAAAAAAATTACACAAAAAGGAAAAATTATTCCCTCTAAATTTTTTTTTTAAATATTCATCGTTTTTCGCGAATTCAAAATCACCCTCTTACTATTGAAATGTTGACGACTGTTTACAGAATGATTGACTTCTTCAACAATTGCATTATGTGAATAAATTGGTATTGAGTATTCTGAGTGTTGATGTTGGTTCACTGTTCAAAAATATGTACTGAAGAAACTTAAGAGCTTTTGAACTTTTTTCCAGACTCAAAATGCGGCTGGGAGCAATTCTAGTTTCAATTCAAATATGCTTCAACGATCCGGATGTTGGTCATTGTCCCGCACTCACTCTGAATTTGGAAACTCTTCGGATTGTTTGCTGTCTATTAGTTTGGTGGGCTTGTATTGTTATAAAACTATTGTTGAATGTTGTTTTTTTTATGTTACTTTTCAAGCATTTGTGTGAATTACTATTTCTTGTCATTTCTTAAATATTAGTAAAACAATTAGCTGGCGTGAAATTTTCAATGCAAAATGACAATTAAATTCTTAGATCCTTGTAATTATCATGTTTTGTTTGTGGCGCCTAAATGACATTTAAAAGTATATATATGTATTTCGCTTTTAGATCTGCAACTGTCACCTATTTATCTAACATTTCTTCCTTTCTTGTCAATAAAATATTACAGAGCTAATTTTATGAATTATTGTTTGGTTTGGTTGTTTCTCTTTATTTACTTTAACATGAGTGTGAAACATAATTGTATATGAGAATTCCTGCTTGAGGGATTTTGTGTGGGGGTGATTTTAAAATGGGAAAATCTGTTAAAATTCATTTAACCTGCTATTGTATATTAATTAATTTTAGTGTGTTCTGCAACATTTAGTAGTTATTCTGAGTGTGGGTGTGTATTTATTATGCTGAATTGCAATAAAATACCAAGACGATTGACTTCCTTTTCTGCATTCTGAGAAATTTTCTCGCTTTTCGCTGTGACACGAAAATTCCATCACTATCAGCTTGGACTTTTATTGCTTTGAATATTAGAGTACTATTTTAATTTTTATTACGGAAATCCAATTCAAAAAATTCCTGCTTTATTGTTGATCAATATAATTTCTTGTCTCGAGTGTAGATTTCCTAACAATAAACCAGCAATTTCCCTAATAGGGACTTTTTGTGTCTGTTTTATCAGCTATTGTATTAATTAATATGCAATTGATTAGAAATTTTGTGTGTGTATAAAAAAAAATGTAATATAAAAATTGCTAATGATTGAAAACTTAAAAAAGAACAACAATATACATACAGTTGATGTTTTATTATGTAAAAATGTGAAAAGTACAATGAAATATTTCGCATACAATAAACGCACTGTAATTTTCACAATTCATTTTATTCCTTCCACTGTATTAAAAAAAAGAAAACTCAAACGAAAAAGAAACACAACATAAAGTAAAATGTACTTTTATTAACTGATTTCTCATTTTAAATGTCTTTTCTCATTCTATATTCATCGCTCTTCATCTAAATATAAAAATTTGTCACCTGTATAAATATCCATAACATGCTTTCTCCATCATCATTCTTGTTACTTTTTCCTTTTTGTAATAATAAAATACATACATCATGTACATAATATGATTGCATGTATGTGTATAATATATGAAAACTCAATAGAGCCAATTACACTGTAATGCCTTCTTTTTACCTATCGATCTACAAAATTTCAATAATATAATTCTTTCTCGTATTCCTTTCACAATTTTAATCCTCTTTCTCTACTTAATATTTAAAAAAAATTAAGCAATAAAAGACAATAAAGTAGAATTTTTAATAATCTATTCTCTAATATTTTCTATATACATAATTTTTAAAAAATATTTCTCCTCAAAGAAAGTGATTCTTTTCCATTTCTTAATTTTTTTTATACATCATCGCAATGTCTTAGCCTAACCATTTAGGTATATGCATTATCATTAAATTACTTTATACTACAGGTAGTATCATTACTAAAAACTTATATTTTTACTCCTTTGTATCAATATACATTCAAGTATCATTTCATTCACTTCCGCTATGTATTCCTTTGCTCAATGCCAACAATAAAGAATGCAAATAGTTGTTTTTCTTTCTTAATTTCCAGCTACAAAAAGTTTAATAGAAAACATGTAATTTTATAATTATTTCTGATTATAAATTACCATAAAATTATACAGGTTCAGTTGCTTACTTTACACAATGACTCTCATTTTGATTTTCACCAAAACACAGTACATCGAAACATAGCATTTCCTAAGGATTGGAGGAAAAGTGTTCAATGTAGAGAAATGGAATGAATAGAATTGCAAAAAATTGATAGTGTATATTATGTATAAATAGTTCTTTTTCATCCGCAATAATAGAGATTTTGGACCACGGGTTCTTTTCAAAAGTGTTTTGATACGTTCAATCTTGGATAGAATTTAACTTGTATATGAAGTATCTTGTCATTCTGTTACTCTGATATCGCTAAATTAGACACATTTTATCAAGTGTTATACACCCTTAATATACGTTTATGTAGTTTGAAATTTAATTCTTTCACATTAAATTTCTCAATACATAAGATATTACATGTATCACATAGAGACATACGTTTATTTATAAAAATAGAAATACATTTTGGACAGTTATATATTCTTACAATTTTTGTTTACATCCAAATTTTTTTATATAATGTATTTAATGACGGTGGTCACATAGATTTTTCACACTCAAAGTGTTCTAAAGGTTATTACCAAATTGTTTCATTTTTTTATTTTTTGAAAAAATATCACACTACGAAAATACGTATACCGAATATTTTGTCAATATTCTGCATTATCACAATTTTGAACGAAATATCACGCCAATTGGTTAAATTTTGAATCAGAAGTGGAGAGCATAGCTTTGATAGACATAATGATGATAATGAATTCTCAGCAAGTTTCGATTATGTGATCACTGTCATTTACAATTTCCATTTAAGTTTTGCCAGTTTTACTGCGTAAAGTATCCTCTATAGAAATGATAAAAAAAACAATAGTGCTTTAGTTCATGCATTTAGTCCTAGCGTAACACTATTCTTTGTTATGTAATGTGTCTACATCGCCTACATCGTTTGCATGACTGATGTGTGAGTGTAAAAGGACAATCGGTCTTAACGTTTTATGCCTGAAACCGGTTTTTTAAGATGTATGTAACTCCCATTATCCTTGAATTACGGAGAGATCTTTTAGAGAATATAGATTTTAAGTAGATGGCGATCAATTTTTTTTAACAGTATAGTAAAAAGTGTGTTCTTTTGGATTTACCTAACCTGTAAGCCAGACATTTAGTATACTCAATTTCGTACATTTAAATTTCTTTTCACTGCGATTTACACAAAATGCGACATTAAAAAATGCCCATAGGGGATGCTTTTACCCATTATATCCTTTCTCGTTCAACGATTTCTCTGACAAAATGTTGCGAACAACACTGCAAAATGTGTAGAATTTACTCAAAGCTTATAATCAAGTTAAATTCTGCCTTAAGCGAAGCTTCTGTTTTTTTGGGATTATTTCATCGATATGTCTAGTATGTGAGGATAAAAGTCATTTGAGAATTCCTCAGTTTGGAATATTCGATACTGTGGAGTAGGGAAAAAAGGGTGAAATGAAACCCTGATTGTGAAGTTGGGATTAATAATAAGGAATTAAGATGATATTGTGTGGAACGACATTTGCCACATTCTCTACCCATGGCATGAGGTCTTCTCTTGCAATTCATTTTCACTTCAAACTATTCAATTGCTACTGCATTACCTATATGTATAGTATCCTGGTTTCTTTTGTTTCTGTTTATGATGTAAGTATTTTTAAATTTTCTCTATCAATAATTAATAAAGTTTACGGGCTATTGTAAAATTGAATGTATCATTATTGATATTGTGTTAATACATGTTCTGCCTTTCTCATTTTTAAAAATCTTTCCTTTAACGTAATTATTGTAATATGATTAATTGTACTTTTTTGTTTTTTTCTTTATTTTATTGATTTAATTATAATCCTACATACATTACAATCTTAAATGTCGTTCTCTGGAATTTAAAAAAAAATCATTTCATACTGCTTCTGTTCTCACTGGGTTTTAACTCTTCATCTGCTATTTTATTTTTCTTTAATTATTATTTGTGAAATGCTCTTATGAAACAAACGCGTGTTTTTTTTCTCTTCTGTTGTCCTGTAAATTATTATATATTTATTCATCTGTTAAAATTGGAAACTTTCATTTTATTTTGCTATTTTCTGTGTGATTTATTTAAGTGTTGTGTTATTTAGATTAAATTAGTTATGTATGTATGATTGTGGTGTGACTATGTTTCATAGCAAATCTCAATATCAATATGGAGAAACGGAAAGTATTGTTCTATTAATTTAATTATTATATTACTATTGTAGGTTTATGTACTGTAAAAAAGTGTGTGTATTGTGTGGTGTAGTTATGTGGAAACTAGCGTAAGAGCTATGTTTCTAACCGGTTCTATTTCAATGTTTTTGTCTGGTTAAGTATGATCGGTTTCGGTTTAACAATCGACTGTCGGCGTAGAATATCTGAGGGAGGGTTGTGGTATGTAGTTTGCAGCTTCTTCACATGATCTTGAAAACTCGTATGTATTCCTTTTCTCATCTGTAACTGACTTTTAGATCTTATTTTCAGCAATATTAGCATTTTCTAATCGAAAAAATGTACTTCTTGGGGTAATTTCTTATGACCATCTGAATTTCGTTTCATCCAAAAAAAAATTGTACAGCTCCTCTGAAGCTTAGGTATGAAAAAAGTAACTTGCAGTAACAGCAAAAGTAAAATGAAAGAAAATCATAATCAAAACTTAAAGTATGATGTCAATAATAATTTTTCCGAATTGTGTCACAGTTCACTGATATGTCAATACTTTAGTGCCGGGGTTTTGAAAAGCGCTGATACAGTAAACAAAATCGGCGTTTACAAATTATATATTGAAGAGAACAAATCAATTAGCAGACTGCATTTTCTGGAAAATTGATAAAACAAACGATAATAAGAAAAAAATAAATATAAATTCAGTTTTGTTTTTTTACAAAAAAGGTTTCTTTAAAAAAAGAACTCAATTGCACTAATTATATCAACTGGACTTAAAGAATTTGATAAATTTGTTTCTCTTTTTGTGAATCTTCCTCATTTTAATAGTCAATCTTATTTCTCTCCGAATATAAAACACATACCCCAAAGGTCATTTAGTTGATTTTGTTGTTTCTTGGGTTTTGATTTCCTTTAAAAAATCTTTCACTTCTTTTTTAAAGTATATTTTTCTAACTTACAACTGCTAATATTTCTTCATCTTTTACCTATTCAATAATGTAAATAGAATAATTATGTCTTCCCTATTTTTTCATTTTCATTTTTAAATATTTTTTTTCTTTTAACGAATATGTTAGCGTTAAATCGTTCTAATTGCACTTTAATTTTCTTCTTCTTTGTTTTTAAACTAAAAACTTTTATTGTTATACCTTTTCAATACATAAAATTTTGTTTTTTGTTTTTGTTTCTTCCATTCCTCATTTTTTCCATATTCTCTCTGCTTTTTATATTTATGTATATAAGAAACTTTAGAAAAACCGTTTTTGATGTTTAATTTTCCTCTATTCATCTGTTTTGAAATTTTTACCATTTTTTATTTTTAGAATGAATATAGAAAACTTCCTTTTTGTGTCTGATAGAAATATATATAGCAAAAATATTTTCAAAAATATATTGGTATGTTTCTAAACATAAAAAATATGAAAGAAATTTTGTGATAATAGATAAGATTTTGAAGTCTTTTATTTCATCAGACATTTTTACATCCTAAACTTCAAACGTCTGCGCCTAAAGTGTTTTGCCCATATCTTTTGCTTATCTCTTTATCATTTAATTCATTATTTTCTTCATTTTTTGAGAAAATATACATCAAAATTTTGGATTAAAAATCACAGATAGTGTATAATATTTTTATAAATTTTCTTCTCGCTAATCTATTTCCAAGATTTTTTGACACTCCATCTTCTTTCAAAATATCATCCATTGAATGTGTTGTTGTTGATTTTCTTTCTTTTTTAAAATTGGGGGGAAAATGTCTTATTTTATCTTCACTCTGAATGTAAAACTGTGATAAGTTATGCAATAAGGTAAAGGTAGAAGAGTAATTTTTCTGCATTTTACATTCAACACGAATATAGCAAAATTTATAATTTTTTCTTGTGTTTTTCAAATTGTATATTACCAGTAGTGATAAATGAATAGTTTTATTTGTTGGTTTTTCTTCCTTCATTAATAAAATTCTTTATGTATACATATAATTTTAAGATTTTGATTTTTTACACTAAATATTTAATAAAAATATTTTTGAGGTATACGCGACGTGAAGACACACACATATATTAAATGTATGGATAGTAAAGTGTAAGTTGTCTTTTTGATAATTTTAATTTAGTGTTTAAAATAGTAAATGCGATTCTCCGTGACAATTTTTTAGTGATCATTTTTTCCTTGCTAAATATTCCATGACTTTATGCGAACATTTATAATTTTTAGAGATTATTCTTACAATCAGTTTTTCTTCACTTTTTCTTGACTTTTTTTTGCTAAATATGGTTCAACATCAAATGTGTATTTTTGCATAAATATAGTAAACGTCAAACATATAAATGTGTATATTGGAATGCATTGATTACGTTTATATGTAATATACTTTAATTTTTCTTGTTTTTTTTTGATAAATTTTGAACACCAAATTTTATTTTTTATATATTTTAGTTTATATTTACTTTTACGTTAGTTCTCAAATATTTTTCAATTTCGCGTTATCCAGACGTTCAGGTTCTCAAGAAATTTTTATTTAAAAGTTATGATAAGAAAAATTGTAACGGCTGCCATTAGCCCAAAAACAGCCATTATAACAAATATTGTCGAACGGAAAAACATGCGAGTGTCTTGTGGATCGCATACAAATTCAATAGATTACATGGCCAAATGTTGCAAAAATACTAGGCAATCTAATTATTAAATATAAAAATCACATAATTACACATATAATGTATATAAAAAAAATGATCTCACGATTGGGATATACAAAAAAAGGTGATATAGGAAAATTTAAGTTGCACATTTCTTGGAAAATAAAATTCATCCTCGCGTTAATGTTACACTCAATCATTGGGGAATTTCTCGAAGATATAATATGCTTTGTAATCCGCGGTTGGACTATGGAGTGTTGAAAGTTGTGAGAGACATAAAATGTTGTCATGAGATTGGCAAAAATCCACCCTCCTCTTGTGATTATGTTTGATTCAACGCTGATTCTTGTAAGGTTATTTGTCGGTTCATTTTATTTGCATTAATATTGTTTTGTTACTGATGGTTTCGCTTTATTTTCCTCTTTTTCACTTATTGAAGATCTTTGTTTGTTTTGTAGTTTATTTTTTTCATTCTTCAGAAGGGGCCTATATGTCGATTGTCAGAACGAAAGAAAATATATGTTACTATAAATATAAAATATTCCTCTTAAGTCAACACTTGTACGTCTTATCAGCTAACGTATACGAAAATATATACCTATATATGTGAATAATGTTCTTACTATTAATTTCTTGTTTTCTGTTTCTTTCCTTTTTTATCTTTTTAGCTTATTGTTGTGAATTTCTGAGTCACATCGAAGAATGTAAAGATGTTGCATTAAATGCGCTGCATGCAAGCGCATCGATCTGGGGACTAATTCTACGAACTGTCCTCATTCTCTGATGACATGATCTTCAGCTTGTCATCGTTCGACGTCGTGCTTCCGTTGTGATCTTCGGTAGAACTTCGCCGAAGGGACAGTCCCTCCCGCAATTTCAGCAAATTATCAACAGATTCTTTCGACATGTCGGTGAAAATGGAGGAATGCTCTTTGTCCTGAACTGAACTACCGGCGCCACTAACGAGCGACAGAGGACTCTTGCGCTCCTTCTTCACCTCGTGCGCGAACGAGGCGGGACTCGCGGTCCGTTTGGACGCGGTGCCGCCGCCCTCGTCGCTCACGGATGTACTTGGTAAACTATTTTTCACTAGATGATCTAACAGGGCTCCGTGGGGCAATTCACTGGGCTTCCGGTCCAGGCTGTGACGTATGATACCGTCCAAGAAGGAGCCGTTGGCGTTGGCGCCATCGTAGAGGCTCTCGGCCAACTCGCGAGCCGTCTTGGGTACACTGCCCGCAGCTGCGGTGCTTAGGATGTTCTTGGAGCTGATACTGGGTGTCGAACTACTGGCCGTAACAGATCCGCTAACGTTTTGGTGTCGGACAGATTGCTCCTGAATTCTTTGTATAATGTGTGATGCATAAAAATTGTCAGCTGCATTCGGTGGGAATGATGAGGGACCAGGTGTCCGGGTGAAATCCATCGGGAGACCACTAAAGCTAGATGGATGTGGCCAGAAGAGGGGTGAGGTATATTGAAACTGGGCGGCCATCGCTGGATCTATGAATGGCATCTTCAGTCCATTCGGCGACCCGGTGAAGGGTGGTGTCTTCAGCGGCGGCTTTGTTGTTGGAAGGACTTTGCTCTTATCCAGACCACTTCGCATGTTTGCTGCACTTGGAATGTCTGAAGACTTGTTGGACACCGAGCCACCGCCCATGCGATCGTCCAGTGGCTGTGGCTTCGGTTCGCGCTTCCGCGGGCGCATGAGGTGTCGCTCCTTGACTTTGTACTCAAGGGTGGAATGTGGCACGCCGTAGTAGCTACCGGCCCGATGAACGGACATCTCGCCGCGCTGCACCGCCTTCACGGCCTCCACCAGGCTGTCGCGGTCGTAGTTGCGATACTTGCCGCGCTTCGGCCTGGTGCCCTTGCCGCCGGTGCCCGTGGCGGACTGCGCCGAGGCGCTGTTCGACATGAGGTTGCCGCCGCCGCCGAAGCGGCTCATGTCTCCGCCCAGGCTCTTGATCACAGAGATGCTTGGCCTCTTGTAGTGGTCCGGCGACGGACCCATGTCTCCGTGATCGCTCTGCTTGTGCATGGGCGGCGGGGCCGACGGCTCGGGCATGTGCTGCTGGAAGTTCTTGCTGATGCTCTGAGCGATGACGTCGCGCAGCGAGAGAGTGCTCTTGCTGGACATCGGCGGTGATTGGGATTCACTGCTCTGGCGCATCAGCGGTGGCGATATTCCGAGATGGCTCTGCTGTGGACTCCTTGAGTGGATTGGTGTGGTGGCAGCTGTCTGAGACTGAGGCGTGCTGTCTCCATTCTTGCCTACGCTCGCGATTGGCGTAGAGGAGCCGGCTACAGGTTTGAAGGACGGAATTTTCAATATCACAGCAGAGTCATCTACACTATCATTTGCACTGGCTGCACTTGGGAGGGCCGACTCGGATGCGTCTGTCTTTGCAGTGCGATTTAAGTAAGGACTTGTTGGTTGATGGGATTGCGACAAAGACAGGTTTGGCATGAGAAGTCTAGGATCGGGAACCGGTGGTTTGCCATTGTTCAAGTGATCACTGCTCGCCTGATTCGTGCTCTCCATCTGCTTCTTCAGCAACTCCTGCTGTTGCAGCATGAGCGTCCGCAGCAGTTCAGGCAGAACAGCGGCCGCCGCGGCGCCGTCCTCAGACTTCATTTGCATCAGCCCCGGCAGGGCTCCCAGGCCTCCGGTGAGCAACAAGCTCTGGAGAAGCACGTGCGGATCTAGCCACGGTGCCGCCTGCAGGGGCATCTGAGGCGTTGATGGTGTCTTGTTCACCTCACTGGACATGTCCGTGTTCTTTGAACTCGACGCCCCGTCGTACATCTTGCTGTACTTGTGCGCCAGAGACTGTGATGATGTGAGACGGAGCAACTCCTCCTGCGTGGACGGCAGAGAACTCAGCGCTTTCTCCACCTCCTTCTCGTCCTCGCCGCCAGACAAGTCCTTGTCTTCATCATCCAAATCCAACACTGGTGCTACCAGTTGATGTATATTAGCCTCTCGTTTCTGTTCCATTGCCAATTTGTATACTTTGTTCCGAAGTGTTGACCTCGGAATGCCATAGAGGACCGCAGCCCTCCTGGTGCCCAACTTACCACTCAAGATATCCTGTAAAGCATTTTGTAATTCGTCCTCTGTGTACGTTCGTCGACCGGCCACAGCTGACATTCGAGGTTTAGCTCTGCAACGAGAAAGGGAAGGATTGGGAATTACGACAGGGCAGAGGTAATCAAGAATTGGGTTTGGGGCTAACAAACTCCCTCAATGAATGGCCTCCCTCATTGCGAAATCATTGAAAGTTCGGAGGCCTTTAAAATTCTCATTTTGTTTCTCCATGCAAACATTACTCTTCTTTTCCGCCGAAGGTACGATACCCGACGGTCTTTAGCCTTCTCCATGTCTCTTGAGCAAATATTGTTTAATTTGATAAGGTTAATCAATCACATTTGATGTCGATTTATTCGTGCAAAAGAAGAGTTCGTCGCACTCTGCATTGCACTGCACATAATGCTGTATTGTTGTGTTTATACAGTTTATACGCACAATTCAGCAAAGATAAAAAATTTTTGTATACTCTGAGATTGAGTCTCGTCCTGGAGAGCTTCACAAGAGTGTCTTAAGATTGAGCAAATGCCGCGATAAATTGGTAGACTGTGGCGGTGGAAACTTGATTGGCCACAGAATCATAACATTTGCAATTTGTGGAGACATCGTGAGAGATAAATTTGCATTAAATAATTCTACGTATAAGTTACACCAACAAATGCAAACAATTTAATTAGTTGAATTGGATACTGGTGCCTGTTGCTTCACGAAATGCATAATATGGGTATGTAGTGCAAACTACACACAGAATTCTCAGTTTAGTGTATCCAACTTTTGAGGGGAATGCCACACATTCTGACCTTCTTGGCGCAACCGCACAAGCTTCACATACATTTACCAAGTGTATTTTCGGTTTTCTTCTTTTTCGTCAATTTTCTATGACCACCGCAGGAAAATTTCTTGTTGATTGCATTCAATAAACTTTGGGATATGATGGAGAATATTTCTTGAAGGAAAAAAATGCTGCATTTTAATTAAAAGTCAGACAACCAGAGAGGATAGAATATGGAATTTATTTTTGCTTTATGTTTTAGGACACGTCTGTAGAAAGAATTATAAATATGAAGTTTACGAAACTAGGTTACAGTCATACTTGCAAGCTTGATGTGGCAAAAAGAAATACGCAGGCGAAAGTTTTCTATACAATTTTCCACTTTGGAAGAGATTTGATTAAGAATATAAACACATAAAAATGCATCTGTTTGTGCAACTTTGTGTGGAAGAAATGTAAAAAATTCTTCATTATGAATATTTTGTATGCATCTCTTCAGCACACAGGGGCACATGATGGGTGAAATATGCGGGGAAATTGAAAAACATTTTGAAAATCCTTTGCTAATTCCTGAAATACTTTATCTGGCCATATATTTTTGCACTCTTTCTCTACTCTTCCACTCTCTGTTGAAATTTACGTCTCGACACTCTCTGTTCTTTGAGGTTCGTTAACATTTCACATACAAATATTTGCACACATTTTGTTGCAAGTAAAATGGGAATGATGACAAATTTCACGTCACCCTGAGTTCGAAGAGCGATAAGGATTGCGATATACATGCATTTTCATTGTTGAATGGGCTTTACTCTCAGTTGTGAAAATCGAGGCGAATGAATTTTATTGAGATGCCAAACACAAAAAAGCGGTGCGTAATTCATTTTCTTGTTATATTTTTGTATAGAGGCTGATTAGATGAGGAATTCCTGCAAACTCATGGGAAACACAATTAAACGGAGAGAGATTAATTTAAAGTGAATTATCAACGGGTATAGATGTTGCCATTTATAATGGCTATCATAAAGCAATGTCGGCATGAATCTGGGAAAAGCATCTCGGCTTCATTTTTTTTTCTCCAATGCATCAGAGCTCCATGGGTAATAAGGATGGGATGCTGCTATTTATAGTGACCAGAATATGGATTTTTACCATGTAATTCAATTAATCAAGTCAATACCGTACTCTGGACTATTCTGTGGGCGATCTTTGAAATTCGGCACCACCAGTCCGACCTCCGGGCACAGACGAGCATGTGTATATTCAATCAAAGTTTCATTGAGCACGACAAAAAGGGATTATCCAGCAAGATGATTTCTGGCATGCTCTCCGTCCGCACTGAAGTATGTACAGATCCTAGCGAATTTTTCACCTATCGCAGAGATGGTGTATAATTGAATTTCAGACAATTTCAGTTCCGCATTTATTGGCTGACGAAAAAAACCGGAGTTATATTCGAGAGCAACGACCCAATCCTGCGCACGTTCTTCTGTCGCGGTTTCCAGAGTTGGAACTTTGGGGTTGTTACGAAAAAAAACGGGGTGGTGGTGCGCTTTTATCTCCTCTTTCGCCACCTTTTCACCCCCGCCTAGCCGCGCGCCACTCCTTGCCACATCTATCGTGTGGGCAAAAATAAAAGCCAGAAAAATTGGCAATTATTGTGCGCGAGCTCAGATGCTACCGGGCTTCTGGGCTGTTCGCTCTCGCCCTCAATCCCTCATCCCATGCCCGAGTGCGAACTCCGCACAATCATCCCATTTTCTTTTCACCCAATATCGCCAGAAACTCCCGGTCAGTGACCTGCACCAGTAACGGCGTCGGCAGCTACTCTACCGCTCACAGCATTTTCTCTTTCAGAACCATTTCGTCCGCCACTTGTGTGCGCTAGTCGCTGTTGTTTTAATTTTTGCGGACGATAAAAAGACGATAACCCACCCCATAAACAAAAAAAAGATGGAGGAGAAAGAGAGTGTCTATCGAAAAAAAGACGCGAAGAATTTGCTAGACTTCCGTGAATTTTTATCCTCTCTCCCATTCTTTTTCTCTGGCTGATGTGCCAGAGTTTTTGCTCCCAACCATATAGCGCTAATTAACAATTCTTCTGAATAAATTTTAATTAAAATCGTGAATTAATTAATTTTTCCCTCCCTGTGCGAAATTTTTCAGCACTCACGATCGCAGCCCAGCTTGGAAACCATGGCCTTCCCGAAGGATTCACATCTTCATCCGCCCGCCCATGCTTTCCCTCCTTGTTCGCAGTGGAAATTTGAGGAGATTGCGCCTGTGTGTGTGCCTGTGTGTGTGCATGGGCGAAGAAATGTCTCTCCTGGTACCTGCTCCCCCGCCCCCACACCGCCCAGTCCAGCACATGAAATATTTGCAGTGTCCGAGGCGAAGTATTGTCGGAGGAGGACCGAGTTGGGGTTTTAGAAACCCCAATTTGAGCCGGGAGGGTGAGTTTCTTGGTGACTTGACTTTATCGATCGGTTTTCTTGACACAATAAGGAGGGGGCGCTTGTGGGTGGGCTCGGTGGGTCTGATGGGCGGGATAACTTCGTTTCTGCTGATCTGGGAACGACCACGTTGGGTGGCGATGGATGGTGTGTTTGAGTGACTCTGTCCTATTATGCTCCAAACATCAGGGGATGGTGTTACATAGAATTAATTCCATTATGTGTGCTGCACTACTTTTTTCGTTTATCCCATGTGACACACTCAACACTATACATCAATTAAATTGGATGCCTAAAAGCTCGCCATTGAGTGCAAGAGATCAATTTGAGCTTAAAAGTCTCGGGACTTATGGAGGAGGTACAAAAATAGCTCTAAAAGTGAGGATTAAATTAAATACGTTTGTCTGATATAGACACAAGTCAGGAGACTTGTTCTATGTTGAGTTCATAATTCATTTTTCTGACTGGTTAAATTGTTTATTTTCGGGAAAAATACAACATTCCTCGAGTGCAAAGTGTAAAAAAGAATAAATATTGCTCACAACAGTCAGAACATGATTGTAAAGAGAGCATTGCAGAATTGAGGGTTTCACTCAAATAGAGCCAATCTTGAAGTTTGCATGCGCTACTTCTTCACAATCAGTTCATTTCCATAGGTGGAAGCGAGTGAATTCTTTTCAGTTGTGATTCATGGATAAAACATATCATTTCGACCCATTATCGACTGCACTCCCCTAAAAAGTAGAACACAGCTCAAGTGCAATTTGTCTAATCGAAATGCCATATCGAGACTAGCCACTTTATCTCTTGGCGACAAATTTAATCTTATCAAATTTTAAACTGTACGAAGAAAAATTGTGTCTTGTAATTTGATTCTATGGATTTGCTTTTTATTATATCAATCCCGGCACATTATTGTGCAATAATATTTATAGGATAAGCAATACGGAAAATACGGAGTGAAACTATTTTGCGCGATAGTGCAAAATTTCTCAGTTCGGATGAGCACACAGAGACACGGAAAATGTGGCGCTCTCGACTTGCGATTGTATCACTCGTGGCACTATCCCAATAATAATGGGAGAAAGGTGAGGATTTGAGACGGTCAGAATGTAGGTTAATGATATGAGCAAAATGCACACTGTCTGCGAGAGATAAAAATGGCAACAATTCAAAAATGGGGATTGCAAGAACAATAAAGGCAAATAAGAGCCTTACAACTGGCGAGCTCCAAGTGCAATTCTCAAATAGATACACTCATAATAATTGCATTTAGCGTTACTCACTTGAAAATGTGCTTGGGATCCAGGGCCGTCGAGGACGACAGTGATGATTTTGCACTTAAGTCTAACGGCTGCTCGCTGTTTGTGATCGTCTCACTGGGGCTGTTCGAGGGCTTTATCGTGGGACTCGTTGTGGCTCCACTCGTGGACGATCCTGAAGCTAGCATGTCTCCTGCGTTTCCCCCGGCGCCCGCGTGGGGCATGTGCTGGGAGAATTGCTGGTACCACAGTCCTGCAGAGGAGAAAAGGACGGTTAGTTTGTGGATCACAGACTCGCATGATTCTGCCACGAACCTGGGTAAAATTGAGCCAGACCCGGCATGGTTGGTAGCCCTTGGAGAGATGCCACTGCTGCAAGTTGGGCGGCCATAGACTCCAGCGAAGTCATATTTGGAGGTATGGAACCTCGCAATAAGGCGGCCACCGATTTCTGCGTGGCTGCTGCGAAGGCAGCCGCAGGATTTTGTACTTCAGCCTCGGAGCAGCTCTCGCTAGAATCACTGTCGGACTCTAGGGGTGTCTGCAAGGAGAGAGGGCATCGTGAGCGAATGTCCGGCATCGCGCTGAGACTCCTAATTACCGTGTTGGCGAGGTCTGGCTCGGCGTTAACCGGGCCGGACTCAGCCACGAGCTCTCCGCGTTCGTTCACTGCGAGCAGTTTGCCGTCCACACAGAAATAACACTTGTCCTGAGGCCGCCAATCCACAGGCTTTGGCGGTCTCGTGTCCAGCAATTCCTCGTCCGACTTGACTGTGATGCCTTTGATATCACTCGCGTTACTCTCTGACGTCTTCACCTCAGGATCTGCTAGTGTGTCGCCCGCGGCCTGAGGTTGATGATGCTCTGCAAGACACGAAAGGCACATGATTTTCACGTGAAAAGAAGAAAAAACCGCCCATCGGCTCCACTTGGGACAAAAACCATCCTCTATAATTCATAGTTCGTGACAAAATTCAAAAAGGGATGTCTCATTTGCATTTCACATATCACTCTCCATTGCAAGTTTATATTGGAAAAAAAATTACACGGAGAGTTGTGTGTTGAATTTGCCATAGATGCAGAATAACTTTATACAAATATATAGCACAGGAGAAAATGGAATTGTAATTTTGTTTGCATTGGAATATGCAAATCGAGGTTAAATAATTTATATTTTACACACAATTTCGGGAAAATTTTTCCTACTCAATTTATTGGGTTACTTTAAATTAAAACAGCACAAACACAATCGAATACTTTAAATAACTTCATATTTTTTTCCTGCACAACAAGATCACTGCAGAATTTATTGTTTCCATAAGCTTAAGCTCATCTTTCAGTGAGGAATTTACCAGACAGCTTGTAAAAGGTAAAAGTTGAAATACCACGAAAGTATTGAAACGAGCTGGAAGTAATTCAATAATTCAGATTCTGAAGACTTGATGTGCGATACACAATGCAATTTCCCTCAAATACCAAGACTCGGAAAATTCGTGTCCTTTCTCAAAATGGACATGCGGATGTTCTGGAGAACTCATGCAATTTATCCCATCTTCACAAATGCAATTGAGCCACCACTGGCCAGAGGTGAGACACCTTCTATGGAGACTCTGTAGACACTCACCTGCTTCGTCTTGACTTGTGCTGGGCTCTTTGATTTCGGTATCCTCCGTCGTGGCCCCTCTCTCTTTGGAATGGTTCTCCAAGGTGGATTGCGTCTGCGAACCCAGTGTAGAATCTTTTTCCACTAGCTCCTGCTTTCCGTTGTTTTGATTCGGGGAATCTATGTTGCATTTTGTTGGTGGAAAACATGAGGGATATATAATATAAAATGTATGAATAATAGAGGAATCACTATATGCACAAAATGCACGTATAGCCAGAGATGCCAAACGAAATGTTCTGCCTTGTTACATGACTTTGTGCAGAAGTTTGCTTTGGAGGAAAACTTTTTCCACAAAATTAAATTTTCCACCCACCTGTTGATGTATTGTTTTGCGCTAAACTTGTTGAATTTGTATTTATATGTGATTGGGCAAGAACTTCTTGGTACAGTTTCCATTTCCTGCGTCCCATCAATTCTTCAGCGACTCGTTCTAAACCTGAAAGCACAGCCAAAACATGGACAAACTTTAGTATATAATATAGCAAAGGTGCATATGAATAGCATGAAACACAGCTTTTGAGAGGTTGTTAATGCAATACTCGTGCAGCGACCAGAAGGAAAATTACGTGTAGTTTTGAAAATATGCCAAAAAGTTCTCATTGGAAAGTTCGCACAGAGACCATCGGCCAGTGCCACATTTATCAGGCCTCGTGTGGTTATAATACTGGGAATAATTGGGTATGATTTTCCCCGAAACGTACACATTTGGTCAGTGGATTCTCAGCGAACCTACTGCACAATCTTGAGTGGGTTCCATATAAAAAGATTACTCAATTGGAAAGTGCAGTGTTGAATGTGATTTGGTCGGACGATAGCAAAACAAACTGTTGAAGTGTGATAGAAATCCTTAATTCACATCTATGTACTTGGATACAAATTGTTTGCACCTCTCACCAACCCACAATACCGTTCCCAATCATATTTACACATATTCAGAAATATCCCACCCCCAGCCTTTGATGATGGCCTTTGTGTGGTATTATTCAACTATTCCCAACCCTTGACTGTCGTCAGTTTCAACATATGCAACCTATGGGCTACATGTGTACATGGTAGATGTCGGCTCACGCAAAGTCTATAAATGGAAGGAAACAATCAAAATTTAATTCAACCTAACTAACTCCTGCTGTCCCTCGTCCAGTTTATGGATCAACAGCAGAGTGCATGCAGTGATATATGATCATGTTATACGCTTGCTGATGGCTATATGTATCCTTTGATCCTGCGTCCGAATACACATTCGCCAGCACCAAATCCAACACTCCCAGCCGGGTTCACCTGTCTTCCTACGCCTCAAAAGACTCCTCAATTGCATGCGGCGGAGCCACGGGTGGGGGGATGTAAGAGTTCACCCCCGAAATATAACCATCACTGCAATTACGGGGCCTCGTCCTGATTCTCCCATCGCACCGACGAAATGAAATACTCCGGACCAGAGATATACCTGACAAGAAATCCCATCAGCATTTCAGCTGAAAGTTGGGAGGCCACAGAATAATTCAGCACAGTTCGTGGAATAAGAAATGCAGAAATCGATATTTGGATATTCATTTTTACCACCCGAAGGTGCCAGAGGAAATTCACGGCGACTTTTCTACGTGTATGCAAAAGAATATGAAAGTCATATCGAAAATCTCACTGTCATTCTAATTGAGGGGCGCATTTTGGGGAATATTTTTGGAAATCAATTCAAAGCACTTTGCTGTACACTTCTTGTGACTTATTTTCGTGTTCGTCAATTTAAAGAAAGCCGTGAACAGTCACGTGAGGCTCTGCCTTATCCAAAATTGAAGCGCTCCAATTGGAGAGAGGGAAAAGTGTCTCGTGTGCGAAAATGCGAAGAAATGCATTTGACAGAGCATTTCCATCGCGTAGGCTCACGTATGCGAGGCTCTCCTCGCTGTATTAGCGGTTCCAACACCTTCCCCCCGAGGACACAGATAATGTTGACGATGACGAGGACGGGGGATGAAAAGTTGAAGTGTGCTGAGAGATAGTCCCGGCAGTGTTTCTTAGCTGGGGAAGGGGAGCGCTATGTATGGCAGTTTGCACATGGAGCTCTATGTGCGAAGGGAATTCAGTAGTTAGTGGCGTTCGCATTCACTCCCCAACAATATTCTCCCCATCCCCCGGGACGGCGCCCTTCCACTCGCATGAGCTGCTGGTGTGGAGTGTGTATTCGTGTGGTTCAAAATGGGGTATTTCTGCCAGTTTTGTGCGGGTGAGGATACCCCAAGCCGGGGGGGAAGTGGCCCCAAGAATCAATACTAGTGCATTTTTTATAGCTCGCGCACCTACTTCAAGAATCATTTTCAAAAGAGTCTCTTAAAAGTTTTCGCTTTTGACCCCCAATCTCGTGTGCACTTCTTCCAAAGGCTGCGAAAGCTGTTTCACCACTTTTGCCTATTTATTAAAGACCCAGTCACATGCATATCGGAATACATTTTATATAGTGCATGTGCTATCACTCTCTTTTCACCCTCGCCAAGTGGGGAAAATGTGAACCTATTCGAATTTGTACAACTTTTTCCATACACGAAATACAAAGCGTTCGCAGGGGTTTTCTTCTGTGAGACAAAATATACATTTTCTCATCTTTCTTTTGGAGGTGTGAGTGCTCATAAATCACATCTCATTAAAGATTAACACAAGAAATGTTTAATATTACACAATAGGTCGGCGAGTTTTCCACAACACTGCAATTTTGTACATTCGCAATAAACGCTGCTAGATCGACGTCTCTGCATGTGGTTATAGAATTGTGTCAATCATTGACCTTCAGTATTCATTAAAGCAGGGTCACGTTTGACTTGACCACGGCAAAAATTCTCGAAAGAATTTTGCGAATGCAAAAATTCAGAAGATATTCACAACAAATTGACGATTTGTGCGACATCAATTCCGCACAATTCTCAGTACAACTCCTCAAGCATCCCAACGACGCTTAATGTGTAAGGCTTTTTGAAAATTAGTTGAGGAAAGTTACGCAAAATTATCACACAAACGTCATTTTATGCTGCACCTTCCACGCTCGACTTCATTATAGCATGTTTGTACCACTGGCAAAAGTATGCAATTGTGTATGCGAAAAGTTCATGGTGCTACCTTTCATAAATGAATAGAAACCAACTACATAGTTCCTGTATATGTTTACATAATCATTTACCGTCGTTGCGTTTCCATCTGCGTTCGTATTGAAGTGCATAAGAGAGAATTGTGCTTATATGAGCGATTATCAAAAAGCAGTTTAGGGAATTAACTTTTTTGCCGTTGAAAAGCATTTTGTGGGGCTTCAGAAAAAATAGTTATGTAAATGGCAGGAGGTTGCAGTGTGGAATTGCTCTGTAACAATAATGTAAAACTTTTTAACATGACGTTAAATAAATTTCTGTGAAAATCTGACTATAGAAGCGATTTCAATTATGAGGCCGTGTACTCAATACGCGATCACCTTTGCAAATTTTAATTTTCCCTTACTTTTGATTTTAAACTTTTGATTTATTGGTTACGCTTAAGATCGCCGATGAAAAATCAAGCGGCTTCGGTGAGCAGTTGATTTATTGGAATTGCATGGCAAAGTGCGAAAGTTGTTTCAAGATCAATTGCCGAGAGAGAAAAACTCTTGATTTTCCCGCTTTTCAGGCTCTGCACAGTGCCAATGTGCCAAAATGTTCGGCGGCGCTACTTTGCATAATGATTGCCTGCACACATTGCGCCGCAAACGGTGCCACATGCGACATGAGATACACACATCGGGAGATATACACAGACGCACACTCGTCCGGTGGGATTTGCCAGTCGTGTGTGTCTGGTTTCATCGCGTCGTTACCCCATTGATAGTAACCATGACCTGCCCAAATTCGCGCAGCACCCAGGCTAAACTGGTTAGTAAAATATGCGTGCAATACACTCGCCATGTGAACGGAGTGCGAAAGTCTGGCCAAAGCGGAAGGCGCGAGACGAGACGAGTATCATTGCCAAAAGTCTGGGCCGCGCATTCGGTGTGTTTTGGGTGCATTTTCGCGGATGAATCAGCCGAAAAAAGCGGCAGCCACGAAAATGGATTGGGCCGACTTATCGGATTTGCGTGTGCCATGTGGTGAATGGCAACACATTCAAAAATTCGCGCTCAGCGCTATTGTGTCGTCTCGCGCGATACAATGTTGGCATCGAGTGAGAATAAAGAGGCGATTGTTGACGGGGAAATGCGTGAATTGGTCATCAGTCGATCGCGGAGTCAATGGTCTCGGTGTGAGAATCAATGTCTCAGCAAGGAGAGAGACAAAGGAGAATGTGCACACACTTTCTTATCATCGCCCTGAAATTTTGAATAGCTTCCCAGACAGAATGTCAAATAAAAGCACTTTCGAGGTATAATTTATTCTCCGTATACTAACTCTACGCAAGTTAGTGATAATGTTTGATGGTGTGAAACCCGTAATAATGCTGTAAAAGTAAATTCCAATTCGACGGGTGAATTGAAAACTATGGAATGTGCAAATCGCCATTTTTCAGTGAAGCAAATTGAAAATTTGACGTTAATATTGCTGCAAAATTTGCCAAATTTAATTAAAAACCATCGAATCGTCCATTTAAGTTTTTATATTGCTCTATAAATACTTATTTTATAAATCTTTCATTACATTTCATCGGTATTTATGGAAGTTTTTGACTGAAATATGACAAAATAATAGAAAACTTAAAATATTACTTAGTAAAGTCAATTTTTAATAGTCCTCATGTATATTTTATCCAAACAACTCCTAAAAAATCAACTTTTCATACTTCTCTTCAAAATTTTCAAGTGTAGAAATTAAAAAAAAAGATACCTAACAAATATTATATTTATTCAGAGTCTGAATATTTTAGGAAAATCTGGAAAATTTAGAATGAAATCGTTGAATTTGATGAGAAAATTCGGCGAATCTCTTTCACGCCCACCACGAAGCTCTATAATATTTTTAATTTGATCCGAATTCTACCCACGAAACAAATCCCACACATAGTCAAAGGTCAGGACGACGGAAGAGTCCAAGGAAGAGGAGTGAAATATTCATATATTGGCCGAGTTGTGGAAGTGAGTAAAAAGTTGAGCTAAATACCTAAAATTGTCAAAGAGTGAATAGCAGTATTTTTCCCGAGCAATTATACTATTATACACAGAATATCACTGCTATTGCTAATACAATTTACAATAGGCACGGAGATTTGCGCAAAGAATATCAATTTGTATACACATGTTTTTAATTGAACATGTGAAGATTTTATGTGCAAACCGTAAGATACAAAAGCCAACCATAATTGCCACATGACTGGATGGAGTGAAAAATTTTTAGGACAATTCTCCAGCACAATATTCTTGACATTGAGATATTATAAATGTGGGAAATGGCAAAACAGAAAAGGGTAACAATTAAATTCAATTTGTTGCGAAGC